CCAGACATTTTATTAATTTATTGTAATTAATTATTTGCATGCAATTAAAAACTAATTTTAAACGATGCCAAAGAAGGATATCTTCTCACGCGCCTACATATAAGTACACGCACCCATTTTTTCTTTTTCGCCTAGGTTTTATCCACGTTTATAAACACCTAAATTAAACTCCTTCTGTTAGTATTCCATCAGTCAACTCCTACATAGTACACCTCGCTATCACTTTGTCATCGTTGTAACTTTTTAAATATTTGTCGAAATGACATAGTGTGAAAGGCAAAGTTTATCGTCTTTAAATATCAAAAGCGATTAAAGTACACACATCAAAAGTGTCTAGGGATCAAGCATTTTTATGCGGATTTCTTGAGATTGAGATGTGGCTTTGTAATAAATTTATGATTTTATAAATTTATATGGATCCTTTTTGGTGCATTTCATAATTTGAATCAGGAACTGTGAATCAAATTCGAGTAAAAGATGAAAATCAGCTGTCAATATTTTCCCTATAAAAACATACAACGCATTGAAGACATTATTAGTGCTACTGTTTCCCTACTACTGATTAAAACCAACGTTATTATGGAGCGGCGACGTCATTTAAGCAGGGAAGAAATGCTCAGAGCCGTGGGAATGATAGAAGCTGGTTCCCGGCAACGTACTGTGGCTTTAGCTCTGAATACAAGTCAGAGTGTTATCAGTCGACTTTGGACACGATACCGAAGCACTGGTACCGTGGCTGAGCGCCATGGAGGACGGTATCGCTGCACCACACGGAGACAAGACCGATACATTCAAATCTTAACTCGAAGAGCTCCAACAATAACCGCCATGATGTTAGCCGTGAGGCTTCATCACTCTTCAGGGAACTTAATTAGCGACCAAACAGTCAGAAACCGCTTGCATGAAGTGAACCTTCATTCCCGAAGACCGCTACGGGTACCACCTATAGCAATGCACAATCGTAGGATTCGATATCAATGGGCTCTTGAACACAGAAATTGGGCAGAAGAACAATGGCGTTTCGTGTGCTTTTCTGATGAGTCTCGTTTTGGTATGAGACCGGATACAAGACGTATACGACACTGGAGAACCCCTGGACGCCAACAGCGATTAAAATCCTGCCAGGAAGTCCATCCTTATAGTGGTGGAACCATCATGGTATGGGCGGGTATTTGGATCGGCGGAAGAACTGAGTTGATTTGGATCAGAGGCAACCTCAACGCTCAAATTTATGCTGAGACGATTGTATCAGACGTCATCGTTCCTCTACAAGTGCAAATCGGTCCCTTATTTCAGTTAATGCATGATAATGCACGACCGCACACCGCAAGAGTTGTAAGACAGACTCTCGCCGCAGCTAACATCAATGTCCTGCCCTGGCCTGCTCAGTCGCCAGACTTGAACCCGATTGAGCATGCATGGGATATGCTACAGAGAAGAGCTCTGCCGAATATGGAGGGTATCCAGTCGCAAGAAGACCTTTTTTTGTTGTTGCAACGAACATGGGCGGCCATTCCACAGCGTGATTTGGATGAACTCATTTTGAGTATGCCAAACCGATGTTCTTGTGTTGTTAGTGTTCGCGGTAGAAATACGGATTATTAATTGTTTAAGTTACCCAATAAAATTTTAGAGAAAACTGTTATTGCAGTCTTTTTTTCGAACTTTTGTGTTAGTGGTTCAAATGTCAAAAATCCCTTTATTAGGAAAATGGCAAATTTCTTTATTAATGCAAAGGTGACTTGGTTTATCGTTACTGTGACAAACGAAAACACTTTATTTGATGAATCCTTAAAGAAAATTTTAATTAATATCAATCAGGAGAAAAGTTATTGCAAAAATATATGTTGATCCCTAGACACTTTTGATGTGTGTATTTGTTTTGATAAAAAATAATTTGTTAATACAAAATGTGTATTTTGGAAATAGATATCAAATAATATTTTAGTTAGTTTTGATTCACTATTTTAGCGATAATAACTTACACATTAAAAATAGATATATGGTGTCACGGACTTTTTTTAGTACTATTTAAGAGATACATTTTCACTCTACATTACCTTCATGTAACTTTTATTGTTTTTGCACTGCAGGCCAAAATGGCTCGCAGATGGGAGATTTTTTTCCGTCTTATGTGACACTTATTGTTATAATTTGGCCAATTCACTCAATAACTACATAAATTATTATATATATGTTATTATCGTATATGAGCTATATTACTGTTAAGTTTCATAAAAATCCATTCAGTATCTTTAGGTGAAAGAGTAACAAAGATCCATACAAACGTAAGATTGAAATTTAATGCGCAAGTGGTTAATATACAACTTTAAAGCGTTGTAGATCCTACACAATCATATAAAATGAAAAATGGTGTTAGGAACCTAAACATGATTTTCGATTATCTAAAATCGGTCCAGGCTTTGGTCTCTAGTGTGCCACAAAGGAACAAACATACATATATAGACTGTTAGTCCAGTCGGAATAAACATGAGACCTATTCTAAGATACCAGCGCTTAGCCAATTTTTTCGTAGATAGTATAGACCCCCACGAATTATGCCCTCCATTTGTCCCCGCTAGAACCCGTGTTTTGTAGCCAGGAAAATTGTTTAAACAAAGAAAACCCGGTTTTTTTGAGTTTTTTTGCTTGTAAACGGGGATTTTGAAAATTTTTTTGAATCAAAGTTGTTCATTAGCTTGTCCTCTACAAAATCAGTTCTATGAAAAAATAACGTGAGATTGTTAGTTTAGCAGTAAATTGCAATTATGTCGGTTTTACGTATGCAACAATTCAACATGTTATAATAAACATTTGGATTTCTAAAGTAGTTTATCATGTGGGTAACGCCACTCCCAAGAGAGTCATGTAAAATTTATCGACCTGTGTCGCAAACTTTAGCAACAATTCTCAATCTCCGAAAAAAAAGTACTTGCCTGTCCCGTCTTTCCCAGAAGGCGCACAGCGGGCAAAAAATTCAGGTGATTCGATTCACCAAGAATTTTGAGGAATCGATCGAGTAGAAAAAAATCGTTAGTAAAAATGTTCGTTTTTGGACGATTTAATTTTTTTTTAAAAATTGACGTAGAATATTTTTTTTTAAACTAATGTATTTTTCTCTCCTCAACTCGTCCAAAAACGATCATTTTTATTAAAGATTTTTTTCTACTCGATCGATTCCTCAAAATTCTTGGTGAATCGAATCACCTGAATTTTTTTTCCCGCTGTGCGCCTTCTGGGAAAGACGGGACAGGCAAGTACTTTTTTTTCGGAGATTGAGAATTGTTGCTAAAGTTTGACTAATGAACAACTTTGATTCAAAAAAATTTTCAAAATCCCCGTTTACAAGCAAAAAAACTCAAAAAAAAAACGGTTTTTCTTTGTTTAAACAATTTTCCTGGCTACAAAACACGGGTTCTAGCGGGGACAAATGGAGGGCATATTCGTGGGGGTCTATACTACCTAGGAAAAAATTGGCTAAGCGCTGGTGTCTTAGAATAGAAGTCGGTCCAAATTATGGCTATTCCGACTGGACTATGTTAAACATTATTATACCCTGTCTGCGCGTCGCGCTTCGCGCTCTTGCATTGCGCAGTCGGGTAAAAAAGAAACAGCAACACAAAGAAAACGGAGACTAAAAAAAAAGGAAAAGCGCGAACAAAAATCCTTGAAACTCAGTGAAAAATGTTATAAATATTTCGTTATCGAAGACTAAAAAGTATAAAATAAATTAATAGTTAAAAAAAAACTAGAAAAACATGCTTTTATAAATGCACGTTAAAATCAAAAATAAATTATGGATCGTTCAAGTTGGCTCTATGTCTGGGCTGAAGTGTAAACTATGTGCTATTAATTATAATATTTGAATGTAAAAGCTTGGGGCACTGGAACAGAAATACAATAAATTCTCATGGTCCCCGTTCTCGTCCACCCCCATACCCTTTCACGCACTCAGTTAAGCGGTCTACCTATAGCTAGCATTTAGCGTAGGTACACACCATGATTCGCTCCATCCAAATCGCATGTTAAAATATGTTTGTATTAAAAAAAAGAATACTCAATGAGTCTCGCACTGCACGGCACACAACAACAACAACACGGCCAATGTGGCCAGTAGGCCACTTCGCTGACAGCTTTTGACAGATGGAAGTGATAATCTAGGAAGCTATTTAGTGATCCATTACTGCTTTATTATAACGCCACTAAGATACTTTTTCTGAAACGTATCGATGGACATGCAAATTTCTACTTAGTTATACACTGTAAATGTCAAAAATGTTAGCGAATCGGTCGGCAGGAGGGGAGTAGGGAGTATACAGCTGCCCCTGTGACGAGTTGGGCTTACAAAATGGTCATACAAACGATACAAGCAAAAAATTACATAATGATTTGAATAGTATCATGTCCTATGGCTACTCCCTTCGAAGTTGCTCCATGGTCTCGCATCAACAAAGTACTTACATTACACAAGAGAGGCTTACCTCTCTCCAAAAATGGATTTTCTGCTCTAATTGGAGCGCAGTCTAGGGAAGTAAACTTCACCTTACCGAAGATCAAAGTAAAATAAAACCACCTTTTGTTGGTGTTATGTTTCTATCGGTGAGTAAGGTTCCAGAGCTCCACGGGGTAGGGGATTGGGTCAGGGTAGGTAACGGTGCGGTGCTATAGTAGCCGCTTATCATCAGTCGGCCCATGTCCTTGTTTGCCACCCTTTAAAACATCAACAAAAAAAGACCCTTTGAATCATAAAAAAAATTGTGTATGTTATATTTTCAGGTTTTTTTTTGCTTCAAAAAAGGCGTGGCTGGTTAAATTTTTTAAACAATTTTTAAAACTTTATAAATGCACAACTAACCTTAAAAATGTTTAGTGAAAACATTGTTGTCTGGTTTTGCTCTATTGGACATCGCGGTCCTTAAAAAGCTACAATTGAGCTCTGCAGAGGTTGTCATACACAAATTAATTGATGTTTATCGTTGTGCGGGCAAATCTCGACAGAATGAACACTTACTATCTCCGCAGACCGCTGTGCAGTGTTCTCAGATGATTGCATGATGAGATGAGTGTTAAAAAGTTTTGTGTGAAATCATAAAAAGTCGATATTTAGAAGTGAACATGAAACCTTTTTGGTGAGTTTGAGATTTGAGAATATTAGCTTTATGTGTTTAGTTTAAGTTTTTTTAAACTTTTCATTTGGTCTTATCATGTCTTCGAAAAATATATAAAAACATTTTTTTTACCTAAGTAAACATAATAATTAATATTGTATATATATACTCTCCAATTGCACGCCACTCAGATCGATTTTGGGCTACTCAATTGGAGAGGCCTATGTCCAGCAGTGGACTAGGATAGGCTGTTGATGACTAGAACAATGAACCTTAAACTAAAAACCTTAAAAAATATAATGAGGAAGGTTCCGAAGATACTGGCCGCGTTCTCCCTTTGAAAAGCTAGACTTATTCTTTGTCCGAAAAAGCTGCCAGCTCTTCGGTCTCCTAAAAAAATATCAACTGTATGCCATGTTAAGCCTCGATGACACAGGGCGAGTTAACAAGCTAGCGAGTTCGCTAGTAGCTTGTAAGCTTGATGGTAAAAAAGCCGATGACACGGGGCGAGTTACAATCTGCTAGCAAACTCGCTGGCTTGTAGCTTGTAAAGTCGCCCCGTGTCATCGAGGCTTTAGACGACTCGAAACGGGACTCAAACCTGCAACCTTTGTGACGTTCTGGCGATTACTCTGACAATTAAATTAATACTAGAGATCTTAGTATCTTGAGAAAATTTGAATTTTATGTGGCAGTTATCAATCCCGTTGATAGTTACAATACGACTATTTTCATCAATGCATAGACAAAACTAAAAAAAGTGGCTGTGACATACGGACGGATAGACGGAGGGACATGACGAATCTATAAAGGTTCCGTTCTTTTCCATTTCGCTACGGAACCCTAAAAAAACGAAATATGCATCTTAATGACATCGGATGGCATTAAGGACAAATATTTAACTAAACATTAGAAAAATATCGAAATTGAGTTCGTTCTGAGTTAAGCTCGGATTTTTGCTGGGAAACTATATTTTATTCGTTTTTCATTGTAACGCAAGAAATAATGTGAAGTAGGTCACTGCACCGATGTTGTTCAACAAAATTATCATCACCAACTAATGAGATGAGAGCTTATGTTAACCTCCTAGATATCGTACGCTCCCATACATGGCACCGTGCGTATCCTTTAGGTTTTTTTTTAATTTCGGACGTACTTCCTTGGTATCACTTTAAATCTATACCTTTTCCTCAGTTTATTACTTATGAAGAAAAATAAACGAAAAATGCAGCTCTAATTTTCACCAACCGCACATGGCGCCATTTGGAAATGCGTGCCTTTTTCCTCTTAGAAAAAGTTTGCTTCATTACTTAAAAATTATACTGTTTTCTCGTAAATGTGTTGAAAAACGATGTATGACATTCGTGCGGAATCGGTATTTACAAACTTGTGACTATGGTAAACCCTCGACTTCGTCTAAGGCTTACATTTGTGTACTCGTTTTTAACTACCAACTTACCGCACTAATATCATAAATACTTATATCAACGCAGTTACTCAAAAACTGACTCTTATTACACAGTTTTTAGAAATAATATAACCTTAGAAGTACTGTAATATATATAAATTTAATTTTAGCAAAAGTTTATGTCTAAGGACATTGAATATTTTTAAGAATTTAAATTATTTTAGGGTTATGATGACAAATAAACATTTCCTTTCATATTTATACAAATTCAGTTAACTAACGTATAAAGAAACGTTAATTTATACTTATAGTTAAATAAAATTATAATTTTGATGACACAGCCTGAAAAGGATGCGAAACGTCGAAATTACGCTTGTGCCTTTATTGTACCTGCGCTCGCATCTAAAGAGCGGCGCGTGAAATAAACAAATCTTACGCGTCATTTTCCGCTGTGGTGTGGTTAATTACTATCAAAAATGTCTACTTCAAATAGTGAAGATAACCATAATATTAATTCAACCACGCCGAAAATACTTATCGAGGCACGATAAGCGAGTGATAGGCTGTTGCCGTTAAAATCCAGTGAAAAATTACAAAGTCAAAATAGCAAAAATGACAAGTCATATTCTACTTCATATTTTTTATTCTATTTCAATGAACTGGCAAATAAATACAAGCCCAGCTCGCTATCGTGTATATACAACAGGTTAAAAAGCACATTAAATTCAACTCTGTCTCTGATTGTTGCGAACTTATTGCGGGCGTACCCCAGGGCGGTGTTTTCTCGCCACTCCTATTTTCATGTTTCATCAACTCAGTTATTAGAGTTATTCTCTCCAACTTTCATCTCTTCGCAGACGACTTGCAGCTTATATTTGATGGAATCGACATTCCATACAGTGATAATATTAAAAACCTTAATAGACTCCAGCCTGTCCTGGACGGCCCATGTCTCTAACGTCAGTCAAAAAATTTACTACACGATCCATTCTCTTAAATTTCTTCAATATTTTTTGCCATTGTATTCCAAAATTTCACTCGCTCAGTCACTCATTTTACCGCTTCTCGATTATGATAATGCTTGCTTCTTAGATGCCACAGAGATCTTACTGAACAAACTTGAGCGCCTGCAGAACTTCGCTTTCCGCTTCAACTCTAGTCTACGCAAGTATGACCATGTTTCTAGATTTCGTAAGGAACTCAAGTGGCTTCCTATTCGTCTGCGCAGGAATGTTAGAATCCTTTGTCTCCTTTTCAATATCCTCTATAATCTACAGTATCCACCTTACCTCCGTGAACGGTTTTCCTTCATTCACTCTTCAACAGATCCTTGCAGATCCAACCTCAAATCCCTTCTAAAATGTCCGTCTGTGGAATTCGCTGCCAGCAGAAATTAAAGACTCTAGTTCTGTCTCAGTGTTCAAAAACATCTGAAAGAACACTATTTATCTTCTTGCTCTTAATTTTGCCCTTGTTCTTCTCATTGTTTCTCTTCTCGTCGTCCATATTATATGTATGTTTGTATTTATTTATGTATTGTCATTAATATCATATTCGTATGTGTACGTATTTATTCATTACACTTATTTGTACTTGCATATATAAACCTATTTATGTAGTTGTCATATTTATTAGTATTAACATGTATTTATATTCAGGTGTACACGCTGACTACCTTTTCTTATATTCTTTCCTACTACGGGCCTACTCGAAGAAATTTCAGATTGAAATAAGTTGTGCCCTTGTACATGTTATCTTTAATTAAGTTGCCCCTGTATTATTTTTGTGTGTACAGAATATATAAATAAATAAATATCTTTGTTCAAATTGGATGCACAATACAACTCTTTTGAATCGTCAATTTTTTTCCTACCTCCAGTTAAGGACATTTTTTAGCTGTGGAGAAAAACTGGCGAAAAAACCTTCACAGCGTTATATAAATATAAAAGAAGTTTTAAACCAAGGGTGTAGATAAAATATTATTGTTAACGTATTATTTAATAAAATATTATTATTACACAATGCTTATTCCACACCTGCGTGACAAAGTTTCCGGACGGGTGGCTTTGGTACTAAAATACGCTAAAATTAGAGGATCGGTCTTTGAATTAAGTACGCTCCTTAAGCTGCACTTACAATTTTATCGTTTTCCACAACATCTTTTAGCGTTATATTTTTTAAAATTTTAAAGCATTTAACTGCTAGATGTTCAAATCTAAAGAAAAAATTACTAAAATAAATCCACGCGGCCCGTTTTTTCCCCAATTTTTCCTAATAAATTTTTCTCTTTTAACGTGTTAAATTATCACCAGTCATGATATCGTTTATCGCCTATAGACATGCATCCCGCTAATTCATTGCGACAGAACTTATTGAACGCTAATTTTACTGCCTTTTGTACCAAAGCCACCCGCGAAGCTTCGTTGCGGAGAAGGTGCTTTGCAAGCATTTGTATCTGAGTCATGGCTGTTCATTTATTTAATAACATTAATATACTTATCTATATATCTTTATACAAAATTTTAACCGTTATCCTAGTATCCCATAATACAAGTACAAGAACAACGCTTTTAACTTTGGTACACACATATAAAAAAAAAACTTACACTCAGTAAGGGATACTTGTGTTAATATTACGGTATCTATATTCGATGATTTTTTATAACGAGGGGATGTCTCACTTCATTAGTCGTACTGATTTATGTTAGCCCAAACTTCTATGGTCACCAGCTCACCAGATCTAGCATTACTCACTGGCCAAAATATCTTTTTGTGTAGTTTTCTTATGTCATAGCTTTTTAAGGCGTTCCATCTGTTCAATCTAGATCTAAGATCTAGTAAGTTGCACTCTAATGTCCACAGCATAAAGTCCTACTTATGAAGCCTTAATGGCCACAGATATTTAACGACCGTTTAAAAATTATTCGTTTGCCCCGTCCCTGATTTTAGATTCGGGAAGTCATTATTTTTAAAGTGAAAATTTTATTAGATTGCCACAATCTTTAGCATATCGCATTACATGTTTAATTGTTATTTCAAATAGAGACTATTAACTAGCATCAGTGCTTAAAGAATGCTCGCTTGCTTCGCTCGCTTAAGATTTTTTCCATTCTTTATAACCTAGAATAACTTATCTATATAAATTTATATAGATTATATAGATTTAAGTTCTGTAGAACAGTAAAAGGACTTTTATTTAAGCACAGTAACTTCTTTTACAGAGCTTCCATGGCCCTTCCCATGGTTCCCGGCTCCTTTCCGACCCTGGATCATAAGGACCAACATTTTTGGTCAAAATGGTACAAACGAGTCCAAACACTTGATGGTAATCATTTATCACAGAGTTACAATAGATTCCTCCCAGCTCCAACATCAGACCCTGGATATCATGTAGTGATAGGTGTTGGTGTTAGATAATTAGGGCACAGATAACTTTTCTATGCAATCCAATATGTCTATCATTCTTCCCGAGATGTGTGGAAATCATATCAGGAGATGGCAAACAAAACGGTATAATTACATAAAATTACATTTCACAGGAGCTGTATAAAACTGAATGATATAACAGGATGAAGAGGAGGGTGGAATTTTGTATGGGAAACCAATTTTTCAACGCATACCAAGAAGCGGGTTATCACTAGTTCTTATAAAATTTTGTTCAAAATAAACCCTGGGGCTACAATCTTAAAGTCGATATATCGTGGAATTCATCGTGTCGTGTATTATTCTACTATATTAAAAAAAATGTAAGTTATATTAGGATTGATATAGGACAACGGTGATGATCACGATATTATTTTCAAACTCACCCAAGAGTGCAGGTGCATATCAATGTGTCAAATTCGCAAAATTTACTTGAAACTTGGTGCCGCCAATTCAAGTGCTATCATTAAAAATAACTACGATCGATATTTGAAGGTCGCAAAAAATTGGGTCGCATCTAAAACAAAGAGGTTCAATTGATTGACCTGCCACATCGGGATTTGATGTCTTTGTAACTGGAACACTGTTATTGCCTATTTATGATTTCTATTGACGGTTTTCTTACATAGTAAAGTGAAGGTCAAATTTACGATACGATTCGCGTTCGCCTGCGATCGTTGAAGTTAAGCAACTTTCGCAGTAGTCGGTCATTGGATGGGTGACCAAAAATCTTCTATCTCGAGTTCCTCCGAGCTTCGGAAGGCACGTTAAGCCGTTGGTACCGGCTGCATCTGCAGTTGTCAGCACCCACCAATCCGCACTGGGCCCGCGTGGTGGGTCATGGCCCAATCTCCCTATTTTATACATAGGGAAGGCTTGTACCCCAACAGTGAGGACATTAATATGCTGATGATGATGATGCAATATTAATTTTTCAAAATTTCAAACATAATTCAACGTCTAAAATATTATAGACAATGTTAAAACGAAAGTGGTTTGAGGAAATGTCTTATAATTGAGATAAGGCACGTACTATATGACACTATTCTGCGTCATCACGCCTCATAATCAGCTGGGCTTGCCCAGCATGATTTGCAATTTCCAAACATCTCAAGATTGAGACGGGACGATGTTAATAAATAACCACCCGTGACATCTTACGTGTATGTCTGGCTAGACATATTTTTCTTGTCAAAGGACTATGGGCAAGTTCTCTATAAAAGCTTTTCAGTGCCTAAATTTTTCACTTTTTCTAGGCGATAAAAAACCTGTGACAGGTTCTTAATGTCACAGGTTTTTAATAATCAGGAAATCTAGTTCTTTGAAGTTTATGAAACGATTTTACTTATGTAGTATAAAATATATGATTATATTTAAGATTAAGAATTTAAAGCTTGATAGAGCGCCTACTAATACTATACAATAAATGGCATAGTGTATCATACAAGAGACGAACCAAAATGGTACCAAATATTCTTTTTAATATTTTATAAAGAGTGGCAAACAACCGTATGATCCGATGGTAAGCGGCCATCATAGCCTATAGACGCTTGTGAAACCAAAAATATCACTCACACTGTTCCCTACGTTTTTTTTGCGTGGGGGAAATGCTTTACGCATACCCTCTCACTGAAGAATGGAGAGCAGGTTATGTCGGACTCTCCCCTGCCTACCTACCAGACGAGAGAGAATCCCCTACTCGGTAGGCAAGGGCCTACCGACTAAAAGCCTCACGGTGTTCCAACAACATCGACGTTATGCGTTACTATGGGTCCGGAACGCACCATAACTGTTGCCTACCCTGACCCAATCCTCTTACGTACGTAGAGCCCTGAAACGTTATTCAACACCACCAAAAGGTAGTGTTATTTTACTTCCATCATATGAAGGTTACTTCCCCAGACGGAAGCGGAAAATCCGTGTCATCACAATCCATGTCCTACCTGTCTGTAGATAATAAGAAACTGCTAAAAATTACCCATGGTTACCCCGTAGTCTTCGCTCATACAGCAGGTGAATGAGGTGCACAAAACTTATTTTGCTGGCTTTTAATGATTCTGCCCGGCTAGTTTAAAGGCCCTACCTACTTGTGTAGTAGTGATTCTTAATATTAAAAGTGTTGAAAACGATTCCCAAAAAATGGTACTGGATAAATTCTAGGCTAGTTTAGGTTTTAGTGTGCATTCAAGTATGTGTTACAAGATTTTATTTAGTTTCACTTCCGATGTCTGTTTATCTGTCTGTCTGTTATCCCATCTTGATAGTTGATATTGACCCATTTCCCGCTGTTCCATCAAAATAAAATTTACGTCTTCGTTAAATGCATATTCCATGGAACAAAATGAAATTCGCATGGAACTGATTTGATAAGGAACTGGTTTTATAATCAGAATGCAGTCATGTGGACTCTTTAGTAAAAGGATGTAATACCATTATTTTTGATACCGAATTCTGATTATGGAATCAGAGATAGGCAAATATGGGAACTCTAATTCAAAGGCAAACCCATTGAATTTGACTCCATTGTATTAATTGATTTGTAGTGTTCTATATATTTCTGACTTTTTAGTTATTTTTTATTTAACAACAAAGTGAAAGTTTTAACCAAAAAAATATTTATTATAAATCATTTAATTAAGACCCAAGAAATAAAAACAAATCTTTTGGATAATGCAGCCGCAAGCGGGTTGGCATTTTAAATGGGTCGATTGGTTGTTGGCACAATACTTACTGATGAATCATTAGTTCAGCACGCAACCTATAATCAAGGTTGGGTTACAGATGATGGATTCTTATATAGGTCACCATTGTTATACTTTACAACGGCTGTTCTCAGATTGAGTTAATACGGATGATGACTAACTTATTTTTCTTCGCCTATCAGGTCGATTATCAAAATGTATCGGAGACGTAGTTTTTCTTTTACCAGATAATCAAATTCTTACAGAGATATATTGTATTGGAATGTCACATGACGTCACGCCTTGACACAATTTTTATTTAGCAGGTACGTCATGAGCGGACACTCAAAATTAGACGCGCTTTATCTTTGTAATTTTTTTGGTAATTGACAAAAGAAAATATAAGTGTCCACTACTTTTTGATAATCTAACTAACGGACTAAATAGAATTTCTTTTCCTTTACCGCGTCATCATCCCTATTATGCCTCTTCTTTGTAAGAAGCTAAATATGTACCTACGTCGTTTGAAATGGATTTCAGTCATATTGCTATAAGTTCTTGAGTCAATAAATCTTCAATTGAATCAACAACTAATAGTAATATTCGTAAACAAGATGATAAGCCGAAAATGTATATATAAATTTGTTTTCAGGTATGCGTTAACAGTATTAGCGTTATTGGAACATCGCTTGAGTAATGGACAGTCTACCGAGCATAACTGTAAGTTAGATTTTTTTATCACTTCTATTAGAAAATAGTTTTGTTATCTGTTTACACAGACCAAAATAGCGTTTTTATCCCTATGTATAACTATATTGTGGATATTGTTAGTAAAAGTTCGGATCACCAAAAATACCAATCACAAACATTTTATGAACATGTCACATCAATGTGTGAAAAAATACAAACGCATGAAATACATTCAGCCTTCGTTCATAATTGTTTACTCAGATTCCCAGAATCGGATTCTTTTGGTTTTATATAAAAATAACGTTTTCCTCGAGAAGTGACAATGAATAATAACTTTTACTTACAAGATCCCGCGAATAATGTACACCGATAAAAAATAAACCGGGTCACCTGCCACCCTGGAGATCTGATTCGATTTTCACAAGAAAAAATTAAAACAATTAATATCAAAACTTGTACTACTGAAAGTCGATTAAAATGACGGAAAAAATATTCTTAAGTACTGTCAACTTACTTTGTAATCAAGCAAGCAAGAAACATAATGCTAACGATTTGCTAATTGTTGAATAAAATTGCGATTATCGTGTTTTTTAAAAATGAGTACTGTCTGATACTTCTTATCATTTTTTAGTTTGTGTCTATCGTTTTCTCCAGAACTGTATTTTTGCTGTGATTTTTAGTACCGATGAATAAAACCGAAAAATGAATCTTTTTTTTGAAAAAAAACGACGTTGGTGAAATAAGTAAATTGTACTACGTGTGGTCTTAGAGCGGATACATATAACGCTTTGGTGGAGTGTGTGCGTATATAAGCCGAAAGCAAATCATTTGAACTGGAAGTCAAAGGGAACCAACCTTAGAGATGTGGGATTATGCAATATTATCTTGTCTCAACCGACTTCAAAAGTAGCTATTAAGCTGTACAGTTTTATTGTTTTAAACTTTCATGGTCACTAAAATTATAGTAATATAAGTTATTTACGGGATTGTTACCATGTACCTTGTTTTTAGGGAGTTTCCTGCCATGGCGCTTGCAACAGCGCCGAAATATCGGAAACTCGCTAAAAACAAGGTACATGGTAACAATCCCGTAAATAACTTATATTACTATAATATACAGTTTTAGTTATAGAATTGTTTAGAATAAGGAGTAGAAATAGTTAATTAATAGTATATTTATTGTAAACAGTACCCTTAGCACGAACTAATATCGAACTCGAATAGTTTGCGAGTCCGAAATGCCGTTGTCAAATGTGTACTAATTTTTAGTTTCACGTTACGTACTTTGTGGCTCTGCTGTTCAAGTTTCCATACAAAATTTGGCATCGACATTTCGACTCACAAACTATTCGAATTCGATAATGGTTCGTGCTAAGGGTACACGCTGACATAGTCGCCCAGCGACTAAAGCCTTTAAATACAGAAAAAAGAGGAAATCAAATTGGGTCAAAACAGTCTTATGATTATTGCAGACAACTTCACTACCGTGGCACCTCAGCTGAATCAAACACCTTGTTTCCCGCAACGGCCTGGCGATGTGGACTTCCAGACGGTGGACTTGATCGCGGTGTATCGTCTGGATTGGCCCCACGCACCTGGAGTGAGGATGGTGCAAGGGTCCCAGGATCTGCAGCGGGCGTACCGCATCGGAGACGATGCCAATTTGACTTTACCAATCGAGTAAGTGTAGGCACCTCGAGCACTAGAAGGCCACGACCACGACCAGTGGCCGCAACGACCAGATTTACTAAAGAAACCTTATTTGTAAATCTCGCAATTTTTCGTACCTATATAATAATAATAATAATAACGTTTATTTTTCTCATTACAAATAAAGTCTTAAATCTGGATAGAGTTAAGTGTTCTACCGTTATTTGTAAGGAGACTGGCAGCAAAGCCGTGGCTTATAATATTGGATACCAGGATCCTCACTCTCGGAAACCAAATTTGGTAAATGTACATAATTCGGAGACATAAAAAACAAACATTATCAATTCAGTTCACTCATTTTAAAGCTGCTTGGATAAAATGTGAACATGAATTATCTTAATCTAATAAGAAATATAAGTGCAACACTGCATTCCATGTAATATATCCACCAAATCACATATTACGTAATTATTTTACTTCTATATTTGTTTTTTTTTTATTAAGATTATGGTGTCAATTCTGGCATGATTCTCTAAACTTGAAGCTAAATTTAACATAAGTCTCTCCTTTTCATTCTGTATAGATACTGACAAGGATACACTATTGTCAAATTTAAGTTTAGGTTTAGAGAATCATGCCAGAATCGAGACCATTGTTTATTTTTCGAAACTATTTAAGCATAGAATATTTAAAATTGGCCTAGATAGTTTGATTTTAACACAGGTGCTGTCTTTAATACGTACCTAGTCATGAAGGATTTTTGCATGTTCATATTTTTGTAAGTTTCACTTTTATCGCATGTAAACAGGACATGTCCGTTTTTACCGTTTTTTTTCTCTGAAAGATTGTCTTAAGCAACATTGATAAATAACTCTTACAGCACGTTTTTACAAAATAAATATTGTTTTGATATCTGCTGCTCTACATAGGATACAATACTATGAAAATAACTGAAGCATACAGTCGTAGCAGTATGTACATTCAGAAAGTTGTCTAATTTCGTATGGCCTAAGGCGCTGAACTAAGTTTACCAGCTGAAAGTGAAATATGAGGATTCCATTGCAATTTTGAGTCGTAGTTATACTTAAGTACTAGCCGTGCCCCGCGGTTTCACCCGCGTTTACAATCATCAACAAATATATTTCGAAAAAGATTATTACAGGATTTTATGTTGATAAAAAACTCTATGGCATGGGCCATTAATAGGTACCAACTCTTAACACACGTGATAACTTTTAAACGAAATATCCGATTGAGATGAAACAAAAAGTATTTTGCTACCACGGCCCTATTCGCCGCGTCGAAATTTTCCTAGCCTTAAGCTGCAAGGCAGCGCCATCTCTTCGCATTGTAGGTAACCCACAATGTCAAATGAATACTTTTTCAAGTATTAAACATTTGAAAGAAGAAATAGCAATTATAGTTATGTTTTTTTTTATTTATTTTTTAAGCATTTAACTGTTCCCTATTCGCCGCGTCGAAATTTTCCTAGCCTTAAGCTGCAAGGCAGCGCCATACAATGCGAAGAGATCGCCGTGGCGATGGCGAAAATTTCGACGCGGCGAATAGGGCCGTAGTAGCATAATGGTCAGTGCATTCGCCCGGATTGCGAAAGGTGCGGGTTCGAGTCCCGTCCGCTGCCTGGTCCGCGTGGATTTTTTTCTAGTAAACTTTTCTTTAGATTTAAACATCTAGCAGTTAAATGCTTAAAAAATAAATAAAAAAAAACATAACTATAATTGCTATTTCTTCTTTCAAATGTTTAATACTTGAAAAAGTATTCATTTGACATTGTGGGTTACCTACAATGCGAAGAGATGGCGCTGCCTTGCAGCTTAAGGCTAGGAAAATTTCGACACGGCGAATAGGGCCGTGGTAGCATAATGGTCAGTGCATTCGCCCGGATTGCGAAAGGTGCGGGTTCGAGTCCCGTCCGCTGCCTGGTCCGCGTGGATTTTTTTCTAGTAAACTTTTCTTTAGATTTAAACATCTAGCAGTTAAATGCTTAAAAAAATAATTAAAAAAAACATAACTAAAAAGTATTTTACTTCTACATAAATACTCTTGATAACATAATGCTTAATTTCGAAAAAGATTAATATTACGATACATATTTAACGTAGTTTTTATTTTCTTCAGACGATTTAATAATTATTTTGAACACAAAATCGGTTATTGTGATTAAACCATGATAGCTAGATATATGTTCTTGCGGACTTTTTTGTAGGTCTTAATGGGATCTACAAACCCGTAGTACAACATCATTTTGTTCTATTGTCAATAGTTTTTGCAGCGCACGCAAAAATAGGTATTCGATTTTACACCTTGTGTTACAAAATAGCAATTCTATTACGGATCCCAACACTGAAAGAATTATTCAAATCGGACCAGTAGTTCAAGAGATTAGCGCGTTCAAACAAACAAACAAACAAACTGTGCAGCTTTATGATATTAGTATAGATAACGTTGATTCAACTTAATTTAGCTTTACATTGTTTAATTTACATAAAGATAAAAAACAAAATATCTATTATATTTATTTAAGCATTTAATTGCTACATGTATAAATCAAAATAAATTTTCCTAGGAAAAAATTACGTGGTCCAGGCAGCTGATGGGACTCAAACCCGCACCTTCCGCTATCCATACATCCGCCCGGATTCAGATTTATTCTTAAGATTTATAAACAAAATGTCACTATACACAGGCAGGTGTTTCCACACGGGCTGCCAGATTATTTCAGCGTGGTGGGCACATTCAACGCACGGGGCCAGCGTCGGCCGTGGAGTATCATCAGGGCGAGATCGGAAGATCTGGAGTTCTCCCTCACATTCTTGCCTACCGCTAAGAAAGTCATCGTGTACATCCAAGGGACAAGAACTTCTTTCAAAAGCAAACTGGTGAGGATTTGTAGATTATTTTATTAGGGTTTTTAGCATATGATTCCATGCAAAAAGTGGGATCCTATTGAGTAAAGTCTGCCCCCATAGGCACGTTATTATGGGTCGATAATATAAGATGCGTTATTGCGATATCTGTTTCTAGTATATTATGTATTAAAACAGTTACGAAGTTACATCTGCGATAATATCGACTAGGGTTTTTGATTTATAACTATTTTCGTTCTCGGTGCACGGGAATTCTCGAGGCTGAATTATCGAGTTTTCTCGAGTCTCGAGGATTTCAAAGTAGATGCTGGAGATTCTCAGATCTCTGGCTCGAAAAAAATATATATAAAGAAAAAAACTCTAAATAACACGAAAGAAACGTATTTTTATTGCCCCGAACTGCACGTATTAAATGAAACATAAAAAGCCCCTAATACTTATAATAATTAGGACGGTCATTCTCACGACAAGATGTTATTCTTATCTTCCATCAATATTTTTAAGGTTCCGTAGTCCGTAGTATATAATATAATCGTATTATAGTTTCGTCCTGTCCGTCTGTCCTTCATTTTTTCAGGAGAGCTTCCCTACATGTAACCTGGAGATGATTTTATTTTTTCATCGTCTACCCCATCGTATGTAATATAGTTGTATAGGTCCTTTAAAATTACTTAGGGGTTTCTAATACTTTTTTTGATTTAGTATTCGATGGTAGTGCAAATTTTTGTTCGAGTAGGGCGTTTTCCCCTCCCTCCCTCTAAAAGCTAAACTATTGGGTTAGAAATTCTAGTAAAATTCATGATAATATTGGTTCAATATACTAGTACAATGTTGTCTATACGGAAGTGTGTGTGAACTCAAATTCGTCTGAGAGTTTCTGTTATATTTGTGATCTACGTAATTTAAAATTTGGCAGACCCCTCAGGGGCAAAGTTGAAAAAGGTGTTTTCGTTGGTACAGATATTAGCTGGCTTATGGCTGATCCACAATTCATCAAAACTATGAAGGATCCTCAAAGAGAAGGGTGGATTTGCTTTAACGTGGCCATAGAGAAATTTTTAGACGCTAACTGCAGGAGATCGTCAAAAATTAAATTTAAAAGTATATCAAGCTGTATGTTGCATAATTAAGCTTCAAAGAAAAATTTCTTTTGATTACTACTTTACTTTCCAGAAAATGTAGGAAATGTAAGTGAAGAACCAGGTGACCGATTTCACCAAGATGTTAAGGAGATGTAAAATAGATACAATGGATGATGGAGCGTCTCAATGATAGCAGATTGTTGGTAAACGATTCAGAGGGACCTACTAGATGCTTTCTACAAGCGAATATGTACCAAAACGAGTCTCACTGGTAAAAAGAAATGTGTTTAGTGCTTACTAATTAATGTAGTTTACATAAAAAATAAGTTTTGTTACGGAAAATATAATTGAAAACATTTTTTTAGTCTTGTAACTGTGGCTACCTATTCGTTCAAGTGGATACCTATTCGTCTTCGCCGGAATGCTCATATTCTCACTCTCTTATACAACATATTGTTTAATCCTAAGACCCCGCGCTATCTTAAGGACTATTTTATTTTCTTTCACACCTCTAACACGTTATCCCTTAGGTCATCAGAAAATCTTACTCTCATGACTCCTGTCCACGGTACAACATTTTACAGCCGTTCGTTTGCAGTGCGAGTCGTACATCTGTGTAATTCTTTCCCAGTTACCATACGACGTGCAGAATCTATTCACGCTTTTAAAAACCTTGTAAAGTCCCATTATCTGTCCGTATAGAACTTTTGGTTTTAACCTTATTTCTGATTTCTACCAACTGAACTGGACTTGTTTATTTATATGTATGTATGTATGTATTTATTTAATATATATTTATATTTATGTATGTATATGAATTATTACCTATATCACTCAAGTGATTTACGCCGCCGTCTCTCCCACTTCCTTCTAGTCCTCTCCATCCAAAGGTTGTCTGGAAGAGATCGCTCTCAGCGATAAGGCCGCCCATTGTTACACTAGTTTTAAATGGTTATGTACTAAATGTTAAGTTATCTGTGGTGTACAATAAAGTGTTTTGTATTGTATTGTATTGACTTTAATTTTAAGATGTTAACTTAACTTATTTAAAATAGATACCTATATTGTCAAAAAACGTGACTTTCCGCGACAAAATTAAAGTCATTTTCAGATTCAGCACACCCAAAATCATAAGTATTACTCAAAAAAAACCTAAACAGCTTTTAATTTTTTTTTTGCAGACTTGTGTTAAGTGTAGTGAACTAACCATTATTTTTGACAGGATATGAGTTTGAGAATTGAGAAACTGTTATCATAAAGCTGGTAACAGATGATTCTCTTAACTTAAAACTAAATTTAACATCAGTCTCTCCTTTTCATTCTGTATAGAGAATGATAAGGATGCACTGTTGTCAAATTTAAGTTTAGGTTTAGAGAATCATTTCGGAATCGACACCATTATGTAACTAGAAGTTTCTCAGTACTACAGCAATGACTGACCATTGCGAAAGTAGCTTAACTTTCATGATCGCAGGCCGAATGCGCTAACCATCTACGCTATTTAGCTCCACAGCAGTCGTTATCACCCACCAATCTCGCACATTGCAAATCTAAGGACATTGGTTATGATGAATGTTTCTAATTGCTTTCAGTTGTTTGCACCGGGCTGGCACAAAATTCATATGGCACTTACAAATAAAACGATACAATTAGCTGTCGACTGTATAGAGGTAAGTTATAAAAAATATGTAGTCTTATATATAAAATTCTCGTGTCATAATGTGAGTTATAGACATGGGCGTTTTTGGTTTTGAACGCAAACGGATATTTATCGGATTTCAGATTTCAAAATCGATTTTAAAATCCGTTTTTAAATATCCGATTTCAGATGTGCTGAACTTAGCCAATTCACTAGTTTGTGTTATGATTTGGTTTTATTAGCTAACGACAATCACAAACAATTAATTGTAGGAAGTAAGGATACTCGTAGATATTCGCGATTTTCCTTCATGCTTTAAATCTAGGCTTAGGACTAGCAGAAAAGTTATAATTACGGTTAAGAGTAAAACTTTTGCGGCGCATTTAAAAATCGGCTTTTATACAATGATTTCTTTTTACATATTTTTTAGTATTTTTATTTGTTATTCTGTTTGTTTTTATTATTTTTCAAACCATTTACAAAATCAAACCTAATTACTTCAGGTTAGCGTCCAAAAATGTAAGTTGCTCGACTTTTGATGTTTTTAGACGACATATCTTTTCAGTGATAAATAATCCCGCCTCAGAGAACAGCAATAGATTTCCGTAAACAGCAAATCGAAATCGGAGTTCCGAGCACGAAATCTTACTTCCGAAAACGAAAGCACGAATTTCGAATCCGATTTAGATTTGGATACTTGTGGTATTTGGTTTTGGTTCGGTTAGATTTCTGAAATCGGATTTTCTTGTTGAGAAATCGTTCGGTATCGATTTGTGTTTGAAATCGGATTTTGGATTCGTTTTGATATATCGGACGCATGCCTAGTGAGTTACCATACTCCTCCGAAAAGGCCTGACCGATTTTTATGAAATTTCATATGCATATTCCGTGGGTCTGAGAATCGGCTACTATCTATTTTTCATATCCTTAAGTGATAATGGTGGTCTACCTGTAACGTAGTATTCTGAAACCTACAATGTGCCTTCGCGCCAAAATTCAAACTATTGGGTATTGTAACGTAGTGTTCTCATATGGGTTAGGAGCACAGACTATTAGATGCTAGGAATGTTATCCCAGGAAAGGGATAGAACACTACGTTACACACCCCTAAAATTTTTTGGACAATATTTATTTTTTTATAATGCGCTATTAAAAAATACATACAACCCTAAATTTTCTCTTCAACCTCCTGCCCCTATTTTTATGGCGGTACGAAGTTCGCTGGGTCAGCTAGTTTTTCTATAAATTATTTAACCTACCTATTACATTAAATGATAACATTCTGATGTTATAGTTCTCTTCAACATAAATAAATATATAGTTATATTTTTGCAGTATATGTAATTTTTGTTATTCTGTACCACTGTAACTCTTTACAGGGAGAGTACTGCTCTTCTGAGATACAGGCCGCGGCCTAGTTCAGATACCAGGTTCTCCACAATCTTGACTAAAGGAAATTAATTCATTAAGTTTGTATTTTTTTGTGCATGGGAGAAAATATAAAGCATTATTATTATGTCGGTACGCTTTTCGGTCCATGGGGACCCGGTCCTTTGAGGCATTCATGGGGCCAAAGTCAATATGAAGAGGTCTTTTAGTACCTTTTTCTAATAAGTGAGATGGCTGCATCTATGAAGGTCTACCCCTTAATGTACCATTGAGATGCACTAACGGACAGTCCTCCATAGCTGCCGAACTATTGCCAGGGAGGGATGTACTTGGTTTGGGCTATGTGGATGGGATGTTAGTGGACCGGATAATTGGGTTATGGAGTGAGATACGGACATCTACCTAAAAATCTCTCACAACAATTTTAGCCTGGTAGATGGTGACTTGCGACTTGTTGGCTATTCAGCCTGTGGGCACCCTAACTAGCCACGCGGCCAGGGCACAACACAATGTGAGTAGCTGAGGGTGTCGAGAGGTGCGGCACCGGTTTCACCATAACGGGGCCCTCCCCCGAGAGCGACTTTTCATTTAGTGTCGCCGTACACGGGCTACCGACCACAACCACAAAACGCCGCCACCGGCATATTTATTGTAGTTTTCATACATTTTATATGGACTCGCCACACACGGTACGCCGGTGGCCGCCACACGCTACAAATCGTCGTTGCTCACTTCTTGTGGCCCACACCGGCCATTTAATGCGCCGATACAAAACGCCCCCCACACCTCTCTCCCTTACCTTAGACGGCCGCTGTCGCTCGCTTCAGCCACTTTAGTAGCCGCTCTAGCTTCTCGTGGCGGCGTTTGTGGCTGTGGCGTGTAGCCCAAGTCCGGCGACACTTATAGAAAATAACCGATTATTTCTCTTCTACAATTGTGGCATTAAAAAGACAGAGTAATTATAATTTTTGTTACAGCAAAAACCTGAGAACGTTACCAGACATGACTTCAGGAACGCCACAGCAGTTACCATCGTCTCCAATGATGATGGAACTCCAGCTCATGTAAGACAACATTTATAAGGGACGACTATTATTATTTTACCCTCATATTCACGACATTAAGAATAACGGCAGTTGTCCCACTGCCGGCGAGGAAGCAACCAACTATCGGCTATTTTCTCGCTGAAGAAACATACAGAACACAGAAAGAGTTAAGAAGGGCCTTGTGAGCGGGGCAGGCGCGCCACAGTAATGTGTGAGCAAATGCTCATAACTTGACCAAAACTTGGTTCTGATTGCGGCCTTGCACTCGGCTGTGAGCGCTGATTGGTTCTAATGTTTGATATTGCGTCGTTTGATTGGCTATAAGTCGGTGACATTGGTTCCCGTACAAACGGTATATGATCAGCGCCCTTCTAACCTCTTTTGTGTTCTGTGAAGCATACAATAGATATAGGTACATTCCGTGAAAACAAATTAAGAGATGTTTCATAATAATACTGATCGCTGACTGTTCATTGTTTCGGCGAGAATTCGATCTACTAGTATGCCGTTGAGCGACAAGAGCCATTAAAGGTAATTCTCGCCCAGCGATGCTCGCTCCTCAAAACGCGTGCGTTTGCATTTTTGGCCAGGACTGTCGCAGCGAGCGAGTGGTGCGACTAATCGCACAGGGTTAAAACCATTGGAACTAAATACTCGTTTCCCGCTGCTCGTGAACTCGTTTCTAGTTTCTAGCTTTACTCGCTTTTCATTCATCGTCGGCAGAGGGATACGGACAGTCTAAGTCCGACTTGCGTTAAAATAAAAGCTTATCATGTTTGAACATCATTATAATATTTCTATTTAATTATAGACTTTTAACTAAAATGGCAAAATATTTAATTTTATTTTAATTAAACTTAACGTGGTGAAGCTTATTGTAGAGTGTTGTTAAGTTGTACGAGTATGTTTAGCCAATGTGGTAAAATTGACGATCAAATATTTTATTGTGATCAATAGATTAACACACTCATATTATATTATTATATTATAAAGGCAGAAGTTTGTGAGTGTGTATGTTTGTTACTTCTTCACGTCTAAACGGCTGGAGCGATTTTAATAAAATTTGGTACGGAGTTAGCTGACACCCTGGATTAACACATAGGTTACGTTTTACTGCGGGAAAATATCTCTTATAAACCACGGGCAACACTGCGGGGCACTGCTAGTGTGTAATATAACCAACTAAACCATTAATTTGTTATAATTAACTTTTTCAGATAGACTTGCAGTGGCTATCTCTCAGTTGCAGCCAATACGTATTAAGAAATGATAGCTGCGAAGAAATTGTAAGTGCTACAACTGACATATTATTCGCTATGTGCGAAGTACATGGTGGGGGTATTGTGAAACGATCGCAGCGCTTATCGTGGCAGAAATACGCAACAATCCGGGAAAGTAAAGTCAATTTGCACGGAGTTCGTAATAAATAAATTTTTTAAAAAGCCTATTATTAGATGTTGTTGTGTTGTGAACTGCAAAAATAACGGCACAAATAGTCTGTGTTTATATTTCCTACATTGGACTGGAAATTAAATCAAAGAAATAAGTGGATAGATGCCATAAAAAGAAATAAGTAAGCGAAATAACCATAAATTATGATCAATTTTATTTGCGCTATATTTTATGTGATATTCATTATTTTCTTTATTATTTTAGTGTAGATGGGTCACCATGGTATCCCAAACCTGACGACACAATTTGTAGTGAACATTTTATGGGAAAAAAAATCAGACGAGGAAGAAAATCCGAGTTATGCTCCTTCGAATATTCCCTGAAATATATCGAAAGAGGAAGGTTAATGATTCACAGGTCCTAGCTAGATATACACACTTGACAAAACGATGAACCACAAAGTCTCAGATACCACATCAAGTCAAATAATAATTAAATCAAACTCAACCTTTTATGGTCGATCAAGTATGTCAAGTCAATATGTTTTCTGAATCGAAATTAAGAGATACAATTTTTATTTGTATTAGATTAATTTACAACGATCACTGTGATGCTGAAATCCAAGCAGATATAGCAACATCAAGAATTTTAATGACAAATAATTTAAGAAATAAAGATAAAAGCTGTGGCACTGACAAAAAATCGTATGAGGATCAATCTACCGAAACAAAAAGTCAAGAATTTGTTGGTATTTCATCAATAAAAAATGATCAAGAACTCCTAGATCTTGCTGGTGTGTCATTTAGCAATTTTGAGTTTTTATTAACTATAAAAAAACTGTACAGTTTCCACTAAAGACCGACTTCTGATTTTTTTGATAACAATGAAAACTGGCTTGACATTTTCAGCATTGAGTGTGTTATTTGGTGTACACAAAACCACAATCTCACGTATATTTCATTCGATCTTACAAAATGTAGCTTGTTCAACTGCTAATTTAATCTTTTGGCGGAATAGAGCCACCGTACAAGCAACAATGCCCAAGTGTTTCAGTCCAGATTACATCAATACAAGAGTTATTATTGACTGTACTGAATTCCGAATTGAAATCCGACAGTATTTAAATTATTATACTTAAGTACTTACTTATAATATTTTTTATTTATCTTTAATTTACTATAGTTACTAGAAATCAATAAAATACAAACTGATGTCATTATTTGGCATAATCCCGGAAAGTTGCGCATTGTAGGTGGCGCTACTGTCGTGCACATAGCGAATACCTACATATTTTTTGTGTAAATTCTTGTGACGTTTATAAAGTTATTAAATCATTAGTGAAATAATACTTTTTATAATTTGTTTACTGAATGTTTTAGCTGAAAAGTTGTGTTGTAATTTACAGATCAAGGTTTGTGTAAAAGAAACTTTTAAGAATATTTTTTGGAAAACCATCAGGAAGTAAGGGATTAAAGGATCCATTATTTTCTTCATACAACTGTACCCAATTTTATACCTCAAGTATGCATTTATGTGTAAAAAAAAATACACCGAATTCATCAAAACTATAAATGGAGTTTAGTATCTTAGTATCCATTTGTACCGCATACAAATGTCGTTGAAAATTTTTAATTAATAGCAACATAGATAATGTATTATGGTGAATCGTCAGTAATTTTTTGGATTTGGATTGGAACCGTATAAGTGAAGATACAAACTATACGCTTTTTTCTCACGTGTTAGATAGAACTTCAAAATATAAAAAAAATCCTTAGATAATGATGATGACACCTACTCAAACAGTTTTATATTATTTCAGAAACAAATATCTTCCGCAGAGACGCTGATTGCTTCATCTACACAATCACCGGTAAGTTTCTAAATAGTAGAATTTTCCTATGTTTTTGTTAACCCATAATGGATTTTTAATTCGATAGATATTCTTTATTAAATAGGCTATTTTAAATAATGAGAAATAAAGTACCAATTGAGGAGCTGGCGGACAAAACGAAGTATGTTACATAAAATTAAATTTTACAGGGGCTGTATAAAACTGAATGACATACCTTACAGTGAGGTTTTGGCATGGATTTTAATTTATAGAGTTAGTAATTTCAACACTGTTTTAGGTAGTTTTGATTGAAAGGTATTTGAGATTCAAATTCAACGGGCCCGAAACCTGCGGACTGTAAAAACAGAGTAGTTTGACCAGATGCGTAATTATACTGTTTTGTTCGCCAGCTCCTCAATTGACAAAATATTTTATCAAGAATATTGGGAGCGATTAACAATTCTGACAAAAAAAGAAGTTGATAATATTATTATTAAGAATCATGAAATAGAACAGTATTTTTGAACTAATGTCACATGACGCCTAGGATTAGCGGCGCCTAAAATGATGTTACCTGCTTGTAGACATGCTGTAGAAGTGTCACTACTTTGTTCTAATGGTTCTTTTAATGAGAGCTCTGTAACTACGGGACATTGGCGTTTCTTTGAAAAACGGAAACAGCCGCATATAAAAAAAAAAGTGCTGTATGACGTCTCTTGCCTGTATTTGCTAGAGAAACGTTTCCGCAGCATATTTGAAATTATCATTTCTGTTTTAACACTTAATCAATAAACATTTACCTTTTAAGGTTTAATAATAAGTACACTAAAAAATAACTTGTCAAATAGCCTATTTTACCGGCAAACGATATATATGCATGGAAATAGAGAAATTAATTATTATATATAGTAATAAAAAAGGGTTAGTACAGTATCTATGTCATGTAATGGATTGATCTGCTTGGTTCGAGTAGTGTAAAATTTTCGCAGTGCTGATATTGATTTGATACCCATTCTTGTTAAATAACGATAAGTACTATAATTGCTTTTTTAGGAGTTCGATGCAGGGTCAGGAAGCGATACTATAGCTGTGGGACCGGCCGGTCCAGTGTGCAACGTCACCTGCCCCCAAGTGAGTATATGTTGTATGTACTAATATAATTTTTAGATTTCCTTCCATTGTTCATCAATTAAATAATGCCCTGGTAGATAGCGCGTTCGAGATACGTTTGTGGAAGTTAAGCAACTTTCGCAATCAATCAAATCAGGTGATCAAAAACTGCATATCTCGATTGATGTTCTCCGTGCTTCGGAAGACACGTTAAGCCGTTGGTCCCGGATGCATCTGCAGTTGTTAGCATCCACCAATCCGCACTGGGCCCGCGTAGTCATGACTCAATCTCCCCATTCCATCCATAGGAAAGGCCTGTGCCCCAGCAGTAGGGACATTAATAGGCTGATAATAATGAATCTCTTTAAATATAAATGAATCACTATATCCCATGGTCAAGCGAGGACTAATTTACTGCTTTCATCCATCTTTTTTTGGGTTTTCAAATATTTTGTACACATAAATTCAAATTCAAATTCAAATTCAATATCATTTATTCAGTCTAGGCTGTTACAAGCACTTGTGAATGTCGAAAAGCTACGCCATCGGTTCGCAAATCTACGGCGGGAGACCTTGTACTGAGAAGAACCGGCAAGAAACTCAGCAAGGGCTGTTTTTTTCTCCCTGTATTATATACAGAGTCGTCAATTTGAAAAATGAGTTCAATATGAGATAACCCATGAAGTCACTTTCCATTACAAATGTAAATGATAAAACAATTATGACTATAAAATAAAACGTATAAAAAACAGATTTAAAAATGAAAAAAAGTTTAGGAATGCCGTGTCCCACTGTTTAGGCATAAAAACAACAAAAAAAAAACAACAACAACATAGAAACTAAAAGCTTCTTACGGCCTTGTGAGCGGGGCAGGCGCCCCACAGTAATGTGTGAGCAAATGCTCATAACTTGACCAAAACTTGGTTCTGATTGCGGCCTTGCACTCGGCTGTGAGCGCTGATTGGTTCTAATGTTTGATATTGCGTCGTTTGATTGGCTATTATCGATTAGTTGGAAGTGTAGTGGGAGCAAGTCGGTGACATTGGTTCCCGTACAAACGGTATATGATCAGCGCCCTTCTAACCTCTTTTGTGTTCTGTGAAGCATACAATAGATATAGGTACATTCCGTGAAAAGAAATTAAGAGATGTTTCATAATAATACTGATCGCTGACTGTTCATTGTTTCGGCGAGAATTCGATCTACTAGTATGCCGTTGAGCGACAAGAGCCATTAAAGGTAATTCTCGCCCAGCGATGCTCGCTCCTTAAAACGCGTGCGTTTGCATTTTTGGCCAGGACTGTCGCAGCGAGCGAGTGGTGCGACTAATCGCACAGCGTTAAAACCATTGGAACTAAATACTCGTTTCCCGCTGCTCGTGAACTCGTTTCTAGTTTCTAGCTTTACTCGCTTTTCATTCATCGTCGGCAGAGGGATAACAGTGTAAGTCCGACTTGCGTCAAAATAAAAGCTTATCATGTTTGAACATCATTATAATATTTCTATTTAATTATAGACTTTTGACTAAAATGGCAAAGTGTTTAACAAAAAGCCTTCATTTTAATTAAACTTAACGTGGTGAAGCTTATTGTAGAGTGTTGTTAAGTTGTACGAGTATGTTTAGCCAATGTGGTAAAATTGACGATCAAATATTTTATTGTGATCAATAGATTAACACACTCATATTATATTATTATATTATAAAGGCAGAAGTTTGTGAGTGTGTATGTTTGTTACTTCTTCACGTCTAAACGGCTGGAGCGATTTTAATAAAATTTGGTACGGAGTTAGCTGACACCCTGGATTAACACATAGGTTACGTTTTACTGCGGGAAAATATCTCTTATAAACCGCGGGCAACACTGCGGGGCACTGCTAGTGTGTAATATAACCAACTAAACCATTAATTTGTTATAATTAACTTTTTCAGATAGACTTGCAGTGGCTATCTCTCAGTTGCAGCCAATACTATTATATTTTGTACACATAGAAACTAAAAGCTTCTTACGCATAAAAATATAAATAATCGTTGCGCGAAATTCAAGTTTTCCCCTCTTACTAAAATTTGAGAAGCCCGATGCGGTAAAGATAATCATTATAATTATATCGATTGAATAATAATGTTTATTTTTTGCCAGGGTCCTATCGGCCCCCGTGGTCCTGCAGGAGATCAGGGTCCCAGAGGATTTCCCGGGCTACCGGTAACTATTGTTTAATATTTTTATTTCTTATGTGAAAATTTTACATGAAAAGACAAATCACGTGGTCCAGACAGCAGCTCGAGTCCAGCCTCGCTTTGTTATATTTCATTTGACGTGGATAAATTTTTGTTGAAATGAAATTATTACTTTATTTAAGTAGACTTATCGAAAGCTTTTTTGAGTCATCCAATATTTTTTTCCTACAACCCATTTAGGACATCTTCTAGCTGTTAAGAAGAATGGGCGCCAAATATTTATCAGCATTTACTTAACAGAATTTAACAGAAGTAGCGACAGTTTATATATTCTTTTGACGACCTCCGTGGCCGAGTGGTTTGTACGCCGGGTTTCATGGTGTCTCCGACTCGAGAGGTCCCGGGTTCGAATCCCGGTGGGGGCAGATGTTTGTGTGATAAATACGAGTATTTGTACTCCAGTCATGGATGTTTAATATGTATTTCTATATAAATAACACAAGCTAGGTGTGAGTGTTGGAAATATTTATTTAATTTAGTTGTTCTAATGTTGCTAATTCTAATTCATTTAATATAACATAAAATTCTAATTTCAACAAATAAATCCTTTAATAACATATACACAGCTCTTATTTCGCTCCTTTTGAGAGAATTTCAGGATAAAAAAATAATTTTGAACTTTAACACCTAAAGTTTGAACATAACTTTTCGTTGCAGGGCATCAGAGGCGAGAAGGGTTCAATAGGCCTGACAGGAGCTCCAGGGTTAAAAGGCGAAAGGGGAGAACCTGGTAGATTACTAAACGTAAGCATTTCTCATATACAAATTCCTGTTGGTGCTGTAGAAAAAGTAATATAATTTTTCAGGCAATCTTCTTTTAATTCACTGTTGATGATCGTTGTAGTGTAATCACAGCTATGTATAGGTAGCGGAAAAATTAATGAGCAAAACACAGACAAATAAACCGCGGACCGTTGAAAAGTTAAGTTGCCGCAGAACTCCGTGAAATAATGCTTATAGTATGTAAAATGTCATTTTTCGACAGGTATCTAATCAATGTTTTTTTAATTTAAAGCATTTTAAGCAAATTTTTACTATAAACTGATTTAATAGAAAATATTTGTGATATTTAAATGCATGGTCGGTAATATAGCCGTCTCTTTTCTTTGCGGTCCGTACCTGATATATGCTAACAGCGCATTCAGAATTGCGCGTGGAGTCAAAGAAATAAGGTCTATATTTTTTTTGCATATAGGAATAAGTCGTAAAATTTTACGAGTTTGCATTTCGAACTGTCATAAGTCTTTGACGGATGCGTTTTAATTAAGACTTTATAAAGTATGCATTAAAGGTGACTTTGAATGTTAAAATAATGCTTTCTATTGTTTTTGACTACGCGATCATCTTACGGAGCTCCGTACTTTTTGGACAGGTTTCGGGTACGATTTTATTCTTGTTGGTGTATCTAGGGTATTTAATATCGTTGTGTGTACCGTACCCCTAGCACGAATCATTATCGAATTTCAATAGTTTGCAAACCGAAATGTAAATGTCAATTTTGTATGGAAACTTGAACAACAGCGGCACAAAGTACGTAACGAGAACTAAAAATCAGTAGGGGAGACCGGGGCAGGATGGGATACTTAAGAGAAAAAACGTCATAATATGAAAATCAAACTCTTTATTATAAATTTCTTAGGACAAAAGCAATACTTATAATCTTAATTAACATAATTATAATGTTTTATCACTCTAAAATCACATATTTTTTTGGAAATAAGGAAGTAAATGACACATGCCAAATTTCTCGTCTTGCCCCATGATCGGGGCAAAATAAGAAACGCTATGAGGCATAATGAGTACACATTTTAATCTGCTCGGCAACGGTCACATGTATGAGCATCTTCATCCTCATCGTCTATACCTGTGCAAGAATTATGGGTCCAGCCTTTGCACTCACTACGAATAACCCATCCTTCATTGGATTGTGAATATAAGTACACACAATATATACAAGGACAATCATTTTCATCGTCTTCAGATGAACTAGTGTCACTTTCTTCTTTGCGTCTTTTGATTTTATTCTTTTAAAAACTTTATTTATTCCTTACTAAAAATTTGTTTTTTACAAATAAAAAACTTATTATTATATAGTAATGAAACACTCTTTTACTAACATATATGGGGCAAAACGAAATACTATGTCATTATGCCCCGACCTTTTTGCCCCAACAGACTCATTTTGCAAAAGTAATAACAGTTCTAACCTACAAAATTATTAAGCAAAAAAGCAACCTCAATTCGTTAGTTTTACACTACTGCAACAAGTATGCGGTAAGATAATACAATAGTACTGATACCTACCTTGGTGCACATCGATTCAAAACAGAAAACGTCGTAAAAATCCTCCAAAAAACTATATTTTCTCGCCACGCAGCCAAAACACGCAGTGACACATACGCACCCGCCGGCCTCATGTGACGCGGCTGAACATCGAGCGAATGGCGCTGTGTTAAGCTCTGTTGTGTTCACTAGTCACACACAAGCACACTTCCCGTCTTGCCCCGAGCTTCGTATTGCCCCGGTCTCCCCTACATATTTGACAATGACATTTCGGACTCGCAAACGATACGAATTCGATATTGGTTCGTGCTAGGGGTACCGTACCTGCCGTTATTTTTTTAAAGTAATAACTTTGTTTAGAACTTTACTCTTATGAATTATCTAAAGTAAAGTGAAAATGTGGCGGAGATGAGGTTTAAATTTAAAAGTGCCACTTTGAACAATGGACATCGAAACTATAATCCGTGTGTTTTAGGATACATTCGGGTATTCGGGAGCTCCTGGTCTTCCAGGACCCCAAGGATTGAGGGGAGACAAAGGAGAACGCGGCGAGAAAGGTACCACAATTAGGGATATTCCTTAGATATTCTCCCACGCACGCTGAGGTTGTGGAACGAGCTTCCTGTATCGGTGTTCCCTAGAGACTACAGTATGGGGTTCTTCAAGAAAGGTATAAAAAGGTTTTTGCAGGGTCGGCAACGCGGAAGTAACACCTCTGGTGTTGCAAACGTCTATAGGCTGCGGTAACCGCTTACCATCAGGCGGGCCGCATGCTTGTTTGCTACCTTAGTGGTATAAAAAAAAAAAGATTAAAACAAAAAAGGGAAGATACGGTTCTCGTGGCTCAAAAGTAAACCGTTTAAATTGAGGTGCATGAACACAATTCGCTTTAGTCGCAAATGGACGTTCAAACACGCTGCATGTGCAGTCAATAAAACAATATTGCGTATAGATAGATAGATAACACTTTATTGTGCACACCATATTAAATATTACACACTAGGACAAAACTTAAATAGTGAACAATTGGCGGTCTTATCGCTATATAGCAATTTCTGCCAGACAACCATAGGATGGAGAGATGAAATTTAATAAAAGAGGGGGTGTGCTAATATAACAAATAAAAATAATTACAATAAAAGATTCAGGATTAAACATACTCATAAATATCTACTATGCAAGTATACAAATATTAAATGAATGAGTAGAGAGACATAAACATACATACACACATACAGTATATTTTGTGTTATAAAGTTAAAACAATGCCTTCGATGCTTTTACGAGTATAAAGAACACAAATAGTTCAAGATCAATTAACAAATGCCACGGAAACACCTTTCATTCATTCATTTTTCATTCTCAAACATCATCTTTTCTCAAAAATCACGGTTTGTCGTGAATGTTATTTACGTAATCGCCACTTGTTACAAACGTGTGCTTGTGTGGGAGTTGCGTTGTAGTTGAGTCGGAGCATGTTTTATTTGATTCTTGTATGAGCATACCGTATCTTCCCTTTTTGTTTCATTCTAAGGGATATTCTCATTTCCATAATAATCATTTAGACCGGAAAATTACTAGCGTGTGAAGTAATTTTAGTCTCCGCCAATTCCAGGCGTATTCGGTCACGTGATCATGGCAAAAAAAATGTTTTTTTAGAAAAGTCAATAATTATGTCTTCGCTCAGAATAGTAAAATCGCAGCTAATATTCATATTAAATACAGGTGCCAATAATTGGTACTTCATTTTTCATACTGTTATCATCATCAGCCTATTAATGTCCCCACTGCTGGGGCACAGGCCTTCCCTACGAATGGAATAGGGAGTATTGGGCCATAACCCACCACGCGGGCCCAGTGCGGATTGGTGTGTGCTAACGACTGCAGATGCAGTCGGGCTCAACAGCTTAACGTGCCTTCCGAAGCACGGAGGAGCTCGAGATAGTAAATTTTTGGTCACCCATCCAATGACCGACCACTGCGAAAGTTGCTTTACTTCAACGATCGCAAACCACTTGCGCTATCGAGCTCCTAGCGCCAAACTGTTAAATAGCCTTTATTTTTGATTCTATAAAATTTAAACGTTTGACATTCTAGGTGAAGCAGGTCTCCCTGGTTTGTCTGGGTTTCCTGGACAGGATGTAAGTAACTTTGGTTATAGCAGTTCATAATCATCATCATCTTCAGCCTATTAATGTCCCCACTGCAGGGGAACAGGGCTTCCCTATAGATGGAATAAGGAGACTGGGCCGTGACCCAATATGCGAGCTCAGTGCGTATTGGTGGGTGCCAACGAGTGCAGATACAGCTGGGACCAATGACCTAACGTGCCTGTCGAAGCACGGAGGAGCTCGAGATAATAAGTTTTTGGTCATCCATCAAATGATCGACCATTGTGAAAGTTGCTTAACTTTCACGATCACTGACCGAATGCGCTAACCACAAGTTCCTCCTATATAACATTTATTTCCTCTAAATTACTGATATAATTTTTAAGTAGCATCAAACTAGACTCATATTTCATGTATACGATCTATGGTTCGATGGTGTCTGGATTGTTAAGAAAGACCCGTCAATGCTTCTGATTTAAAAAAAATAGCGCTAAAGGTAAATCGTCAAGCAGTCATAGAAATGCAATTTCATAGAAACGAAAATTGATGAATCGAATTTTCGCAAAAATAATAGCTATGTGATCTTCTATTGTAGCAAAATATTATAAAAATACATTTGCCACAGTAAACCAGTCTTTATTTGTTGCTGGTAACTAAAAAAGTAATAATTTTATTACTTTTTAAACCATCAATGTCGCAGAGACAAATTTATTTACCATCAATTGTTTTAGGATTTCCGTGGTAACAATCACATGATATTTACCCCATTTTTATAACAAATATGTCATCATCACCATCATCAGCCTATTAATGTCCCCACTGCTGGGATACACACCTTCTCTATGAATGGAAAAGGGAGATATTGCTTTCTTACTTATTTAATAAAATGATACCAGGGTGCCCCAGGACTTCCAGGCCCCGCAGGTCCGCAAGGAGATCGGGGACCTCGCGGCCCTCCAGGTCCAGCAGCTAACTTTAATTCATCAGTTGTTAAAGGTAAACTAATAAATCAATCAGCTAGACTGGGAGTAAAAATATTTTTATTTTTGAATATAATGATGAACTGGATCTTTAAAATTGTTTTATAATAATTTAAACTCAAATTGAGCCAAATTTGGTGGAGAACTCGTTTAAAGTAGGCCGCAGCCAAATATCATTAGTAATGGTGCTCACACTGGTGTTAAAATGTTGATTTTAACTATAATACTAGAAATTTTTACAGTCTGTAAGGAATTATTAAATGTTTTGAATACTTCTACATTCATAGAAAATGTTTACAAACATTTATAAAATTTCAAAACCAGACATCGGTTCTCAGATTTGCATTACTTTCCGAGGCAATTACACGAAGCTGGGTGAAGATCTGCTCATTGGCTAAGCTTTTAAATCAATTGGCATTCATTATTTAAAAAAAAAAAGATAAAGCGCTCTTAATGAATACGCCAAACGTTAAAAACTAGAGAAACGTATAGGGTCAAGATGTTTACAATCAAATGTCTTATTTTGTTATAATTTGTTAATTAACAAAAATGTTTGTTTAGAACGTTTCCTAACATTACCTAATATGAAAACATTTTTTGACATTGTGATTGTTAATGTTTGTTAAAAAACTTTTTACTAGTGTTGACACCATGAGGTTTTTCTATGCAAAGGGGAAGGCTAATAAGTATACGGTCTGCCTGGTAGTAGACGGCTGACGTAGCCTATAGATGCTTGCGATACTGCAAAGTATTAATAACAACGCATACCCTCATCTCATCCCCAACCGCTACCGCATATCACCGACGGAAACACAACACCATCCAACTATCATGTCACTATGGTCTTCTCTACGGCAGAGCTTAATTTGTGAATAGTAGGGGAGCCTATGAGAGGAGCTACTATGGAATTTCGACCTACTGAAAACATACTCAACATCAACAAAAGATAAATAACACATTGCTTTTAGGATCGAAAGGTGAAAGAGGTGCCCCTGGTTTAGATGGACATAATGGAATGCCTGGTGAAAGGGGCTTACCGGGCTTAGATGGACGAGATGTAAGCATTTTATTATAATTTAGATTTTAGAACAAATAATTTTTATAACGGTAGCGATCTTTAACGAATTTGCGCTGCCAGAAGAAGAAAGACAGTTCCTAAAGCAAAATAAATACATTGGCACATAAAACTTTAGAATACGTAGTGAAAAAGAAGAAATCACTAATATTATTCAGAGAAATTTGTGCGAAAGGTTACCTGCCGCTTATTGTAACCTTGAAAGAAGGAATGATGACCAACTTTTTTCTTCGTCATTACGTATTTTTTTTCTTTATCTACATAATCAAAGCATTACAGAGATATAAGTATTGATTTGAAATGTTCCATAATGTCACGTCTTGGTACAATTTTACTTAGAAGTGTAGTCATGAGCTGCCACTCCTAAACTTTGAGGCGCTTTAACCTTGTAAGTTTTTGGTTGATTGACAAAAGACAAAACTAAGTGTCTATAACTTTTGATAATCTAACTGACGGACTTACTAGAATTTCGTTTACCCTGTCATTATCCCTGTTTTAGCAAAAAAGTTTGTTTGATTTTATTTTGCCAAGCACTTAATGCAATGGTAGCTAGCTTGCCTTTTTAATAGATTTATATTTATTTATGAATGGTATCCATAGTACACAATCGAACTCTTGTAAACGAACCAAAACTATGACGTCCCAAATTCCGCGATAATTATGCTACGGCCACCTGTCGCGTTATCGCGAACAATTTCCGTTTTCATGACAAGTCAGGCCAAGTTATAAGTCTTAGCCATCAAAAACATAACTTGTAAAAAAACTAAGTCTCGCAACTCAGTTCTACTTCTTCTACCGTCAAAAGTTGTTCGTGAGATCCATGTTATGCCAAGTCGGTTAATTTATTCAGTCCCTACTTAAGGAACCTTCTGTCTTGAGTTATTACGAAATTAGCTCACCTAATAACATCTTATACCGACCATATCAATATTAAAAATCTTGTATATGTTAAATAAATATTTTGACTGGCACAACCGTGCCCCCAGATTTCTGACCGTGTTCTGAAATGAGACTAATGACTAAGGCCCGACATGCTGAAACCAATGTGAGCGTAGCGTTATGATATGATTTGTGGATTTTTTCTTCCAACCAGGGCATAGCAGGTCCACAAGGGTTGACTGGTGCTCCAGGAGAGAGAGGAGCTCCAGGTGCAGCTGGGGCGCGTGGTGAAAGGGGACCGGAAGGACCACAGGTATTAAGAGAAATATCAAATACTGTGCAAGTACTATTAGTAAAACTTCGCGCCAATATAATAAAGCAATTTCACAATAGTCATTATATAGTAGGAGAGCCCAAGCGGGGATTTTATGATTTACTTGAGCGCTGCAGAATAACATAAGAAGGCAACTTTGCTCCTTGTGAAGTACTCCCACCATATCCGAATATGTAGGGCCGAATGTCTAGGGCAGCAAAACAAATCAACAAACAGCCATGACTTTGAAGACGGAAAAAATATTGATCTGCAGGTTTGCATGGTGTGTAAGCAGTGTTGGGGGTGGCCGTACGAAAGGGTAGATATAGGAAACAAAAATATTCAAGCGCGTCAGACATTGAGAAGTAAGGGAGCGAGTAAATCCAACAGTCCCCGCTTGGACTGCCCAACTATTAGTTATATTTGAACTTAAAAAAAAGGAAATTTTTAATTTGGAACTTAAGATCTCATTCCCGATTACGTTTAAAAACATGGTTAATTACTTTTTCAAATTAATAAAATATTCTTATAATTATCAATTCTTGTATTATGGAGAAAAACATCTAAATCTAGACATTTTTATATGATAAATATGTATGTTTCATGCTTTATTCAGTTTCACTATAAAAGAAAAACTTCTTCTTATAATAATGCTGAAGAACTTTCAACAATCAGGTCAAATTACTTGTAGTATATTTTCCTTCACTAATAAAAGAAGGTACCACTAAGTGGATCTTCTGATGAGGTTCAAAAGTTGTTGACTCAATTGAACCCAAGTCTCGTCGCGACTTGAAGAAAGTTGTCGCGATTTCTCGACTCAAATCAGCTTTGGCCGGCATTTGGCATTCGATAAATCTCGATTCCCTTTTAATTAATTTTCATTTCATTATCCGAGGTATCTTGTCTGTATGTATGTATGTCTGTGTCGTGGAAGAAATTGTATGCAACCGAATTTGTCTTATTCTCTAAATAATATGATTTCCTTAAGTGTCACCGCACACGGGCCACTGGCCACAACCATAAAACACCGCCACCGGCATATTTCCTGTAGTTTTCATACATTTTGTATGGACTCGCCGCACACGGTTAACGCCAGTGGCCGCCACACGCTTCGTGGCGAGTCCATATAAAATGTATGAACACTACAGGGAATATGCCGGTGGCGGCGTTTTGTGGTTGCGGCCAGTGGCCCGTGTGCGGATATTAAGATATAGGTGTTGAAAATATTACCTAATCACAAAAACATAAGTATATAAAAATATATATAAACATCCATGACTTAGGCAAAAATACTCGTATTCATAATACTAACATTTGCTCCTCCGGGATTCGAACCCAGGACCTCTTGAGAGTCTTGAGTGGGCAACACCTTGAAACTGTTAAATGTTAGAAAAGGTGAGAAGAAAATCCTACCCATTGTAATTTAATATTTAAGCTAACAAATCTACTTCATAAATCACGTTATATTTTGGTGTTATCCTTTCATTACACACAGTACATGAAATAATTTTTATTTCACATTGTATTATGAAAGGTACAGGAAAGGAAGTAATTTTTCAACTTGACGACTGTACATATCCTACTAATATTGTTAAAGTTATAAGTTTATATGTTTGTGTATTTGTATGTTTGTTACCCAATCACGCAAAAACTACTGTACGGTTTTGGATGACATTTGGTACGCATATAGCTTATGACCTGGATTGAGATATAGGATACTTTTTATCCCGGAAAAATGTCAGGTTCCTGTGGGATTCTCAAAAATCTAGGCAGACTAGAGTTAACACCTAGGTAGCTGCGGGCGCCGTTAGTATTTTATTTTATAGATAGGTCCGACAAATGACTCCACCCTACCTGATGTTAAGTGACGGTTAAGTCCAGACGCGAAGATAGCTGATACAGCAGTTCTACCTGCCACACCAGCCATCCTCACCCTGCCGGCCTTCATGTTGCTTCTTCTATAATAATAATACAGGGAGAAAAAAAGCAGCCCTTGCTGAGTTTCTTGCCGGTTCTTTCTAGTACAAGATCTCCCGCCGTGGATTTACGAATCGAAACCGATAGTGTAGCTTCTAGACATTTATCATGAGTTCTTGTAACAATCAAAACTGAGTTTTATCGTCGTTCAGGGTCCCGAGGGTATGATGGGTCCACCAGGTCCAGCGGGGCCTCCAGGCGTCGCTGCTTCAGTTGTACCTGGTGTTAGTGTCCCGGGTCCTCCTGGATCACCCGGTGTAAGAGGAGAGGTGAGAAGGCCTTATTATTTATTTTATTTTATTTATTTATTTAAACTTTATTTCCAAACATAAGCAAACGGTGGACTTAATGCCATAGGCATTCTCTACCAGTCAACCAGTATGATTCATCATCATCATCAACAGCCTATCTTAGTCCACTGCTGGACATAGGCCTCTCCAATTGCACGCCACTCAGATCGATTTTGGGCTACTCGCATCCAGCTCCTGCCAACCACCTTGCGCAAATCGTCACTCCACCGTGCCTGAGGACGTCCTACACTACGTTTGCCTAGACGCGGTCTCCACTCCAGAACTCGTCTACCCCAACGGTTATCGTATGATGATTGTTGGAGACAAATAGTATGGCGATAGGGCAAAGTTGCTATCATCTCTTCTTGAGCAAAACCACAGACAAAGAATCTTGGGCAGTAGACGCTTTTGTATGTTAAATTGCTACAGCGCAGGCTTCTTTGTTTATTGTCGATGCTCAAGAAGTTTGCCGGGGTGTATACCAAAGAAGAGATTAATTAATTTGAGCAGAAATTAGCTGGGCAGGTCGGATCGGAACGCAATAATTCAAGCTTTTCAAAACTTTTCTAAGCTCAGACTGAACTAACTAGTAGATAAACTCGGTTTGGTTAAAATTAATTCTGTGAATACTTATTTTGATTTGATTAAGTTTACCCATTCTTTTTGGGAATTTGGCCCAATCTGCTAATGTGCACGCACCGAGACACAAAGAATGACATTTCGCGAGTGTAAGATACAAGATTCTCGTGTTTTATTTTGCGTGTCACGCACACAAGTATATGAAACCTGACATGTTTAATCGCAGTGTTTACAGTGTGTGCTCTATCTAGGGAGTAAATACCAAAACTATGTATCTTATATTTAGTAGGTGATCAATAATTTTGATCAAGTAAGAAAAACTTTTATGTAATAGAAATTAAAAAAGTTATACAATTTTCTCTTAAAAAAAAACGCCAACAAATAAAATTTACATAGAAAAACGAATCGAAAACATTTTAATCTTTTCGTTCTAAACGAAAAAATTGTAAAAGTTACAAAATTGTGAAAGGAAAAAAAAAAAAAATTGCGCCATTAAAAATGTTCACTTGTTGCTGCACGTCAACGCGCTGTGGCCATAGAGGTATAAGAATAGAGTGGGTAAGGCGACTCTAAAAGTGTCCGTCTAGTAGAACGAGAAAGAAGATGAGAGACGGCTAGCTCTCTTGTGACGCATGGCATCCAATGGCATCACATGGAAATAGTAAGATGCTTACGGTTGCCAATGCGCATGCGCGATTAGAGAAAGAAAGCTAGCAGTTTCGCCTCTTCTTTCTCTTTGTATTAGAGGGACATTTCCACTTGTAGTAGAGCCTATACCTCCCCTACTCTATTGTTATACTTCTATGGCTGTGGCACCTGAAGCATTAAGTAGTCTGTGCCTGGCGTTGCAAAGAATTTCAGTTTTCTACACAGAATGGCCCACTGTAAAACCAATCAATCAGGGACAGCCTTCGGACAGTTGATAATTTAACGCGCGATAGATTGTAATTTTAACCGTTTTACTTTGATAGATTTTAATCTACCGAAAAATAATGCGTTAAATTGTAAGCACAATCTTTCGACAGTTTATTAGCTCGCTAGATGGATTATAATTAGATTTATATATTGTAAAACATTCCATTTCTCAGTATTGAAATTTTGATGTGACGAGTCTAGTCATTATACTGCAAATTGCAGTTAGACAGCTTTTAAAAAGTCTTTATGGTCAAAATTTTTTAAGCATGTAACTGCTTCATGTTTAAATCTAATGAAAATATAACTAGAAAAAAAAACACGCGGACCAGGCAGCAGACGGGACTCGAACCCGCACCCTTCGCTATCCGGGCGAATGCACTGACCAATTATGTTACCGCGGCCCTGACTGCCGCGTCGAAATTCCTCTAGCCATTCTTAAGTCTTTATACTTTATTTTCAGTGTTCATCTAGAATTAAAGTCAGTAATATTTTTCCCCCAATGTGCTGTTTCGGTTTAGAAAGGAGAGCCTGGTTCACCCGGATTACCCGGTATGTCGGGCAGAGACGGTCTAGACGGAATACCAGGTACCCCCGGGCCACCTGGATCTCCAGGTTTACCAGCACCACAATCTTCTGCAGTTCAGGTATTTTCATTTCTCTCGAGTGATGATAATTCATTGACTAGGAACGATATTTTATTTACGTACTTATTCATATTCGAGTTGGCAAGTTATTTATTTCTTGTACTTTACAGATACCTTCGATATCAGAGAACGAAGTACGGAACATTTGTGAAGACTTGATAAGGGGTGCGTATAAAAACTTTCAGCGACATCTCTTAATAAAGTTAGTTCGTAAGGACACATTACTTTACCTGCGCACTATTTGCTTCCTATATATTTTAATTCCAAATCTTTTGATGGTGGGTTGTTTGTTAGGCATCAAGTAGTACCTACTAAAATATCTCAATCGGGGTGCGCAGTTAGTCATAAAACCTTGTAAAAAAAATTAGCTGCGTGACCTGCGGTTTATTAGAGATATTTTCCCGCAGTAAAACGTAGCCTATGTGTTAATCCAGGGTGTCAGCTAATTCCATACCAAATTTTATTGAAATCGCTCCAGCCGCTTAGACTTGAAGAAGTAACAAACAATATTAGTGTGATTAAATTTTGCAGAGCGTTTGAGCGAGTTCGCAGCAAGTTTGGTCAGTCCCCCGACGATAATGGTAAATAAGCGAGGTCCACCTGGAAAACCTGGACCACCTGGAATACCAGGTAAATTTCACAGCCATTAAAAACGTCTACTATTATAACGCGATAATTTTTAGTTTAGTAGTTATTAATTTGATATTTAGATTAAATGTTTAGTCACCTAGTAAGTAATTCTGATAATTTGATTTGTTGATAGTTTTTAGTAGTCACCAATTTTCATAATTATTTCATAAGTTGCGTGTTAAAGGCCCACTTGCACCAAAGTAAATAAATCAAATTTAAAAGATAATAACTGTCAAACCTCATTTCGTCTCCATTTGAATTAAAACAATTGACAAAGATGGAATGATGTTAAACATAAAGAGATCGGTCAATATTTTACATTAAAATAGGACGAGCTGGAGACCCTGGAGAACAAGGTCCTAGAGGATATCCAGGGGAATCTGGGGAACCTGGAAGACCTGGTAGTCCAGGGTCGAGGGGAGAGAAAGGGGACAAAGGGGAGAGAGGTCCCGAAGGCGTTGGCTTACAGGGTCCTGAAGGACTTAGAGGAATTCAAGGTAAGCACCTATCGGGTAAATTTTAATGTATTACCTAGAAAAGTTATAATGTTTCACTTAATAAAAGATATTCCCAAGATTGTAATGGTCACGATTCTAGCAAAGTCTAAAATTAAATATGAAATCAGTATTGCTCTATAGTGAATGTAAAGGAGTGGACTGTTATCTAATTTAGTTTTGAGTTTAAGGAATCATACATGGATTAGGCTTTTATATCTATTTATTGTCGAGTGAAAATATATTCCAAAAGAGCGTATTGTAGAAACTTGTGTGATTATGTGCTTTTTCCTTTTCAAGTTTACTAATATTTCTTTTTTTTGGTTTGGCGATTATTCAGATTTGATTAACTTTACCTATTTACTCTTGGTTAGAGGTGTTTCGTTTGGCTTTGCAATGTCTTCGAAACCATAACAAAATATCGAGCTCAGTACCCTTCAAATGTGAAGAAGTTTTGTATGGAAGATTTTAAATTCTCTTTACGTCCGTCGTGGCGCTGTTCAAAGGACAATGTTAAAATTGGCCTAAGAACCAACACCAATTTGGAATTTATGATAATTCTTAGTATATTTTTTGCGATAATTATCAGTATTTAGATTGTGACGAACACTTCCAGCTAAGTAAGCTAAATTAAAAAGTTAAAAAATAATCTGAGACAATAAATACCATTTTATGTGTATAATCTATGGCAGCGCTGCAAACAAAACACTCTTTCTTCCTAATGCCGGCACTTCACTTGGCTATTCGTATTTGCTATTTTAAAACATGACATCAGTCTGCCCTTTTCATTCCTTATTAAGCATGACAAGGACAAACTTTTGTCAAGTGAAGGGCCGGCATAATACTGGTTACTCTGTGGTTGTGGTGCATGCAGTTTCATAGTAATCTGTGGCATTCATTCGTGCGTTCAGAGTAGTTTATTATACCGGAAAGTGCATTCTCGTTTCGGATTACATGTTGTGTGTGTTTATTTGAGATTGTTTTTCCTTTAATTTAACTATTTCGGCTATCTAATATGCCATCGATGTAACCAAAGAGCAGAGCCCTTATTACCAAGTGCTAGTAAACCTGTGCCACAACATCCTGAGAGGATCATACTGCCAAATTATTCAAGAACACCTAATACACATTCACGCTGCATATTTACACAATATACATGTGATATACAAATAAATACAATAAACAATATGATACAATTTTGTGAAAAATAGTCAATAAATAAAAAGCAAAACTACAGTTTTTATTTTATTCATGATTCCTACCTAACCAAGTTTTTCCTAATAGTTATTATTTAAAATCGCACCGAATAAAATGAATTAGTTGTAATATCAATTCACTTCATACTGAGTTCATACTAAATTCATAGGTTGACCTTTGTTTCAATGAATATTAAACATAACCTCAAAAAAAAATAGTTTTCCTAGTAATTTAAGTTCTCAGAAGTGTCCGTCAATAATCTTTGTTTTTACAGTCATTTACTTACGATTTTGAACCTAGAAAATAATATTTCATGATTGTTGGTTTTTAGGCTAACTATGTATGGGCGCTGAACAATGTCCTTTCTATACAAAACTTCTTGACATTTGACGCGTTTCGATATCGAATGTTACTATTCGAATTCGATATTGGTTCTTCATTTGCAAACCGAAATGTCAATGTCAAATTTTGTATGGAAACTTGAATAGCAGCGGCACAAAGTACGTAACGAGAACTAAAAATCAGTACACATTTGACAGTGACATTTCGGACTCACAAACAATACGAATTCGATATTGGTTCGTGCTAAGGGTACAGTTTATTTATTACTCTGTTAATAAGATGACCGTATTTCTCAGGACCAGTAGGTCCTCCAGGACCGGAAGGAAGAACTGGTCCACGAGGCGATCCAGGACGCGAAGGTAATTATGAAATGTTTTCTATTACATTCTGAATATTGATAGCAATAAAAGTAGGAAGGAACAATATCTTCTATGGCTGAGACATCTTATTATTCCAGATATTAATCGAGAATTTAATTGTAAAATGACGATTGTGGTCGATGACTGATTCAGGTCAGTCTGATTCGTGGAAGTAAAGTAATTTTCGCAATGGTCGGTCTTAGGATGGGAGAACAAAAATTTACTATATTGTTTTCCTCCGTCCTTCGGACGGTACGTTAAACCGTTGATTCCGGCTTCGCCTGCAATAGTTAGAAGCATGCAATCCGCACTTAGTACGCGTGGTGGACTATGGCCCAATCTCCCTATTCCATCCTTAGACTTGTGCCCCAGCAGTGGGGATCAAAAGACTGATTGATAATGATGATAGATTACTAAATCACGCTAAAACTACTGAACTGATTTTAATTAAATTTTGTATGCTTAAAGTTTATGACCTGGATTGAGACATACGATACTTTTTATTCTGGAACAATTTTCAGTTCCTGTGGGATTCTTAAAAAAACTAAAGCTAACGCGGACAAAGTCGCGCTAGTACTTTGATAAATCGATTTTTAATGTTTTAGGTCCAATAGGCCCTCGAGGATTGCCAGGGACCAGAGGCACATGTGATTGTCCCCCAGCTGCTTTCTACGCGTATTCACCAATGGGGAATCAGAAGGGACCATGAACCTTTACTCCGTTTACCAAAGCATAGTCAATAAGATGTACTTTTGTAAATAAATGTCATTAAATGTTCTTTTCATCCACAGGCAGGTCCTTTCATTTCCTATTTCGTGTCCTCTCTTCATTTTTTCTTTCCTTCTCTCAATGTTACTGATCCGTCCTCTCCACTTTCTCTCCTTCCCTGCCCATATGACCTTTTAATCTCTCCATTTTCCACTCTTCCACCATTCCTCTTGTACTCTCTCTGCGCGTTATAATTATCTGATCACTTTTATGTGGCACAATAGAAGTGTATAATAAATTCCATTTATATTTTTGACGTTGGGGTAGACGAGTTCTGGAGTGGAGACCGCGTCTAGGCAAACTTAGTGTAGGACGTCCTCAGGCACGATGGAGTGGCGATTTGCGCAAGGTGGCTGACAAGAGCTGGATGCGAGTAGCCCAAGATCGATATGAGTGGTGTGCATTTGGAGAGGCCTATGTCCAGCAGTGGACTATAATAGGCTGTTGATGATGATGTTTTTGATCACTTCGGCCTATTTTTCTATAATTAAATATATGATAATACTTGGGAAACAAAATTGGGCAGAGTTGTATGGAGAAAAGGTCCTATGCATGCATTTTCATATAAACAGTCGATGAAAGTGATGTTTATTCTAAGTGCTCACGGTCGCAGTGGGGGCAAAACCAGTCTCCTTTTATGGGGTAATATTTGCAAAAGCAGATAATTATTTTTCCCAATATAAGGTATTATATTTATTAATATATAAATAATAATAATATTGAATTATTAAGTAGACAAGACACGGGGTTTTCTTTTCATTAAACAGTATAAAGCATGAGTGCGATCGTGGCAAATCTACGAAAACGGAATTTGTTTTGCCTAAACTTCGCTTCGGCTATATAAATAATCAATATAATATTCATGTAAGAGTAAAAATTCTCAATTTTTAGATAGCTTTTATTATTCGTTGAAATTACAAAATTAAATGTTAAATTGTAAAAATTCAATACGATTCATTTAATTCGTTAATTAATTAAATGTGACTAACGACCACACACCAAACAGTTAATACTCCGAGTATCGTTTCGTTTTCGTTTCTGTACAGAATTTTACTGAGTGCATATAATCAAGGGAGAGCTTCCTCATTGAGTCGTTTCGGTACAGAATCTTTACCGAGCGCATGCACACCTCTCTGTGCCGAATCCTACCGAACCATTGGTCTCGCCCTCCCGACGTGACGGCATTATAACAAATGACAACCACTGAAGCAAACAAAACGAAACGATACCGCACCGAAACCGAGACGGTCAAGAAGTGGTTCTCGGTAAAGAATATGTATAGATTCAGTACTGAAACGAAAAGAGTCCACACTGACCCGGTGAGAATAGCGCCTCAGTTTGATGAAAGTTGGTGCACACACTTTCTTTGGGAAATAAATAGGAAAAGAAAACTAGTGTCAGTTTTAAGGATGCCAGTTGAATTAGGCAATAGGTGACATAATGAAGCGTTAGATGTAATTTATAATCTTGGGTGCGGCCGTAAAATACGTAAATTTACTTAGTCTTGATTTCAGTTGTTGGCCACTGAGTCAATTTCTCGTACTGATTCTATCTCCGCTTTGCAAAAGAAGCATTGTTTGGAGTTCAGCAGATGTTGCATTATACACGCTCTGTAGGGAAAGACAAGAAACGAGAAATTAAAATATGATCCAATGTTCAGACACAATGTTGATGGCGCAACAATACCGCATAGTTTTGCGTCCGAGATCATGGAAGTTAAACAAATTTCGCCATGGCTGTGCAGTGCATTGGATTGGTGACCATTTACTACTCGAGGATTTTTGTGCATGCTTCGGAAGATCATTAAGGCCTTTAAGCAGTTGGTGCCAGTGTGTAGTATCTTCCGACGTTAGCTCCCGTATACCCACATCAGTCCCATGTGAACGCGATTGGTTCTTACGGCCCATTTTCCCAGTGTTCTATAGGGCAGAATTATGAACTTTTGACATTAGGGATTTTAAAACAAGATGATTAAATATTGTGAATACTGTTGATGATCTTCTTATATAACTATTCTCTCCTTTTTCGTTTCGTATAATAAGTCCTACCTATCCTGTTATTTTAAGGTAAGAAAAATTATTCACGAATATTATATTAAACAATCTTGCTGGTCTTTGGGCTAAATAGTTTTTGGGGTGAGTACATCGCGAGGCAACCAAGCTTAATACAAACTAAACAAATAAGTCCCTTGAAAAATAAGAAATACGTACCGCATGAATTGAGGCCACAGAGGACTGAATGCTGTGCCAGCCACCCTCGCATAGCATATGGTTATGAAACATCTGTTCTGTACGTCATCCAGGTCTGAAAAAGATTATCAATACGCACCTACAGGAGTTATGACCACAAGAATTGAAGGCCGTGTCAGCCGCCCTCGCATAGCAGACCTGGAAGCTGGTGCGAGCTTTGCTCACTTTCTGGTTACTTTCAACATGTCTACTATTATAGGATCAGCTTTTAAAATTTTCTAAGCTCCCAGTGGGTGGCGGGTGATGTCTCTATCTAATCCAGAAGTGAGGACGTGCATAGGCTGATGATGATGATGATGATGAATACGCATCTGCACGAGTGATGACCACAAGGCCTGAATGCTGTTTTAACTACCCTCGCATAGCAGATAGTGCACAACAGATCTGATTGTGCTCCGCTGGAGCCTAACGATCTGGTTTTAATCACCGTGTCTCTAGCGATTCTTAGCCTCTCCACGATTTCTTCAAGAGTTTTCAACTCTCCAGTTGGGACGTCATCCGGAGGCTACGTAAAACTAAAAATCATCAACACGCACCTGCAAGAGTGATATCTACAAGGACTGAATGCTGTGTTAGCTGCTCTTGCATAGCAGATCTGATTCAAAGACTCTGCTGGAGCCTGGCGACCTGGATTTGATCACCGCGTCTCTGGCGATTCTTAGCCTCTCCACGACTACTACGACAACTTTTTTTCTACGTTTTAGGTGTGACATCAGCCAGTCTACGTCAAAATAAATAGCATCAATACGCACCTGCAAGAGTGATGGCCACAAGGACTAAATGCTGTGTCAGCTGCTCTCGCATAACAGATTGTGCACAGAAGATCAGATTGTGCCCCGCTAGAGCCTGGTGATCTGGCTTTGATCACCGCATCTCTGGCGATTCTTAGCCTCTCCACGACTCCTTCGAGAGATTTCAGCTCCTCAGGTGTGACGTCGTCCGGGTCTAAATAAAAATAGGCTGGTCACTTGTCGTGTTTAGCGCTTCACAGCTTTTATCACTGCTGGAGTCCTAACAGACCGAGGGTGACCACTTCTTGACCTGTCATCTACACTAGAGCCTTCATTGTATCGTTTGATAGTACGATAAACGAATCTTTTGGTTATATTCAAAATTTTCACTATGTCAAATATTTGAATTGGCGCTTAACCGCAACGATGCAACGCAATAACTGCAACACGGTCTTCTTTAAGCCTCCACTCCATATTTGAAAATGAGTAAAATTCTAAAAAGTATACATTTTTATTTTCATGAACAATTCGAAATTCGAATACAATAAACTTTTTTGTGGCCAGCATTCTAAAAGAAAAGTTTTTACTGTGTGACAATACTTATGACCTGACTGTGTATAATAAATATTGAAGATAGGATATTTTACTGAAAGAAGACATCATTTTATTTTTAATAATAACTTTAACTGCATTCAGTTTTTTTTAAATCGCCTGCTACAACTGGGAATCAAACTCGTGAAATTTAACCATCGACATGAGGATTATTTTTTGCTTAGTAACATAGCATTTTAAATGAAAGAAAGCTCATTAAATTTAACATTGTATTTAAAATTACTTAAAACAAACTAATATAAAAACGAAACGGTGCAAGACAAAAAAAATCATTTAATTTATAAAATGTTGCCGAGTTTCTTAATGAACACTTTCCTTCCTGGATCGTTACTTATGGGCAAATTAGATGGCCAGAGAGAACCCCACTGTACTTTTTTTTGTGAGGTTATGTAAAAGATGTAGTACACAAATACCGGTACGTCAGTGTGCAGGAGATACACAATGAACTAGTTAAGATAATGAAATCGACAGGCAGAGAAATTATTATAAGAGTGAGAATTTGCATACAACAATATGGATCATATTTTGAACATATGATAAATTCATTTTATTTTTGCACTGTTCCGTTTTTATATTAGATTGTATTAAATAATTTTAAATAAAATGTTAAATTAAATGAGTTTTCTTTCATTTAAAATGCTATGTTATTTAGCAAAAAAAATCCTTATGTTTAATCTTGTCGATGGTTATCATAAAATATGTCGTTTTTTTTTCGAAATTTCATAAGTTTGATACCTAGTTGTAGCAGGCGATTTAAAAAAAAACAGTGAATGCAGTTCTAGATAATATTAAAAATAAAATGATGTCTTCTTTCAATAAAATATCCTATCTTCAATATTTAACATACTTTTCTCCGTGTGAGGTAGCCGTGGGACGCCCTGTATACCGCTGATAGGTGTGACCTTTGTCGGCGCCGAGAAAACGCACCTTTATCGAGTATCAAATTTACACAAGATAGGCAAAACAAACTTGCGTGAACTAAACCTGGATGATGGATCGCATAAGCATAGAAATGGGACTTTTGATAAACAGGTCTAAAACCAAGATAAGTAACGTCTCCTAATGCGAACATGAGGGAATTTAAAATAAACTAACATTTGTAGAAGGAGAACATCTTGTCCCTTGTCTTTCCCAACATGAACTCGAGGCCGTCGATGCGGAAAAGTGGCTCGGTGACTATGGCTTTTACTATCTTGTCTATGTGCTGTAATAAATTAAAATAACGGAGAAAATGTTTCCAATTTGTAAACATCCACGACTTTTACAGATGTGTGTAAACTAAATAAATACTTGTTTTAAGTGCTTATGAGTCTTTGGAATTTCCAGTCATGCTGGGGAATGATTCTCCAAAAAAGTGGTACTAAGCAGCATCTTTCCATTCTATACAAGGTCAGACAGAATGGAACCATGGAAAATTGCTCGCGTATATATTGTAATGCTGTGTTTTAATTTGTGATTACAATGCATACACGTATTTTGCGTATTGATCGTGTATAGTTTGTCTTGTGTACTATACTGCACCACCTACTTACACTATATATATATAGTGATTGTGATGTTAAAATTGCTGTACTAGTAACTTGCGGGAAAGTCGTTTTTAAAGTTGTTGAACCAAAGAGTAAGACATTGTTTGAAAATTGTTAATAACATGTATGTACCTTGCCTTGTGCCTATGTTCAAATGATTGAGGAGCTCGATGGCACAAGTGGTAAGCGCGTTCGGCTGCAATCGTTGAAGCTAAACTTTCGCAGTGATCGGCCATTGGATGGGTAACCAGAAATTTACCATTTCGAGCTCCTCCATGCTTCGAAAGACACGTTAAGCAGTTGGTCCCGGCTGTATCTGCGTCGTTAGCACCCGCCAATCCGCATTGGGCCCACGTAGTGGGTCATGGCCCAATCTCCCCATGCCATCCATGGAAAAGGCCTGTGCCCCAACAGAGGGGACATTCATAGGCTGATGATGATGTTCAAATGATAATTCATGACGATGAAGTAAGGAACATTAAGAATTCTCACCTCCATAGGTAGCTTCGGGTCCAGCATACCGCAAAGGCAACCTGCGACGGGTGCAAGAGCGACGTAGTAGTGGACTCTGTCAGTATCGGGGAGTCCCCGGGCGACCAGGCGACCAAAACTCGCCCCGCCTCCGCCACGTACACAAACACGAGACACGACCGCCATTAGGATCTGGCCAAATCGAGACAAATAGAGCGTACGCCTTCCTTAAAGGTCGGCATTGCATTTGTGATACTACTGGTGTTGCAGATGGTGGTGATCACGTAAGAATCAGTTTAGCCGTCTGCTCGTATGCCCCACTATGATGAAATGATTCTCGCTTAACTCATTCTTATGAAGAGTAAGTCATATCGAAAGCGATTGGAACTTAGTTTAATTGTAATAAAAACACATTGAAGTGCTCGATAGCTCATTGACTGGAGCGTTCGGTCTGCGATCGTGGAAGTTATGAAACTATTGTAATGGCTGATCATAGGATAAGTGATCAAAAATGTACTGTCTCGAGCTTCTCCTTGGTTACGAAGCCATAGGTCTCGCTGGGTGGGTCATGTCTCAATCTTCGGATATCCGTCCAGTAGAAAGGTCTGTGCCCCGGCAGTGTATTGTATATATTGATGAGGGAATGTTTAATTAATTTAGTTAGCAGAAGCCGAGCGTGAAGTAGGCAAAGATGAGAAACGACAGTATTCGCTTAATAAGGCAAGAAGAAGCTATTTATAAGGACCATAATTTAAATACGGTGAAAAATTAATGGGTTCATACCTAAGTTGGCTAAATAACTCTAGCACTCAACAAGCACTAGCAAAATTAAGAGAGCGATTAACATATCAACTTAAGTAAAACTGTGAGCGTAAGCACACTTCAACTTAAATCATTTGGAAAAGCTCAGAACTTAATTTACATGTATAACTTTTATTGTGCCCAAAGAGTAGTACGTGATAGCAAATTTCCCTATAAGTACAAATCCTCCTGTGTTTCCAATATTTAAATAGCTGGCAAAAGCACCCTAGCCGTTGATAGACTTTTATTAACTAAGGAATATTACCAGCCAGTTCATCCTAGGTTATTTTGTTGCAGTATAAAATACATGGTAGAGACCTAACCTTATTATACACAAATTTTATACTATGCCACTTTACCTGGCATGTCCTTCCAAGTAGCAGCTCGTTTTGATTGTCACAAGCTTCGGATTTGGTCAGTAGTTGAGGGACCAGAGTGAGGTTCATCTCCAGAGCCCTGGCGAGTCCGTGGTACAGATCGAAACAGGTCGCGCACAGTTTTATCTGACGAGACTCTAGGTGAGCATCGACGTTCACTCTATCCATCTTATAATAAAGAATATGGTGTATTACTTACTACTACTGTATTTTTTATGAAAATATGGAATTCATTTCAAGATACATGTGTAACGCTGAACGTGTTGCTAGTTTAATACCGATTCGATGAATCGCTGCTTTGGATTGCAGAAATCGAGATCTGACTAAAATTATTATTATGAATCGCTATATTAACTCGACATAAGATGTTTTTGTTCGCAGAAATTAGATTGCTTTCCGAATGGACAGGAGGAAGATATTGAAAAATGGGTACTATAAAGGTACAAGAACGAACTGAACCGCAGACCACAGGCAGCTGCTGCAGACTGCAGGCGACACTACTAGTTTCTATGAATCTCTATGCCATTTATTCCAAGCGCGGCGACATGCCGTGGTTGCATAATGCATATAATGCACGGTCAGCCGAAGGCGCTAGCCGCAGTGTCGCCTGCGGTTGCCGCCTGCAGCCCATTGTGGAAGTGTACCTTAAGGCTCATAGCCTTGCCTGATATAATGCAGAGAAAACTAAAAATGTCCAAAGCTCAGTTTTTCCATCACCTAAACTAGTCCATATCCAGGGTTGGAGGCTAAAGAAGTTTATGAACAACAGTAGTTTAAGAGCAGCTTTTCGTTGACGATAAGATTTGAATTTTTTGAAAATAACCTTACTTCTTGCATCATATTTATGAATTCCGAGAAAGCCCAGTTTAGCTGACTGAGCAGCGAGTTGAGGAAGGCAGCCGCTTCTTTAGGGTGTGCTGTTAAATACTCCTTTACTCGAGTTTGGATCACTTCTGATGGGCACGGACCTGATGAGAGAACTCTACGCTACATTATCTTCCAATGCATACTCAGCAAGTAGACTATTGTATTTTACTCCTTTCATTCGCTATTTGTATTCGTATGTTAATTACTTAACAGAGAGACGAGTACAATTTTCAAGAAAATGGTACACATTTAAGCATTTGGATTTAAGTCAAACTATACACATAGAGGAATGTCGTTAAGTATATTATCAAGAAATCAAAAACACCTTCATCGTTGAAAGGTCAAAACTGAAACAAGACCAATTTATGGATATGGATCTTGTTTTCTAATTCCTTTTCATCTAAACAAAAATATAATATTAAAGCGTTTCATCACAGTAACTGGCGTGAAGAAAACTAGTCACAAAACATAAAACTTTGTTTTTGCGTGTTAAGCAGAAAATGGCGAGTTACCGAAACATTGGCTCATGAGGCCAGCATCCACCTTGGCACCGAGGTTGTTGACCGTTGGTTCCCTGTCACCATACCTGAAAAATTATAAATTCTCACACCTAATAAATGATAAATATATAAATAAATATTTCCAACACTCACAACAATTGGCCTGGTCCCAAAGTAAGCACTGTAAGGCTTGTGTTATGGGATACTAGGGTAACGGATAGAATACATATGCAGTACATATATAAGTATAATTATATAGAAATACATAAAAAAAATATAGATTTGGGACAGAAAAATATTTACGCCTCGACTGAGCGTACGAAAAGCTTTATTATTAAATTTAAAAGTATAATAAATACGCATTCGTATAAAAAGTTAAATTAAAAATACTTTAGGGAAACATTGACAAGGAGCAGAAGTTGCATCGTTGTGGTTAAGCGCCAATTAAAATTTTTGACATACTGAAAATTTTGAATATAACCAAAAGATTCGTTTATCGTACCATCAAACGATATAATGAAGACTCTAGTGTAGATGACGGGTCAAGAAGTGGTCGCCAGGTCGGTGGGTCTGTTAGGACTCCAGCAGTGATAAAAGCTGTGAAGGCGCGAATTCAAAGAAATCCCAAACGTAAGCAGAAACTGTTGGCCCTTCAGATGGGGTTAAGCAGAACCACGGTGAAAAGGGTGTTAAATGAAGACTTAGGGCTTTGGGCATATAGAAGAAAAACAGGACATCGTTTGGATGCTCGTCTAATGGACCTGAGACTGAAGAGATGCCGCGCTTTGTTGAAGCGGTATGCGGGTTAAAAATTTCGGGAAATTCTTTTTTCGGATGAATAAATTTTTACCGTAGAAGAGAGCTACAACAAACAAAATCATAAGGTGTACGCACACAGTAGTGAAGAAGCGAGCAACCGTATTCCGCGTGTCCAACGAGGTCATTTTCCATCCTCGCTTATGGTATGGTTGGGAGTTTCTTATTGGGGCTTAACAGAGGTACATTTTTGTGAGAAAGGTGTAATAACGAATGCAGTTGTATATCAAAATACAGTCCTGACGAACCTTGTGGAACCTGTTTTTCATACCATGTTCAATAACAGGCATTGGGTATTCCAACAAGATTCGGCGCCAGCTCATAGAGCGAAGAGCACACAAGACTGGCTGGCGGCGCGTGAAATCGACTTCATCCGGCACGAAGACTGGCCCTCCTCCAGTCCAGATTTGAGTCCGTTAGATTACAAGATATGGCAACACTTGGAGGAAAAGGCGTGCTCAAAGCCTCATTCCAATTTGGAGTCACTCAAGACTAGGGTTGCAACGATATATCGGAATTTTTATATCGATATTTAAAATTCACTGATATCGATAATATCGGATCGATCGGAAATTCCAAAATATAGATATTTTGTAGACTAAATTTCAACATAATAATATCAATTAATTTACCTGCTATGACTATCTAAATTGAATCATATCGAAATAAATATTGCTTTGAAATCGCAAGAGCTTATAGATGTATTAAAAAAATCTTGAACACCAAGAAATATACTAAACTGGTGTGGATTCTGGCATGATTCTCTAAACCTAAAATTAAATTTGACAACAGTGTATCCTTGTCATTCCCCATACAGAATGAAAAGGAGAGACTGATGTTAAATATAGTTTTAAGTTTAGATAATCATGCTAGTATCGACACCAACGTATATAGGTATAATCGTATACCTAATGGTAACTCATGCACTTAAATAAAATCCTTGCCTCTCTTTCTAGATACTTGTCAACTACTGATTAATTGAAATTTAATATCATTGTAATATAACACAAAATAAAATTAAGAATCTTAAACAAATCGTAATTTTTTTAAGCTCGCCAAGTCAAGAAAAAAAGATAGGTATAGTAATTTTGGAAGCTTTGGGCTTACCCTTTTCTGAAGCCATGGGCACGCCCCTGATGTGTAGGTTTTACTAATACATAACAATAGTTTTTCATATGATTATCTATTCTGATTTTGGCTGCGTGCAAACATTTTAAACTAAATAAATATCTTTGTATCGAAATTGCTTTTGATTTGATACTTCTTACAGCGCTATAAAAATATAGAAAATATCGTGTTGGAAATCTTAGAATGGCTGATATATCGGATCGGATAACGATATTTAACTGCCCACATTATAAATATCGATATTTCGGAAACCTTTGCTTCCTTTATTATAAGTTTTTGCTTTGCAAACTTAATACAAAGCAAAAAAAAAGAAAAATATCGATATATCGATAATATCGAGTTAAAATGGTCGATATATCGGATATCGATATTTTCCTGACTTTGATATAAATATCGATATTTCAAAAGACTTTGCATCCCTACTCAAGACATCCTTGATTAAGGCAGCCGCTATATTGACATGGACCTCGTTCGTGCAGCGATAGACGACTGGCCGCGCAGATTCAAGGCCTGTATTCAAAATCACAGAAGTCATTTTGAATAAACTTTATTGTCATAAGAATTTATGTTTTGTTAAGTTCATTTTGGTATATAAATGGTTACATAATGAATAAACTTGTTTCAATTATATTATATTAAACATGTGACAGAATTTATGACCTGACTAGGTATGTTCACGGTTTTTTACGAGGAATAAGAAAATAGTAGTGAAGAATTTTTGATTTTTTTGTGAAAGTTACTCATATATAATGTACTTAAAAAATATATATGAGTTTTCCTTGAAAAATGCACAGTTTTCCCGCTATTTCACTTAGAATCTTTCAAAATTTTGCATTTAACGAACAAAATCTCACCATTAACAAGCAGTATCTTGATTCCGTATTGGTTGCAGAGATATTATACAAAAAGTATTTTCTTGTTTTTTTTTATAAGCTACAATTTTACTCGCTACAAATTTTTTGATAAAATGGATATTTTTCGAGTTATTCGTGAAAACCCCATTAAAAACGTCGATTTGCTCGTCGAAAAATTGTGACTTTCAATAGAGAATTACTCGAAAAATATTAGTTTTACAAAAAAATATGTATAGAACATCTTTTACTTAAAAATACTTTTTTAATCGAGTTCTCTAGCTTAAAAGTAATAAAAATACACCTCTGAGATAAGTAGGCAACTACCCCCAGGATAACATAGCATGATATAGATTTTGATCCTAGGGATATCCTCTATCTTTTGTGAAAATTTCAAGTAAATCCATGCAAGACGAAAAAATGCGACACAAAACGCTTTATTTCCTGGAATAATATGTCTTTTGGGAATCTCAAATTACTTAATCCTATTAACCTCGACGAATGAATTACTGCGTCCACGAAGGCTTTTAGTTAATAAATATTGACAAATGGCTTGTAAGTAGATACTATATTTTATTCGGTATAATGCAAAATCAGCGATTTCAGATATCAAGAAATTTCTTAGGGTAGCTTTTACAAGGATTAACAACATACTGTTTGTTAGTGGAATATGCAGTGCAATAAACTCTTAATGTATAATATATATTTTTTTTAAATATAAAATTTTCAAGGTGAATTAAAATTTAAAATCCTTTCCAGTAATGTATGCATAAATCCACCTTTAATCCATTTTTGTAATTGTGGCAATAAAGTTTAAATAAATAAAATAAATATGATGAATAGCGTGATTAGCTAAATATAATAATAATAATAATTATTTATTTCACAATCCAGTTTTACAAGAATCGTTCAACGCAATATACAGTATAGCTTAGAATAAACATTTTATAGTATCTTCTGTGCCTATACTAGGTTATAAAAATACCTGTATCACAGACACAGCGCTCATCCCTAAGGACCAGTTATACAACCTTTATGTAAGGAATAAAATACAATTCTTGTGTTAGCTTAACAAAGTTAAATCAACATATTATTGAAGTAAAAGAATTCAATTATTTTATGTGTTTATCGAACCTCCTTTTGTGTGAACTGAATGTGAATGTAGTAGGAGAGAATATTCATCTCGTGTGATCTTTCTGTGTCATTGGCGTTTGGCAAACGTCGTCGTCTATATTATTAGCAAATTTTGGTATTACAAACTCGCGATGAATTAATTGTCCTTTAAATAAACGATTTAATATAATACGTGATTTAAGTTGTATGAACAAAGATTGCACGGAATAGCGATAGTCGCTTTGTCTTATAGGTGACGAAATAGGAATTTCGCGATGTAGACAAGAAGGACTAAGGTACTTAGAACGCGTTGTGGGCAACAAAACCGCTCAAAACGTGGGCTTTTTAAAATTAAAATCGCAGTTGTAAAGATTTGCTAGTAAACAAAGCAATGCACAATGACGCCATTTCTCAACGTCGCTCGTACTCACAGAAATAATAATGAAAATGGATTTCATTATTACGTCCACAGCTCTCGCGGTTTGTTTGTGTAAACTCCTCTTTTCACCGAAGACGGTATAAATTATTTTGTTTACCACAGTTTGGTCGAGTCGAATCAAATCTGATATTAAGTATTTTACGTTGTGTGAATTCACTGGGTGCGCGATGACAGCGCCAACTAGCGGCAAATGGCTGGCCGTCATTAGGAAAAAAAAATATGTAAACAAACAAATTATTTCAATGAAATATCTTAATTTACATAAATCATCATATTAAATGTGTGAAACTGACAAATGTAAATGTGCGATAATGTAAACGATATTTTCTCTTTTTTATCACAATAAAAAAATGATGACTTATTGTGTATTTTCAGTAACATGACTAAATTAATTAAAAAAACTGGATTCCGGGCAATTGTACTCGAAGTCGCTTTCTAACCAAAAACGGCAATTAGTTGTAGCTCAACATGTAAAAGATGTAAAAGCATTGTAACGTGCTACTTTATAGAAAATACAAAAAAAAAAATATTAAAATAAGTTTCTCTAATAGTTAGATTAGTTAATTAACTTTTTCCTCTTGACAGCGATTATCCATTTCATTCGTTGTTTTCGTTTCCAACTGCATGTGGAAATTTAAAGAATTTGTGATCACTGTTTTTGCCATTGTTCTTATTCAGACTATGTGCCACTTCAGCTTTAAGATCCATTAAGGTTTGTCGGTTATTCTAGTTCTTCTATAGATTTCTCGTTAAAAAAACCGCGACTTCGTTTGCTTTGACAAATTGGTTTCAAATACAAATTTCAACCCCTTTTTTCACCTCTTTAAAAGATAATTTCCGAGATATAAACTATATATCCTATACCTTTCCCCGGGACTCAGTTTCTATATATGAAATTTCATCTATAGCTAGACTGTTTAACTGAGACCTCGCCTGCGGAGTACAGGGTGTGGGGGAGGACGAAAACGGGGACCGTGAGAGGTGCGGGCGGCAGGCACCCTGTATCCCACAGGCGAGGTCTCAGTTAAGCGGTTTACCTATAATCACCTGCGCTGCATCAAGTCAGAGCACGGAGTGGACGTCCGCTCCGAGTGTTTGTTTCATGTTATTTGATAGAACAGCGCTGTGTGAGGCAGGTCTCCCTTTGCAACGCTGCTCTATGAAATAACATGAAAATCCGTGCTCCCGATTAACGCAATGCAGGCCCAAAATCAGTTCAGCGATTTAAGTGTGAAGGGGTAAGAAACGGGCAGATAGACACTTTCACATTTATAATATCAGATGAATCAATGGATGGTTGATTACTTGGCAGCCAGATGGGGCCACTGGCGATGCCGGAATCCGAACCCGGAGCCGTGCCAGAAGCGCACTAGCACCCAGTTGGACTGCGCCCACGCGCGGTTCTGGTACGGCCGCACTAATTCTTCCACCATCTGCATCTGTCTGCAAGATTATCATCATACACTTGCTGTGCCCCACGATCTCATACGCGTTAATTTTAAACAAAAATGTCTACTTAAATATACTTCCCGACACAGCTATGGGCCCTTAGTGTTATAAGTTTCAACGGTCTTTACCAAAAATATATGTCGGGTTGAGCAATACTAATATATTTTTAAAAATACACGATAAAGATGTTATTAAATTAGCTTCAAAACTGCGCAGAAACTTGTTGCTCAATATACCATTTAGTTTTAGCTAGGGCCCATCAAAATGTTCCAGTACTTTATGAGTACGACTATTTCTGAACAAATAAAATCACCATAAAATGGTTATACTTGAATTTTTTGTATTGAATGGGTTACATAGACCTTACATACGGTACAAAGATTTTCCACATACCATACACCAATCTTTTAGATCAATTCAGAGTAATATGCAGTCAGATTGTAATAAAATGCTGCGGTATTATCTGTTTGTTCAGTTCCACAAAAATGTAAGGTACCGTAATCAGGATATCAGGAAAGGTTTGAGGGTATTCGCCGTTATTAACGTAATGTTATAAATCTTACTGTTTGGCGGGTACTCTCTCGATGGCTCGCATAGTAGTCGGTTGTGTGGCGAAGGAGGCGAGGGTCTGCACCAAGGACTCTCTAGTACTGGCCAGCACTATCCTGGAGTCGGCGAATTCAGAGCAAAGAAATGCCGCACAGGAGATCAACAGTTCATCCCAATCTAGTGAACGACGGATAAAAGTAATAGACGAATGATAAAAATCTGGTGAGAGAATAAGGTTTCTGTTGCTTTCAATAATTAAAAATAAAAAAGTTTTGCAGTATCTAGACTCAATCGTAATTTTTTTCGCGTTGGCTTTGTATCCAATTATGACGAATTGTGAATTTGACGACCTCCGTGGCCGAGTGGTTTGTACGCCGGGTTTCATGGTGTCGCCGACTCCCGGGTTCGAATCCCGGTGGGGGCAGATGTTTGTGTGATGAATACGAGCATTTGTACTCCAGTCATGGATGTTTAATATGTATTTCTATATAAATATACTTATATATGTACAGTATATGTATTCTATCCGTTATCCTAGCATCCCATAACACAAGCCTTACAGTGCTTACTTTGGGCCTAGGCTAATTGGTGTGTGTCGGAAATATTTATTTATTTTAGCATGGTTCTGTCATCAGTATTTCTAGTTCTAAAAAGGAGAGGAGAATGTGAGGCCAGAGAGATATATGTCGATTGACTGATATTATTAAGTATTTGAGTTAGCTCGTCGGGTCCATATGGTTTTACGATTACTATGAAGTTCTAACTGAGCAGTTGTGTTTACTAACGTTACAAATTGCATTGTCACAGCAACCTATTTGGTTTGAAATCATGTAGAAATAGTAGTTTTGAAGTTGTGATTTGCTGTCTCATATTCAATCTTAGTTTGGTCCCAAATTAAAACACGTCAGTGTATATTATGTGTATTTATTAATTGAACCAATCTACAAACCTGATTTTTAACAAGACCGGCAGCAGATTAACTGGCTCCGTGGGATGCATGTAGAGACGCAAAGTATTGCAGAACTCGAGCATCGCTTCCACGTGGTACTCTAGCACGAACGCGAATAGAGATTCTGTGAATTGCGGCGCGCCTTCTAACCTGCATCTTCTGATGTCCGGGAGAATGAACATGAATCTTTCAAATCCTGCCCGACAGCTTGACCGAGTGGAACCTTTACTTGTGGAAATATTGTATAGGAATAATTTTTGTTTTTTAACAAACCTGGCAGCTGGTTGACGGGCACCGTTGGATGCATGTAGAGCCGCAAGGTGTTGCACAACTCGAGCATCGCGTCCACGTGGTACTCCGGCACGAACGCAAACAGAGATTCTGTGAATTGCGGCCCGCCTTCTAAACAGCATCATAGGATTCCGAGCTTAAATAAATGGCGAAAACATTCCAAAGCATACATACTAATGTTAGAAATGCAAATAGGTATATATTTGCCTTTTTTAAAGAAACGAACTAAAACTTTCGTTGGTGGTGAATAATGGACAAAAAAAATTACATAGTAGGTATTTCTTGATATGTTTTTATAGGTTTTGGATATCTTAAAGTTTCCTCTTTAATATATTCCTATAGTTACTACTTTTGTCTTTCGATTGCATCTGCAATCATTATCTCTACTTATTCGCACTGGGTGGGCATTTATGGTCGACCATAGCTCTATTTCCATATTCCATCAATAGGAAAGATCTGTATACTAGCAATGGGGACATTAACAGACTGACAATGATGATTTGGTAATACAGAGTTGGTATGTTTTTTTTACATTATATATTAGTCATAAAGTACAGTATACAAGCTAAATGGCAGGAAAAACGTTATAGAACAAAAAGAAGAAATTAGAAGCAAGAAGCGAAAAGTCAATTCTACCGACTTTTAGAAAGTCCTGGTTTAGATAAGAATTACATGTAGGTACTGTAGGTTCTAAGTAAGATTAAAGGAACCGTTTTCGTAGATATATTCACAGGGAAGACCAATATTTATCAAAATAGAAGATCAAGCAAGATGATAAATAATGTGATGTTGATGATGATGAGGCAAGGGAAAAATAGAGCAACTTACGACTGGGTGACGGCACTACTGAATGTGATCGTAATTGTTGCGGGGTAGCCATTTCTGTAGTTGTGTTATGTTCCGAAACTCCTGGGAGAAATAGGGAAACAAGAAAAAGGTTTTCATGCTAATTTAGGAGTAAAAGAAGAAGAGAAACCTACGATAATTATGAGGATGCGGATACATCTTCAAGCAAGGTGACTACGACTGTACCAGATGAATTAGCAGATACTTATACACGTTTTTTTTCAATGCACTCGGTTTTTATTGAAATCAATAGTTCAACTCACGGCTTGGTGTTCCAATTTGTGAATTAGATCCAGCACGTGGTGTTTGCGCTCTTGACGTGGGACTCTGGGGACTGTAATATTGATCTTTGAGAAAAGACAGATTTAAAATGTTGAAACTTAGGTTATTATATTTTTAACATTTATCTACCAAATTTATTAATCAAAAGAAATATTTTATGCAATAAATATCACCCGGTCCAACTTTCATACAGTATTTGCACCCGCACCACATTAGACCGAGTATTTTTTTTATAATTAATTATTATTATTTATAAAATAATTGTAGTTAATTACTTTAAAATATAATAACCTACAATTGCTATTGCTTCTTTAAAATGTTTGATACTTGTAAAGGTTTTCATTTGACATTATGGGTTACCTAAAATGCGAAGAGATGGCGCTGCCTTGCAGCCTAAGAAATACAAGAGGAAATTTGACATAGTCATTAAGGCCTCAGTAGCACAATTGTAAGCAATCACCTTCGCAGTCCTTCCTTCCCGCACCTTCTGCAGTCCAGGTGGACGCATTAAGATGCGTCCGCCTGGACTGCAGAAGGTGCGGGTTCGAATCCTGTCTGAAACCTGGGCCGAGTGGTTTTTTGTTATAAAAATATTCTTTATATTGAAACTTGTTTATGAAATAGTAATGGTGTAGTTAATGTCTGTGACAAAATTTATGTTGTTACAGTTTAAATACACGTTAGTAAAAATGCTGCATCTTCCTTACAAATAACATTTTTATGCTTTTAATACAGTAAAAGAGCAGATAAAAATATTAAATAAGATTGAGGCTAATCTCTACTGGCAGCATTCGTTCACTAGCATGAAGTATAAACCAGATGGTAGGTTCTCTCAACCATATTTTTGTAAAATAAAAACCCATTTCAAAATCTAAAATGAAACTAAAAAGTAAAAAATAATATCCACGCCACACGAAATCCGACGGGTGTCAATAAATTCAAATTCAAAAAAACATTTATTCAGTTTAGGCTTTTACAAGCACATGTGAAAGTCGAAAACTATGCCATCGCATCGTTATAAAGTTAATATGATTTGGAAGTCGGGCGGTGCCAAGATTGCGCAATGGATTTTTTTTAAACGTGTTTCAATCTGTTGACACCGCCCGACAATTCCAAATCATCCTAGGAACCACCCAATTTCATGTGAATCGGATATTATTTATTAGGGTAGGGGAAAATATAATTTTTACTTCATCCAATTTAGTGTAAGGTGTAGGCGACACACATAAACCCCTAGAAAGCCGGACACACAGTAAGAATTACATCGTCCAAATAAACAAAAAAAATGATTAATCTAAAAAATCAAGAAACCCGATTGCTTAAATATTACTTCAAATAAAAATTGAAAAGAAAAAAAAAACAAATCCAGAAGTTTATTATTCTGTTAAGTAAGGAACAAAGCTACTTTAACAGTCGGGAGCCATTAGATATTCAAGAATGGATATTTTTTTTCAATAATGGGTCCCGACTGTTAAAATAGCATTTTTCAAAAGAATGTTATGTACTTGTTCAGACAATGCAAGTAATTTATTTCTTCAATTTAATTGTATGCAACAGGCAAGAAACTTGCATCGTGTTTATGGCGCTTTATTTTCAATGCAATAAATCAAATTGTAGATAAAATTGAAACATTAGTTTAAATTTCGAAATCAATTTTAAAATAATAAATGTAACAGAAACTCTTTCGATTTCTTAACATTATTAATATAGTTGGTAAACTTATAAGGAAATCCTTAGTCCATGGGCAAAACTTTAAATAATTTCATGTCAAAATTATGTCACAGGAAGGTAGCAACATCTGTCACGTCTAACATGATTGTTAAGAAAATAACAAGTTTGTTTTGGGATAGGTACATTTAAGCTTAAATCGACCTTATTATTTTGAAATAGTTGTAACAAAAAAAGCTTATGGCGGGTCAGAAATCAAATTGGCCGATTGTACATTTGTAGTCGGTATTGAAAACACATTTTCAGGTAAAACTGTACTTCCATGGCCCAAGAGGTGATACTTGGATGTTTTTTTGTAGAAAAGGTTTGTTTTAATAGTTTTTTTCTGGCCCTCCGTCGGCCGCTGCCGCGGCACGCTCGCTTTGCTCGCTCGGCTCGCGCTTTATGGTCAGAACACTAACTTAACCTAACCTAGTGTGAAGTATCACCGCTTGGGCCCTGGAAGTACAGTTAAGCCCATTTTAAAGGTATTTAAACTTTCCTTGAATTTTGTTGTGTAGTAGTTCCAAATAATATTAAGATTAATAAAGAGATTGAGTCACTCACCTCTGGTCTGAGCTTGAGGTATATTCCAATTGTAGAGATGCGTAACTTCCAGCTCCAAGCAAGGAGCTCTTACCCGGTAATATTTCTTTACTGGCTACCTGTATGAATAAATTTTACCTTATATAAAAATAAATCAGCAATGGCCTCTTAGACCATCTGACCATATGTTATCATGTGTTCAAAAAACTACACCACTGCTAATGATCCAACATTAAAAACGGTTTTAGATAAATATAATACAAAACGAGGTAAACAATTTTTTTGCTTCATGATCAATGTTAACACTGGATACTGAATAGTAGATTAATGGATTTTTCCATTTTAACATTTTTAGGTTGTATAGTTAAGTTTCGGCACGCACATTTTTACACTTGGACACTCACACTAATTATATGGAGTAAAGGCGTTTTCTAAGACTTTTTTGAATTGTATTTTCACAAGAACTAAAGATTTATGGAAAATTAAAGCTGAATCAAATACCTAAGAAGAAATGGTTGGTTTTAAAAAAAATTGAAGCGGACAAATTACACGAACGTTGCTATTGAGCACAGGTCCCTTAAACCCCACAAGACTATAAACAATACCTGGGTATGTGCTGCATAGTCAGGATCTGAGGCTATTCTCAAGGAATGCAAGGTTCCTGCGAAATGCCGCGATAATTCCGTCTGCCGCTTCTTTGTCCATATCGCTCCTATCACCCACGCCATTTGCAACGCCCCCGCTTCCAACTTTTCCTGAGAATTGAAGAACGACATTGACACTACGGTTTCTTTGTAATCTATCTTCATGCCGCGCCGTGTCTGTGTTTTTACGACTATTTTGTAATTTTTCTCGCGATAAGAATCAACAAATATCCAAATTTAAATTATAACTCAGTAATAACTGCTCTAATATACTTAAATCCGAGTTACTGATCCACTTATATAAATCATTTTAAATCTGTAACATAGTCGCTTATTCCAATGTATATTTTATTTAAACATACAGCTAAGGTACTTTGATATCTAAAAGCTTATTTTTTGTTTGCTTTCGTCAAATAATCTAAATCTCTAATATATAATTATATAATATAATTGTTTTGTTGCCATTTAAAAGAATGTTTATTTATCCCCTCGTCTGTGTGGGTGGATCACGGAGGAAAAACCAAGAGGTGTGGTGATTAAATTTCCTCAAGAAACGACGCGTGATAATTTGCGGGATGCGGGGTGTTCAGCTCCGCCCACTTCTCAATATTTCATCTATCGGCTAATAGCAAAACTAGCTTAGGTTGATATTTATGTTACTACGTAGTAGTTCAGCTATCTAACACTAGATGTTCAAAAGTTTTGTATATAATGGGACGTACTCAGAACTTGAAGCTTCAAAAAAATGAAATATGTAGGTAAATAAATAAAATAAACGTTAACAAATTTGACCGATTTTAAAATTTTTAAGGTATAATTTTTATTATTTTAAAACATGTAACTGCTTGATGAAAAAAAATCCAGGCAGACCAGGCAGCAGACGGGACTCGAACCCGCACCCGCTCCCGTCTGCTGCCTGGTCCGCGTGGATATTTTTCTAGTTATATTTTCTTTAGATTTAAATTTTAAGGTAGTTTAAAAATAATAAAATGTTATTACAAACATAATTTTATTAAAAAACATCAATTACCTGTAAATAATAGTTTTGGTTAGTTGTTGTCGGTTGGTTGCCCTATCGTTTTGTATTGTGGCAAAATGCTTAAAACGAATATCAATATATTTTTCTGCAATCGATTTCATCAGAAATACAACATGATTAACTGTAGGTGATTGGTCAAACATATGGTTGGCCGATTTTTTGAAACAATCTTGTCCAATAAGTGATTTTAATGTATTCGATACAATTTTATGTTGACGAAAGTTAGGAGTATTCAAAGATTGCGATTTAACACAACGAATACTGCCTTCGGTCCGTATACATATTTTTATGACATCTCTAGATGGGAAAGTAAGACCACCCTTATTTTTAGTTTTTATCAAATCAAGGTCACTATCGTCGTAGTTATCAGCATATAATTCTTTGAGACAGCTCTCACATTTGATCTTGGAATGTAAATATTTGACCACATACCCAGAAATATATGCTACTATATGACGGCGCAAATAGTCACCTATAGTTGTATTTAATTGTTCATCAAATTCCAATAACATATCGTCAGGCATAGGCTCGACATCCATGCTATCCGAAGACTCGAAACTCATTTTATTTAAAATGCGATAACGTTCTGATGTAATATTAATTTTTTGCACAGAAGATTCATTTAAAATGGAAATATCTTCTTCTTCTATGGTGTCCAATCCGGTCTATTAAGTTTTGAAATCCATTGCTGTTTTAAATTATCGTTGGATGGAAATCTAAAACGAACATAAAAATAATTAAAATTTATTTACTTGGTAAAATAATTTAATACGTATTACGGCCCTGGATATTTGTAACGTTTAAAAAGTTATTCTATATGACGACAGATGGCGGCCAGTTAGTAATATATTGATAAAATTACTGTTTTAGATACTAAAAGTTATTTAGGAATAAGTGTATAACAGTTTTCAGTATTTACGTATGATTATTACAATATACTACTGCAAAATTATACGTAAACTTGTGTATTTTCTTCCTAAAAGTGTCGCCATCTGGTGTCAAGTAGTAGAATTTTAACGCTGATAGCTGAGGCTGAGAATGTTCTAGAACTTATATATTTAATTACGTATAACATTACTTACAAATGAAATGTGATGCCATCCATATTATCAGAACGTCTGCCTGAGTAACTTTGACATAGTAAAACACAAAACTTCATCCTTTTCTTGTTAAAAACGCAAAAAAACACTTATAATGCGAGTCTCGTTAAGTGTGCACCTGACGAACGCTGAAAGCATACTGACTTAGGCCCCGCCCACAATGATGACGTCAGGACCTAGTTGAAAATCACAGTGCACAGTTGCTTAGGCCAGCTCCTCTTTGTTTTTCCTCCGTGGGGTGGATGATTTCTGCCAGTACTTGAGAATATTATTTTCATATATTAATTTTGCCTATTTTGCGTTTTATAACATTTAGTTTTTAACCACATGTCTAATAATATATAAGTTTGTAGAGAAACTGTAAAGGATTGATTTAAGACATAAAAGAGCCTAAATGTAAACTAGAATTCGAATAATAAGAGGAAAATTCTTTTTATTATTCATATAAATAAAAGGCTGTATAAAATCTCAAGTTGGTACTGGTTTTTAGTTACGGTGCTACGATGAGGCTTGTCCGCCATTTTATTTCATTTGTCATTCGCTCATTCGGCTTCTTACTTCTGTTTTGAGTGCACGAATAACTTTGCTTTGCCCACTGCGAGTTGTTTTAGTTATCATTATTGTTAATTTTTTGTTACATTATGTTTGTTTTTCGTTACCTACTTTTTCTTAATCGTGTCAGCTTTTTTTGTTTGTTACATCGAAGACATGGATGCTCAGTTGAGCATATCACAAGATGGAGATACATTTCTATCTCCTAAGAAAAAAAGGCCACGTGTAGCTGTTAGTGCAACCGAGAAACTTAGGGTCAGAAACGTTTACAAATATGTGTTTGAAGTGAAATAAATCTACAGAATCAAATATTGAAGTTCCAAAAACAAGTGAATGCGTCAACAAGGTGGCTGAAGTCTTGGGAATATCCGTCCGCACTGTTTATTTTGTTTTAAAGGAGCACAAGGAGAACGACTGTAAATCACCAAAACCTCCCGAAAAACCTGACCCAAAACTTACATTTAAAGAAAAACTTGATGATTTCACATTCACCGCTATTAGACGAATTGTACATCAGTTCTTTCATAGAAATGAAGTACCCACCATAGCAAAGGTTAGTTTACCTGTTTTAACTAATCTTTTTATTATACGTTAGGTATAATATGTTTTCTCCCATCCCATGTGGAATTTTAACCAATTAGATTCAAGAGTGACTGACCACTAAAAATATTACATTTGAACCAAATATAGTGAAGGCCACTCTCATAGATATTGTGAAACAACAAAATCATACTGAGAAATATGCCGTGGACGAGATTGCTGCATAAAAAGGTATCAGACATTTAAAACGGCCCCCTTATCACTGTGAATTGAACCCTATCGAGTTGGTTTGGGCTCAGGTAAAGGGGCACGTCGCAAACATTAATAAAACATATAAAATGCAAAAAGTGAAAACTTTATTCCAAGAAGGAATCAACAAAGTGACACCGGTTAAGTGGAGTGACTGTGTGTCTAACACTATAAAAGAGGAAGACAAAATGTGCCATCTCGATCATATTATTGATGAAATTGTTAGGATAATGGCAGAAAATATTAAATGCGGCTTTTCTTCTTTAAACACTTTATTTTCATTTATATTATCATTACAACTCTTTTACATAAAAACACAACGCACCATTCTTGGGTACAGCAAAAAACCAGAAGCAAGATACCTTTTTTTTTAATAACGTAGATTACAAAAAGGCAAAGGGATTCAAATACTATAATGCCAAGTATTAAATCACATATTCTTAATACACCTCCTTGATTTAATACACGCATTAGTTACTTACAATAATAAACACTTACAATAGTTTTATATTTCAAAAGCGGATACAATATATTATGACCAATTTTATTACAATATTCCAATTAACTGTCTGAACTTTGTGAATTTAAATTTTCCTAATGATTTTGTTAAAATGTCTGCTATCTGATCTTCTGTAGAGATTTTTATTACATTAATTAAGCCACTCTTTTCAAAGTCATACACAAAATGATGACTAACATCTATATGTTTTGAGTTTTTGCAGAATTTACCATTTTTAGCTAAGGCAATAGCACCACTGTTATCTTCATAAATGCTAACACTTTGATTTACATTAACACCAATATCACTCAGTACTCCTTTTATGGGTAACACCTCCTCGACACAATCAGCTAGAGCATAATATTCAGCATGAGTAGATGCTCGTGATACAATTTTCTGTTTTTGTGATTTCCATAGTATTACATTTCCGAACACTCTTAATATGATACCAGAAGTAGACTTTCTATCAACCACATCTGATGCCCAATCTGCATCCACATATGCATCCAATATGTCACTATAGACTCCAAAGTAGTTTAGTGCTAATTTTCTTGTATGATACAAATACTTGAGCACTCTCAAAGCATATTTATAATGTGTAGCATCGCAACAGTTTTGGAATCGGCTAAGATAATTAACTGGGTAAGATACATCAGGACGAGACCCATTTGCTATGTATAATAATGAACCAATAATATTTCTATATTTCAAATTTTCATCTAGTTTTTCTGCTGGTTCAAGCTTTAAATTTAATTCCATAGGAGTTTCATATTTCTTCGAATCCATAATATTGTATTTTTCAGCTAACTTTAGTATATAATTTTCTTGACTTAAGTACATTTTCTTTTCCTTTAAGTTATATTGTATGTCTATTCCCAGGTACTGTTTAACTCTTCCCAAATCCTTCATACAGAAATTATTACTTAGCATTTCTTTTATTTTATTAATAACATTTATTTTTTCACAAAATATTAGTAAATCATCAACGTATAGTATAATATGTATTTTCTGATTATTTATGTATCCAGTGTATAGACAGTAATCATGTTTGGATCTTTTAAACTTTATTTGAATCATGAAATCATGAAAACACTCGTACCAATCGCGTGGACTTTCTCTCAAACCGTATAGAGCTTTCTGTAGCAAACAAACTTTATTTTTATGAATTTTATAACCATCTGGGGGATATATGTATATTTCTGACTTTATTTTGCCATTAAGGAAAGCTGTTTCAACATCCATCTGTTGGATTTCCCATCCATAAACACAAGCAGTAGATAATAGGACTTTCAAGGTAGTCATTCTTGCAACAGGTGAGTAAATTTCTTCCTTTTCATTAAATGCTTGCTGAAAACCCTTAGCAACAACACGCGCTTTATACTTTCCATTAGTCTTTATTTTATATATCCATTTTACCTCTATTATGTTTTTATCTGTAGGTATGTCAGTCACTATCCAAGTTTTATTCTTTTCTAAGCATTTTAGTTCTTCATTCATGGCTTCAGTCCATCTTTTTGATTCTGTACTATTAACCGCTTCTTCATATGTATTTGGAACATCAACATCACAATAATTAGCATAAAGAAAGTAGTCATTGAATCTGTTAGGTTGTTTTCTAATTCTTTCTGGTAACACTCTTCTTTCCACCTCCTTAATTTCTTTTCTTTTATCTTCTTGTTCATTAACTTCTATCATTTCTTTTTCTTCATCCTGTTTACATGTTGCTTCATCTTCATTTTCTTTATGATTAATTTCTGTAATATCTTTTTCACAATTTTCATTTTCACCCATGTCTAATTTTATACTCTGTGCATCATTATCTATGAACCTTACATGTCTACTTATTATTATTTTATTTTCCACTAACACTCTATATCCCATATCTGTATATCCTACTAACACTCCTTTAACGGCTTTAGCATTTAGCTTTGATGTTCTACACTCCTCAGGTATTCTAACAAAAGCTGTACTTCCATAAATTTTGAAATGTGAGACATCTGGTTTTATACCAAAGAATTGTTCATAAGGTGTTTTCTTAATATAGGTATTAGTTAACAGTCGATTTCCTATATAACTTGCTGCTTTTACACATTCAGGCCAATAACGCTTATCTAATTTTGCTTCTTGTAGTAAACATCTTGCTCTGTCCATAATAGTTCTGTTGTATCTCTCAGCAACACCGTTAAGCTCATGCGTATATGGTGGAGCTGGATTTAAATATATTCCTTCTTGTTTACATAACTTAAAAAAATCTTTATTTATGTATTCTTTACCATTGTCACAACGAATTTCCTTAATGTTCTTTTCAGTCTTATTTTGTACAAACCTAATATATTTAAAAAAACAATCAAACACTTCACTTTTTTTATTAATGCAGTACACCATAGCAATTTTGCTAAAATCATCAATAAAGCTTACAAAATATCTTTCACCACCATAACCTGTAGGATTTAAGGGACCATGAACATCGGTATGTATCAACTGTAAAATATCACGAGTTTGATGTCTATTATTTGCAAAAGGTAAGTTACACATTTTACTTGTTAGACATATTTCACACTGTATATAGCTATTTTCTATTTTATTTGGTAAACCTTGCAAACTCTCATATGCACACATTTGTTGTAAATTTTTAAAATTAGTATGACCTAAGATTCTGTGCCATTTTTCTTTATTAGTCATTTGAGAAACACTTGTGTATGATTTTACATTTTCATGAATTTCTTTATTTAAAAAACCTGTTAACATAAACAATTTATTTTTTAAGAAAGCTGATGCAATGAGCCTTCTATTATAATTATATATTTTAACAATGTTATTTTGAAAAACTATAGAATTATTCTCTTTCACGATACTTGAAACACTTAACAAATTTTGCTTCATAGTTGGAACAAAGTACACATTTTTAATTCTTATATTTTCTCTTTTACCTGTAACATTACACAAAATATTAATACTACCAATTTTATTTGCTTTCAGAGAAAAACCATCACCAACTTTAACATCTATAGGATTTTCTAAATTTATAAACTCGGTATAGTACCTGTCATCATTTACAATATGATCTGAGCAACCACTATCTAATAAAAATGTTACCTTTTCATTACTCCTTGATGCATAAGATGTATTTACCTCCGATGTCATTACTTCCACATTAAATGATTGGTTGTCGATTTGAGATACATTTGCCATATTCCCTGTCCTTCCTCTTCCTCTGAAATTATTTCCTCTACCTCTCCAATTTCGTCTACCTCGCCAATTACCTCTACCTCTGTAGTTCTTATTAATTGGGCAATATTTCAGGATATGACCAGGTTTCTTGCACCCGTAACATATGTAATCATTATTGTTTTGCATTCCAATAACTTGACTGTTGGGCAACTTGGAAGACTGTATATTGAAGGACTCCACTTTTGAAAAACTCTGAGCACTCTCTCTCTTTTTATATTCTAATATTAATTTTGATTTAATGTATTCCACTGATTTATCTTTATCAGGTAGTGCATCAACAATATCTATAAGATGTGAACATCCTTCAGGCAAACACAACAATAAGTAATTTAATTTATCCTCTGTAGAAACTTCTTCTCCCGATTGTTTTAATTCGTTGATGTGCTTCTCAAAAGTGTTAAAGAAATCGGTGGGGTTGGCATCATCCGCCATTTTTAACTCTAATAGTTTCCGTTTACATATTAATTTACTTGCACAACTTTTTGTTTCATATGTATCGTCAAGTTTTTTAATCATTTGTTTGGCACTAGTTTCTGAAATAATAAGTTCCAATTGGGAATCATTTATGCTATTTACAATATAATTTCGAGCCTTGATGTCCATTTTTGACCAATTTTCCGCAGACACATTTTCTTGTTTTTCGGATGTTATTACTTCCAAACAATTTTTCATTTCTAAATACAGTTTTAATCGAAACTTCCATTTTGTATAATTAGAGCCATCAAAAACTTGCAATGTAAAATCTTTTTCCGCCATTGTGTGCAAATTAACGCACTCTTCATAACAAACTAACTACGCTCTGCTACCATGTTAGGATAATGGCAGAAAATATTAAATGCGGCTTTTCTTCTTTAAACACTTTATTTTCATTTATATTATCATTACAACTCTTTTACATAAAAACACAACGCACCATTCTTGGGTACAGCAAAAAACCAGAAGCAAGATACCCTTTTTTTTAATAACGTAGATTACAAAAAGGCAAAGGGATTCAAATACTATAATGCCAAGTATTAAATCACATATTCTTAATAGAAATGACAGACAGATTTGTCATTAGTGTCACCGAAAGCGACAGCGATAGTGATTCCGAAAATATTTGATTAATAAATAACATTGTTATGACTTTTTGTTTAATTTTGGATGTACGTCCCGATACTTCCAATGAAATAGATCAATCCTTTACTATAGTACTAATAATAGAATAAAAAATCATTACAACTTAATATTAAATTTCTTAAACGAAATCAAACTGATCATTCATTTATTGAATGATTCTCTTACTCACTTAGCTACATCCCTATTTATTTTTCTTCAAAAAGCGGTAACCCACAAAACGTCATTTTACTGCAGCTAATAAAAAGTTCTACTTTAAGTGTATGGTTGATGTTTTGAATGAAGTAATTTTCAAATTTTAAATCGTACCTCATAAACAGCTTTGGACCTTGAAAGTTCTTTAAGAATCTTTTCCATTAGCTGTTTTTTCAAATCTTCTTGTTCACCAAGTTCACGTTTTGCATCTAAAATTTATAGGAAGAGAGAAATAAGGAGATTATTTTTAAAAGGAAATTGGAAAAGGTTTTTATAATTTCAAACCGTAACCTTACGTTACCTTTTTCCTCCAATTCCGAAGTAATAGCGGCAATTCGCTGATCTATATCGTGTAGACAATCTGCCATGTCTAGTTGATTGTCTCTTAGTTCACACAGCTGAAAGCAATAAAACGGTGGTGTAAATAACAGATAGAAGTATAGAAATGCGACCAAAGTATAGTTTATAAAAACTTTTTACCAAAAATGAAAACAAAACCACCAAAACGTAAGAAATAATGGCTCCATTACACTAATGGCTCGATTATACTTGGTCGTTAGCCTGTATTCGGGTGCACGAAATACATTGCTTGAATTCGGGCTCCCGAATCAATCTTTACACTGGAATACGGCCTAAAAGACGGTGTGGGGTAACCAAAAAGAAAACTACCCTAATAATCGACTCCGTTCATTTACACCCGTATTATAGAAAGATTCTCATTAATGAATCTAGTCTTGAGCATAGTCAGAAAGAGATGTCGCTATATATAGCACGTAGGGGCATCCCTCTCTAACGCTACTCAAGTAAAGATCAACACTTAGCTGTCATTCTGTAATACGGGCCTTAGTCTTTTACCCGAATTCCATTGGAACTTGTATTCGGGCTAACGAGCAAATGTAATTGCGCCATAATGCATATTCTGTACTTATATCTAAAGTACATAGTCAGATAAACATTTGGTCTCGTTGCCATGCCAACCCAAGCAGTGGATGCCAGAGTTACATCCACTAATCAAGTATAGGAAAGGTTGCCTGTTCTATCTCTTTCATATCTCTTTAAATAACTAAACAGAAATCAAGTACTGTTTAGTAATTGAGGAGTTTCATTGTTTTCTCCGAAAGTACTAATCAAATGTAAACTAAATTAATATGAAAGCACCTCGCCAATAAACTGATTCAAACAAAAGAGGATCGTCAAAATAGGTCTATGCATCTCGGAGATATGCGTAAGCAAAAATAAAATACAGATGAATTGCGACCCTCCTCCTTTTTGAAGTCGGTTAAAAATAAAACTAATCTGACAAACTGAAATTTCAAAAGTATAAACCTAATATGACATTTCAGTTTGTCAGAAAAAGATTTTATCCGAAACATTGTATCAAGTTACTGCATAATTCAACTGTTTAATACCGAGATACTGATATTTTAGTATTGTTGTGCATTAAGAATTCAATGTTTTAAATTAGGTCTGTAACTTTTGGGATCATTTTTTAATTATACGGTGATCGCGGTTTTCTGGAAGAAATCACTTTTAGCAATAAGACCTCGATTTGTTAGATTCACTCTAGATTAATGTTAATGTTATTTTATATTGTAACTTACTTGGTGTTATTATAAATAATTATCTTATGTTACTTTTTCAGCATGTTTCATAGCGGCTCCGTGATACAACGCCAGCAATCCATCGGCGAGCCTCAAATGAGCAGTTCTCACATCAATATCTCCTGCTCCTGGCATCATAGACCTTGTACCTTTCAGTTACAGAGCAGTTTCACCCATGATTCTTGCAAACAGGATCGTCTATAATCTTACCTTTTCAGCATGTTTCACAGCGGCACCGTAATATAACGCCCGCAGTGCATCAAAAAGCCTCAAGAATCAGTGTGCAATTCTTGCATCAATAGCTCCTGCTCCTGCATCAATAGCTCCTGCTCCTGGCATCATAGACCTTGTACATTTCAGTGCCAGAGCAGTTTCACCCGTGATTCTTGCAAACAGGATCGTTTATAATCTTACCTTTTCAGCATGTTTCACAGCGGCTCCGTGATACAACGCCAGCAATCCATCAACGAGCCTCAGGTGTGCAGTTCTCACATCAATAGCACCTGCTCCTGGCATCATAGACCTTGTACCTTTCAGTGCTAGAGCAGTTTCACCTGTGATTCTTGCATAAAACAATCTCTAATATAACATTATGATACTTCTACCTTATTTTACGGCCACACTAGCATGTTACCGCGAACATTTTCTGTTTTCACGACAACTCGGGCCAAGCGATAGTGACATTTCAGAACAGGATCAGAAAGGTGACTATTGTAGGGCCCGACTTGTCCTGAACACGGAAATTGTTCGCGATAGCGCGACAGTGTGGGCGTAGCATTAGAAGACAGATAGGTGGAATATTATGTTTGTGTTATGGATAATGCCAGATTAAGTTTATAATTACGTGTAATCCACTTTGCACTACCGTCGTTTTAACTCGTATCATCCCAGTGATTTCGGATCGGTTATTTAATATTTTTTAATTAAAACTACGTGAGCGCATCCTTTGTTTTTTCTATAAAGTGGCAGAACGGACAGTTCTAATCTAATTAATTCGTCAGATTTTAGTTCGCGCGCCCATTTTGTGCAATTTTATGATCTAATTATTATGAATATTTCTGAATACAATGTGGAGTCGGCAAATGTTAGGCCAGCCGTACACGGACCGCTTCAAGCAGTTGAGACCGACTGCTTGAAGCCGCGACTGCGCGGTGAACTATAGTCATTCATTCGCTGCCGTACACACGACTGCTCGAGCAGTCATCAACTACATGACGAAATTACATCGTGCCGTCGACCGCTCGCGAGCGGTCGCTAGGCATACACTGACTGCTCTAGCGCAGTCAACGGCTCGAGCACGTCATAATTGTGTCTTCACGTTTAATTTTAAACTTTAGTATATTATTGAATTCATCAAACGAAGACACTGACATCCTAAAATAGATGAAAATTTTTTCTTCATCACTTTCAAGTTCCATAAACAAATGATGTAATTTTCCATATTCATTCCAAAATTGGATGAACCCAGAATTTTCTCTTTTGACGTCGCCGCCGTCGTTTCCGCTTAAGCAGAAGCAGCAAAAGCAGTGCTTCCTCGTCAGAATCCACGACTCGGCTGTTGCGGTTGCAGCCAACAATCGACTGCTCGAGCAGTTGACGCCGACCGCTCGAGCGGTCCGTCTACGGCCGCCCTTAGTATTAACAGTTTCTAATACGTTAACAATTTTTGTTATTATAGCCTTTTTGTCAACTATATATTCATTAATCATATAAATAGAGTAAAATGTAAATGTAGGGTATTCACATTTAATTTTTACATTTAAATATACCGATCCAATATCGGATCAGTAGGATAATATGGAAATGGTTTATTATTATACACTTATATAATAATTACTAATACATTAATTTCTTGTACATTGTCGGAAAATGAAATTATATCGTATCTAGAAGAAGTCGGTTATGTGTTACCTGCTAATATTTACATAACACCCCCCGATTATATGGATGATAACTAACTTTTTATCTAAGTCATCAGGTAAATTATAAAAAAAAGTATTGGAAACGTATTTTATCTTCTTTCACGTGATCAAATATTACAGGGATATATTGATTTGAAATGTCCCATGCAGACACGTCAAAAATTTTACTCCTTTGTATAATTTTTACTTAGTAGTGATCTTGTGTATCTTGTTTATACTAGATCAAAGTTGACATAATTGAAATCATGAAAAGAGCAGAAACTTTCATTATTACTCAGGTATTGTGACACACGAGAAAGTAATTTTGTTTCAGAACAAATGACAAGAAAATCACCTATTCGGCATGAGCGGCATTGGCTGATGCATAAACCTGGCCATTGAGGAGATAACCTGGGGAAGAGTAGCCAGACCTGGTGAACCAGCGGTCATGTCACTTACACCTGCAAATAACGACCATTTATTTTTCATTTGAACTGGAAGCTACCATGGAATACAACAGAACGCTATTACCAAACTAAAGGTCGTAGCAGACACATATCAAATCTGAAAGGGATCGTCATTCATTCAAATAAAACTGAACGGTTCGAGTTGATACGGTGACGATCCTTGTTGATTTGTTTGTTGCGACCTTTAAGCGGTGACAACAGACAGGTATCACTGTATAACTAAGCACTCCCCTCTCCAAATTATTAAGCCTCAGTTATCTGTCAGCGAGCATCATCAAATAGTCCTGTAGTCGGTTGGGTATAGGATACTACGGAGGTGTGTTGATGACGCCGGTGCTAGTGACGGTTTGGGGTACCATACTTAAACGACCGGACGTAGAGACAATTTAAAACCGTACCTAGGCCCGGCGGAAAACCGTCTCGTTAACAAGCGCCCTAACTCTACATTCGTACTCGTGGCAGACTTTATTTACTATCGACGGTTATTCCAATTGGATTTTAACTTCAAGTCAAAAGAATAAAATTGATATTCGAGCTTTTTCCTTGTCTAAGTAGTTATTTATTACAAAAGGACTATATACCAGCTAATGGTCCTGTTTATAAGTAACCTTGATACCTTGAATTGTTTGGCAAAGTAGAAAGGATCCAAGTAGACGGAAGACGGAGGCATATGACGCAATAATTAACGATTTTCGTTAAAAATATTAGTTCTCTCATTATAGTAAAATCGCTGCTAATATTCATATTAAATACGGATGCTAACAATAGGGATGATGACTAATTTTTTTTTCTTCGTTTATCAGGTAGATTATCAAAAAGTATTGGACACGTATTTTTTCTTTTTTCACATAATATAAACATTCCAGAGATATATTGATTTGAAAAGTCGCATGACATCACGTTTGAGTACACTGAAAAACTGAGTGAAAATTCACTCAAAAGTGACGTCACGAGCCCCTACTTCCAAACTTTGACGCGCTATAGCTTTGTAATTTTTTGGTTGATTACCCAAAGAAAAAAATACGTGTCCATAATTGTTTGATCATCTAACTGACGGACTAAATAGTATTTCGTTTACTGTACCCCGTCATCACCCCTATTGATACTTTATTTTTACATACTGTCAAAAAGCCTATTACTTACTATCTTTAACAGGGGTGATGACGGTGTAAACGAAATTCTATTTAGTCATTCAGATTATTAAAAAACTGGACATATAATTTTACTTTTGTCATCAACCAAAAAATTACAAAGATAAAGCGCGTCAAAGTTTCACGTCAAAGGGCGTTGGGGCTCGTGACGTCACTTCTAATTACAAATTGTACCAAGACGTGTCGTCATGCGACATTTCAAATCAATATATCAAAATAAAAAAATACGTGTTCAATACTTTTTGGTAATCTCTCTGATAGATGAAGAAAAAAGTCGGTCATGATCCCTATTAACACAGACAGAAACATTTGTGGCCAAACTGTATGCTGTTCAGCTTTCATCCTAGGAAAATCCGCGTTCTCTACATTTTTATGGCTTTTGTTATTCACGCTTCCATTCAGTAACTTCCGATGATAGGTAGTATACATTTCTTGATTTTCCCAAGAGAAGAAAGTTTATAGAGCACTTTGGCACTAATTTAAACTTTTTCCCATTAAAAACGGTCTCGATTACGCCTGAAAGTAGGCTCGACGAGATGCTTTTAATTGAATCCTTTGAGATCAAAAGCTCCGGTAATTGCCTTCCTCGATGCCTCAAGACCGAAATAATGATGAATTTCCTAATATTCTTCTCATCTATCATATATACGTGAATTTTATTCTGAATACCGAAGTCTTAAATATTAATCATGTTCATTTTGAGCCATAATTCCAAGGTATATACTTAAGATAACGGAGTACTTTTGGCATTAATTGACATTTTGCTATTGTTGTTATTTCAATTCTAAAAGTTTAAGTATTATTATCATTAGGGATGGTGAAAAGATTCTAACGATACCACCACATCTGACTTTGTTCAGTAGGTGGAATAAGGAATTGTACATACATACATGAACCCTGAAAACAATACCTACACTTTTCATTTTGGCCAGTCATGTAAATAGAAAAAAGATAGGTACCTAAGTACTTCCTTGATAAAATTAAGCGACTCTCAGGTCACAAGGCGATACTCGTGAGCCTAGAAAAATCATGAATTATATAACGTCTGGTTAATTTGGGTACCTAAGACGGATTTATGCTGTTAATTAAAGAGAGTTTGAACAATAAAATTTATCAATCAAAAATCGAGGTATTGAGATTTAAATATAAAAAACCAGATTTAGGCCATACTAGAATGTCAAATTGATAATGACGTTTGACATGTTTGTATGAGCTAAATCCAGTTCTAGTTAAATGGAGATTGAGCAAATTTGCTGCAAGTAGAAGAAGAAATAAGAAATCCCACAGAACCTTATAGATTGATTGGTTTTGGTACCTCCATGAAGTTGTCTTCTAAAAGTTTAGGTATTATTATCATGGATCTTAAAATGGATATTAATTAATAAAACCGAGGTAACCAAAATTGTCCCCGTAATTGCGTTCCATTCAATCATTTTTCGATCAGGTTGTCAATGACAACCGGCTTTTAAAGTGAAATCCAACCCCTCAGTAAATTTTGGGATGATAAAGCCTTTATAACACATTCACTTAAATATTTACGAGTAAAAGCTTCATGTTATAATATTCCATCCATGCGGTGTTGGCAGAACATCAAAAACTATTATGAGATCTTTAGCTATTTCATGTCACGATATTTGGCGTGGTATCATCGCATTGCATGGACATGAGGTATTTTATACTTTTTTACACGAAATACGGAACACGGCAGAAAACAACTATTCTCAAATATGCTTGTCAAAATAACTTAGAGATAAATCGAAATCGCTGTACTGGCCACATATATGCAAGCAGCGGCTGGCAAAAGATGTATGAAAATCCATATTTGTCGTGTTTAGCGGTCAAATAAATTACATAGTAAACTCAGATCTGTCGTTTAATTCAAAAATGGAAAGACCTTTTACTGCGGCACAATGACGATAATTTATCAAAGGTTTTATTTAAAGAACAATGGCCAGATTTCTATATGAGCTGGACTTGACTTTTATTTTTGATGTCCCCTAATAAACTATAGTGAGAATGGTTTGTTTTAATGTTGTAAATACTATCCCGTTTGAAAATCTTATATAAATAGCCACGATTTTTTAAAATATCGCCACTAATACTTTTGAGGTTAGAGTCAACAAGTACCTTTTACCCGACTGCGGCGAAGCCCAAAATGTAGTAGCGAAAAGCGAAGAGGGTAATTGGCGGTAATTTTTATGATAAAAGTTCTTTAAATACCTAATAACACTAGTTGATCAGATGCCTAACTATTAATTGAATTACGGTTAACAATTATTTAGAAAAAGAAATAATTTATACATAGTCTATGAATATGAAATCATTTCATGTGCGAAATTAATCGTCAATGGGTGCGTTCTGAACATGTTATTCCAAATAATTTCAAATAAATAACCAAAAGACAAAAAAAGGTATATCTTTTTAATGTGTGAGAATATGGATATTTCGCTTATATTTTCTAAAACCTTTTAAAATAAGGGATTTTTTGATATATATGGCATATTGGGACGTCATCGTTTCTTCATCAGGTACGATTTGGCCATCCTTCTTTCTAACTGACTTGTAAATAGAAAGCTGTTTATTGAAATAAAATTATATGGCAAAAAAGGTAAATTTAGAAAATCAAAAATCCCGACCTGTAATTATTATATCAAATAAAAATTGAAAGAAAAATACAAGTGTAGTAGTCTATAATTCTTCTTCCCATATTCAATTTCGATTAATATCATGTCTTTAGTAGCACTCCCATGATTAAGACGAATCGATATACGTATCAATCATTAAAATCGGTCCACGCGTTTGGTCTCTAGTGTGCCACAAAGGAACATACATACATAAATAGACTGCTAAACATAAACACATACCCTGTCTGCGCGTCGCGCTTCGCGCTCTTGCATTGCGCAGTCGGGTAAAAAAACAAATGAATGAGTATTGTAGTTCGTTGTTCGTCATTGATTTTGAAGAAGATTCTGACTAGGCACTACTAAGTTTTAATTTTGGCGCATTATTTGAGAAAAGTACTATACAAGTCTTAGCCACGGTTAGGCATTGATGGCTTCGCCTCAACCCACATTGCACTTTCGTCCATCAATGCCTCTTTTACTGGCCGCTGCAATAATGTACTATATCTGTCGTTGTGGTGTGACGCATCAAATCAAACCGATAGCTCTCTGACGCGTCACAACACAACACGACAGATAAGTGTAGTTCTGCCATATGACGTGGCTATAGACGTAACGCGCTTGCCTAGAGGATACAGGTTGCTTGAAAAAGTAGCAGGTAGGTTTTTAGTCTTTGCTTAAGTAGTACATATGTTAACTTTGAGACTAAGCTACGTGTCAGTACAGTACTTTTAATATCAGCGCAAGGTAGTGGATATCTGATAATTACTGTCTTTCTTTTAATTTTGTTTTGATTTCCATTGGATGTTCGGAGAAATGATAAAAAACTTAAAACAAAATGAAACTAGAATACTTACCAGTGTCTATACCTCCCCCTCGATTGTAACTTGGTTCGAAACTCTGGATAAAGGCATTATCTTCTCCCAGCATGTTCACTAGGTCTTGCCTACACAAAAAATGTTAACAGTTTGTCGATAGCTATAGAAAATATATTTTAGTTATGCTAGCAATAAAAATTATTAAGATAACACTACGCTCCTTGTTTTTTGTATAAGCTGTGGTAAATAATTCTAACGATATCCTGATGATGTAATGTAGAGTCCAATCTCAAAAAAAGCTGATGCAATAGAAAAATTTGCCGCTCTAGTCATTCTCACTTAGCTGGCCTGAACCCAACCATGACCAACCATCCCTATGGAAAACTGAAACCTTACAGACCAATAGAAATACTACATCGTGGCCTTGGCTCTGTCTTATTTATATTTTTCGCTGGAAGTTGTGTGGCTTTTGCTATCTCTTCTCGTTCATATCCTTGCCGGAGTTGTAGGTATGTATTAATACTAAGATTAGTAGTAGGTTTAAAAACCGCTATTTAAGAGAGTTTGCGTGACAAAAAGTACTTTAGTAAGGTCCCAGTCGCTTTTCTATTAAAAATAGGTATTGTGATTTATTGTTTCAAACTTTCATGGTCACTAACATTATAGTAATATAAGTTATTTACGGGATTGTTACTATGTACCTTATTTTGGCGACTTTCCGATATTTCGGCACTGTTGCAAACGCCATGATCACGGAGAAACTAGCTAAAAACAAGGTACATGGTGATAATCCCGTAAATAACTTATATTACCATAAGGTATTGTGATTGTCCCTTTACCTCAAAGTTCTAACTAAAAACGGCAGTACGCCACCGAGGCGGTCCACATTGTAAAAGTCCAGCTCGCCGTCTATGAAAGTCTTTACGGGCAAATGTGGTGGTAGATGTCTGAAATTATATACATACTTATTTTTTAACATTACTACCAACTATTTTATACTACCGCTATAGTATTTTATATTGAACACGAAAGCTGTCACTTTCCTTTTTTTTTTCTTAAAGGTGAAGTCGTATAGGGGTTTCCGGTAAAGACTAAGATGCGAATGCCAATTCCTGGAAGGTTATAACTGTTGCTGGATGGCGTATTCGTTAACGCAATAGTGGAAATCAAGCAACTTTAGCAATGCTGGTTGCTTTGGATGTAATGCCATTGATCACGACTGCATCTGCAGTCGTATGCATCTACCAATCCGCACTAGGTACGCGTGTTGGCATAAGGTTCGTTCTCTTTATTCTATTCATGGGGGAGGCCTGTGCCCCATGAGTGGGGACAATAACAGATTAATACTGAAGTGTTAAATTTTTCTTACGTATTACATAGGGCAAATATCGAAATTATATTAAATCAATCTTTTAACAAGGATTGATGAATTATCATCATTCAACGGGATATCTTTCTTTTCTATCACCGTAATATAAAATACCTTAAGAGTTTTTTTCGTTAGTCATTAAATTAAAGTAAAATTTTATATTTTTCTCACGGATTGCCAATTGGATTGTCCGCCCACAGTTTGAGCACCGCTGATAACAACCGAGCGTGGCAGCACCAGGATATCGCAGGAGAGTTTCGCGAAATGTTGAAAAGTCGCTACAATAGAAATAAATTATTGAATAAACCATGATGGTGTAACACTACTACGGTAACAATGGTTACCGAAAGTAGAAATGACGCCTCTTTAGCTTTAAATATCTCTAATCACCTGATGTTAGGTATTAATAGACTTCTTCTATAGCTGTTTCGAGAGAAAAATGGTTGTGACAGAAAAATATGCCAATAATTTATTATCGTATTTTAATAGTACATTGTTTACCAAGAAGAGAAAGAGACCGATTATCAACGAGGGTGTAGTTTGAGGCCCGAGGCCCAGACAAGGGCCTTAATATACCCGAGTTGGGAACAACACTTTTTTTTCGAGGGAGACAGTGCTTTAATAAATAATAATAATAATAATAAATATTTCCAACACTCACACCAATTAGCCTAGCCCCAAAGTAAGCACTGTAAAGGCTTGTGTTATGGGATACTAGGGTAACGGATAGAATACATATACATATTGTACATATATAAGTATATTTATATGAAATACATATTAAACATCCATGACTGGAGTACAAATGCTCGTATTCATCACACAAACATCTGCCCCCACCGGGATTCGAACCCGGGACCTCTCGAGTCGGCGACGCCATGAAACCCGGCGTATAAACCACTCGGCCACGGAGGTCGTCACATACTATACGTCATATACTATACCTGCGTGGAAATCAGACAAATTCTATAATTGAAATGTATATTAAAGTTGTTACAGTAACTAATCTTTTGCCTTTACTTTATATTTAAATTGAAAATAGCATAGGCAATTTACCATTAATGGACTTTATTTATGAAATAATAGTGATTAAATATAAAGGACCCAAAATCACCAGTGAATCAATATCAAAATCTAGTGAATGGACACTTCGTACACCAGATTTAGGTCACGGAAAAAATTTAATCACACTTTCATCTCGATTCAAAAGCACTTCCTCTGTACCAATAAACATCTTCCTGGAAACCGAGTTAAGTTTTAATAAAATTCAGTCTACTTGCATTTTTCTTCGTCGGAAGTTAGTTCCGTTGCGTTTCTAGTTATCATGGTATTTCATTATTTCATTTACTGCTTTACAATTATTAGATTGTGGAAGGTCTGATTATTTTTGTAATCAATACTAAGATAAATGATTAAATAATATATATATATATATATATATATATATATATACTGTTCATTTTATTAGTTCCAAATAAACAGGAAATGAACCTGGAAGTATTACTAAAATTTCTTTGTTTGGGTTTAGAAAAATGGTGGTTCGATTACTGGCCCAAAGATAAATTATTAAACCTCCCTACACAAAATCAATAAGTTTCTGTAACACTAGGTATTAAAATCAGACTAAAGTAATAAAACATACCGGAATCTATGAATGAACACCTAGCATTACTCGTTTTTATGATCCACTAATCGAACACCCCCTTATTTTTAGAAAATGAATGAAATTACTATCTCTTAAATTGCTTTTCCTTAAATAAAATAACCATTGTGCAGCGTCAGCAACGCTTATAACAAAACTGCAGTGTCTTGGCTAGACCTTAATTCTTGCTCATACAAACACAGATGAAACACACCGCGTCAACTTTAACGTATACATAATCAAAAATTTCAAAGTATAAAAATTGACTTCACGTCTGATTCAAATGTTCCGTTTTACAGAAAAATATTTGTGTAAGTATATCGATATAAAAACATTAATCCCAAACTTTTACAAACAAATAGTTGGCCCTAATTTTTATTATAACATATCACTGATGACCTAAAAGTATAAGTCTGGTTTCTAGAACTTCACTGAAGAATGGAGCTTTACGTAGTTACGTTGTTATGTATCCCTATTTATTTGGCTTTACATAATATGGTTGTGGGTGGAGTCAGAGTATACAAAATTAAAGTAAAAATTATAATTAGATGTCGCAAGCGTTTCACCAAACTTCAAATTTACGATGCTCACAAGACCAACGAAATTGTTAAAGTGCAGTCGACTTACCATATCTAATATACAATTATCCATGATGTACCGCCGGAATTTCTCCAAGAAAATCTTGCGAGTGGACGGCACCATATTGTTGCCATCGGAGTTATCCAAAAGCATCAGCAGAAACTCCAACTTTGGCAGAAATTTGTGAAACTATACAATTATATTACAAAAACAAAAGTTTTTGAAGAATAGAAATTCTGCAACAACTGCTAAGTAAGAGTAGAACAGTGTGGCTAGTACGCTAGTGGCTGGACATTCATTAGTAATTCAGAAAGGATTAGGTATCATTTCACTAACAGATGGAAAATGGAAAGCAAATCTCACTCACGTCGGTGAACACAATTTAACTTTGACCTTTAGAGCCTTTATGCCTTATATAATAAGAAAAACCGTAGTTTAATGGGAATTTCCCTTGAAAGGCATGAAACTAACGAGGCAGGCAGAGCATCAAAGAGATCTCACTCACGGTATCTTACTGTTTACCTCAACGATGTTATAATTTGACATTAAATACCGATTTGGATCTAAGTTATTATATGAAAATAATAGGTAGTGACAGTTTGCTAAAATCTCACTTAGAATATTTGATTGTAAACATATTTCTAAATGCCATTAAAAGAACTGCACTGAAATGCCAGCTGACAGATTTTAACAAAAATTGTTGAAGACAATGCGGATTATAAATAAATCCAGAAAAGAAGATTTATTTTTATACACCGCTAGGCGAAAAAATACTAAGTAATTCGATATACAGTCAATTACTTATTCAGTCGCTCGAATATTTAGTGTTCCGGGAAATACAACGGCTTTATTAATGACTATCGAAGACTTTGAAACTCGCTCAATTGATACGGACTAAAATAGAATACTAAATTATATAAACACTCATTGGCTTTAGAACCCGTTATAACCAATTTATTGGCTCATTTGGTTAAACTCATTCGATACAAACTTTGTTCCATTTTAGTAATAGACTGAGAATTTCTTACCTACGAAAGGGCAAAAGCGTACCATCGTACAAGCTTTATAACGCCAGGTAGAAAAAAGGTAAAAAATTGTAACCGTCAGAACCACTAGACCAAGTGCGATATTATATGTTTGGAGACTATCAAGGTTCAATACCTTTGGGATACTTTTTGTTAACCAAAATTAAATTATTTAGTACCTCGACGAGCAATGAAAAAAACAGTGATAAGAAAGTGGCCAGACATTCTGACGACAGGTTGTCTGGACCACATTTTTTTCACATAATTGGAGACAATATATCTCAGTTGTTACATGTAAATATTAAATACCTTTTTAATACCTTACTAACAAAAATATTTTTTTTCTTGTGGAGGATCCTAATTTAATTTTTATTATTATTTTGTTACTTTAGCGGCAATGGAAATTAAACATTCTGTGAAAATTTGGCCTTAGGATTATGCGATACAGTTTGCTGACAGACGGACGGGATGGATAGCGAAGGCTTAGTAATAGGGTGCCGTTATAACAATTTGGGGACGAAATCCTAAAATACGACATTGAGCAATATTTCGGAGAAAGTGCTCTTGTTAGAAAATTAAGCATATTTATAGTTGAAGTTGAAAATCAGATCTTTAAACAAGTACAAGTCAATTTGGCGTCTTTTCTTATCCATAGATATTTACAATGTGATTTGTGAACTTTGTAATCATCATCACTGTCTGCTAACATGGTTTTTTATATATATTGGTATGCTTAAAATCAATCATATAGCTAAGCCTATAGACGATAGCAGAGTATAAAATGTCAGTTGCCTACCCTTAGCCATGAAGCCCTATAAACCTTCATTACCAACAGAATCACCACCAACAAAAGGTAAAGTATTCTTTCACTGTGGTCGTTCGTTACGTACACAATATTATATTCTCTTTTTAACTTTTTATAATGTCGAAAAATAATTTCGAAGAACAGCTGATCTTTAACTTACCTGTATTTGTTCGAGAGGTGCAATAGCCTTGGTGATCTTCTCGCAATCCTCATTGTATTGAACCTCATAAGCTTCACCATCTTTCTGACACAAAGGCAGCAGCTTAGACGTTTTATCTGAAATACGAATGTTAGATATTTTATCTGAAATAATATGCCAAACATAAAATTTACCGGCATACAGATTGAAAACAGCCGACCTTCCCCAGCTGGTGCAGGACGGTGTACGATTCCTTTTTCAGTCATTTCTGGAATAAAAATGCATTATTACTTATGATAACCATGATTTAATTCATTATTACTTGAGGTCTTTGTTTCATTTGATTAAGAATCTTGATCGAACATCAGATTTTTTCTAATAATCCTGTGGAAGTCCATCAAGAAATCAAGATTATTTTTGCATGTAGTGTTACATTTCAACTATAAAATTCTTTCTCCACTTTATAATTAAGTAGGTAGGGATTTAACTGACGTTCTCAGTTAAGTGTAAGATATTTACTTTTATTAGATCTTTTGATACTGAACATTATAGAAGACTGGGTATTAAGGGACTGAATGTTTTATCTTTTGATTCTGGAATACTAGGCATTGCGGGATCAGACATTATTTATTGTGAGAAGGATATTGTCACGTTGCCAGCCTGTATACATCAGTAAATGAAAACCACACCCTTATATGGTGTTTAGTTTCTGACTGTAAGGTTTTCAGGGCCCTACGGGGTAGAATAGAATTAGTAACACGCGAATTATATTCATGGCCATACGCTATGATGTTATTCTGCCAATGCAAGGGTCTTTAACTAGGCGTCATTATAATTGCTTGCTATATTTAGCTTAGCTTATATTTTCTCAGGTGGATGCTTCAATTCAAAAAAATGTCCATCTTTGTCCTTCATATCTTTCTGCTTTATCTTACCAATAATCCTGGGGTCAGTCTCCCCTTGTACGGGTGTGGGTCGCTGCCACCATGGTTTTCTGACCACATTCCGTAGTACGATTTCATCAGGACACTTGATATTCAGGAAGTTGTCAAATCTGAATACAAAATTATAATTTAACTAATTAAACAAATCTATTGGTGGTTTTGGAATGTTAAATTGTGGCACAATTTTTTATGTCATAATATTACACAAAAAAAGAGAGGATCATCTTCTTTAATACAGGTTGTGAATTTAAAGTAGCCCTTTTATATACATATTATACTATCTTAAACATGTGAAGAAGAATTTGTATTGTGAACTCTTCTTTTAGCAGTCTGAAAGTTTCGATTGCGCGTAGAACTTACTTTCATTAATTGGCAGAGTTGCAGATTTCTTGCGATCGTTTCAAAGAAGTAACGTTTATTTATAAAATGATACCTATCCATCCAGTGGCTGACCAGTGGTTCATTCAGATGATATCAAAATTAGTGAATAAATCTGTTACCAGGGCTGGATTTAGAAGTGTGGGGGCCCGGGGCAACGAAGGAGTGGAGGAACCTAATTCTGGACCACTTACAATTTGCACCCCTGGTTTATTGATCTCTGTCGTGAGCGCCCCTGGGTTACAGCCTCGCTTGCCCTGCCTTAAGTCCGGCTCTGGCTGTTACTATTACTAGTATCATACTAAGTGCGGTGTATTATAAAATTCTGTAAATAAAGTTACATATTTACGTAATTTTGTTGAAGAACACATATTTGACGAGATGATGCCTCGTCTCTTGATGTTGCATCAGCCCAGACACCACATAAACGCCTTCTGTTTGCTGTGTGAAGTTCATATCCTGTAAGCATTTACACTCGTTTTCACTAAAATTTTCATACTTCAATACGCGGTACCTAGAGGTTATATGATGATCATTTTCTTCATGTTCAATTTGTTATTAATAATCTGGAGAGTATAAATCATCGAAGTATGCAAAATATACGTTGAAATGAATCTCATCTGTCGAACGCTTTGCATTTCCACATTCAGGCAAGCTTGTAGGAAAGAGAAATAAATGTCCATGTAGAATATTTTCAATTAGATCGATGGCACATTATCTAGCGAATTTGGGTTCAGATAGTTTAAAAGTTCACCTTTACTTTGAAAGCTGTTGGATGGGATATAATGGGTGGGCAATAATTTACAATATTGAGCTTTTCCGTGCTTCGGAAAGCAAGTTAATCCGTTAGTCCTAACTACATCTGCAGTCTTAAGCATCCATCAATCAACACTTGGCTATCGTAGTGGATCATGGCCAGTTCTAGCGTTGTCGTATAAGGAAGATCTACCCCCCAGCAGTGGCGACTTAACAGGCCGATTCTTGGATCACAATTAGTACAGGCAAGTCTATGTTATTATCTGATATATAAAATTCTCCTGTCACGGTGTGCGTAATTGAACTACTTTGAAACGGCTCTACCGATTTTCGTGAAATTTTATATGCATATTCAGTAGGTCTGAAAATCGGACAACATATATTTTAACAATATTTTTCATCCCCCTAAATGTTAAGGGTGGTCCACCCTGAATTTTTATTTTCCACAAAATTTTGTTTTTATTTTCTTATTTTATACATCATACAAAAATAAATACAACCCTAAATTTTCACCCTTCTACCATCGACCCCTATTTTTTTATGGCGGTACGAAGTTCGGGCTAGCTAGTTAACATATAAATATTTCTTTGCTTTGCTATTTAACTTACTGGCGATACAAAAAAGAAGAGCAAACATACTCTGACGATACATTGTTCGAATAAATTACAAAGAGCAGATTCATCTAAGAAATTCTATAACAAGTCTAGTAACAGGCATAGACGAGATTAAGGTTGCGTCAGAAAATGTTGTTATTATTTAAAATACAAATAGTTATATGATTTAATATAGGACTTACTGGCGATACCAAATCGAATAACAAACATTCTCTGACGATACAATGCTCGAATACATCACACAGCGCAGACTCGTCTAAGAATGTCCAAAGCAGGTCGAGCAACATGCATAGACGGGGCTGAGGTTGTGCCAGAAATTGTGCTGCAAGCCCTTCCTGAAAGCAGAAGAATAAATAAAGATTCTGCATTCTTCAAACTTACCTTACGTAAACAAACTTCGAAATATTTTTGTGATCGTCATGTTCATATATCCTCATGTGTATAAAACTGATAAAAATTTGCTGTAAGTGGGCCTTAGTTACCAAGTCTAAAAACCAGTCCAACAAAAGATATTCACTACTCACAAAACTTTCTTCTTTAGCACTCAAATAGAAGTCTGATGCTAACGGATCAGATTGCTGACTTCTCGTCTTCACCCCGAGGTACCCCCTAAGTCTGGGCAGCAGTTCACCAACCACCACATAGGAGAGGCGGAGAGTAATACCCAACTCTATCACCAATATACGGGCTATGGACATTAGAAAAGCCTGCAAGTAAATTAGTTTTTTTTACTTAAAAATGCTAGTTCGATTCAATGCTAGTGATGGGGTCGAGCTGAATTTTACTAAAGTACGGCCAACGAGAAGCTATACAAAATGTAAACAAACACGATGAAAGTCATTAACCAACGCAGAGTTGAACACGATGAAAGTCATTAACCAACCAAAATTTTTAGAAATAAAATTTTATTTATGAAAATAAATACATGAAATTATATGTATTTAAATTTAATGTACAAAACAATAATTCAAATTATCAATACAGGTCAAAAAACATAAAATATTCGATATTACTACGAGTAGTATCGGAAAGTCACGGAAGGAAATGAAAATATGTCATTATTTTTGAATTTTATACTATAAAATGTCCGCCTTAGTGTTGGCGAACTCGATACCTAGGTGATCAGGTGAAATAACCGAACGAGACCTAATGCCATATATATAAGATGAAAGAGATAGTCATCAGACTGTTAATCCCATAGTCTCGTATAGGGTGAATGAACTTTTGTATCGCTTCTCGTTGGCCGTACTTAGATAAAAATATTAAATTTTTAAGATTAATTAATTAATAAGACGTGTGTTGTTTTAGTTCTCTTATACTCAGAATCATTCATACACCTAAATGTATACAAAAAAAAAAAATACCTGAGATGGCCATTCAATTTAAACCTGATAGATCATCCGTTCAGAAAATCGATTACTGTTTGAACTAGCTTGACAGTTTCCTATGCTTAAAGTACAGTATTTTGATCTCACCTTTCTTGAGATTTTCTTCATCTCTACGCTCTGCGAGCCGATCATAGAATGTGGGGACCCTCGAGGAGTATACGCACTGTCGGAGCTGTGTATCCGTAACGCCACCTCTTGTTCCACAGTCTTACCTGACTCAGATTTTGTCTGAAAACAAGAACAAACTAAAGAAAATCTTACTCACCGACAAAAGCACAACACCATCAAGACGTAGTTTTATTGGATTTATCCAGTTTCAAAAACATAATTTCACTTTGTATTTGGATTCGAGTAGACTGCAGCAAAAAAACATTCCTCCCTGATGTAACTTCAAAAGCCTTAACAATCCTGCCCTTATATATAATGCTGATTTGATATCTCTGGATTGTTTAGGTTAATTACTCTTCAACAAGTGTAAGTAACAAATTAAGTATGTTTAATGTGGATCAAAGGGCAGTCTACCAACCAGCCTATCTTATAACGTATTTACCAAAATTACCGTCCCTTGATAGATTCCAGGATGGACGACTGTTCCTCTATTTATTGCTTATAAACAAAATATGTTGCTGTCTGTTTAACATTTTAGCCCTTTATGTGGCGATTAATCCGCAGACAACAATAAAAATGTTCGCAATTGCCGGTGCTGGATAGTTTCCCAGATCAATATCGTGTGTCGGAAAGAGAATTAAATACGGCCGTTTACTTTTATGTTCTTTCGTAAAAAACAAATAATATGATAAACAAATGCTTTACCTATATGGCCTAGACAAAGACACCTAATTTCTAGATAAGTATTGTAGAGGCTGTGCGGGAAGAGAATGGGATTTAGATTGGAGGGCGCTGTAATGCTTTTCTACCGTATTTGCAGGTTTTACCCCTTTTAGACATGATTAAATACAAAAAACCGCAAGAAATCACAAAAACAAACAAATCCGTTTCAATACAAAATTTTGACGTTCAACAGATTGCTGGGTTTGATTGCCATATAAAAATCTTAATGTTAGTTCCGTTTTTCGTCACGTCCATTCTCTTTCCGCACAGACTCTATCCGTATTTTTTTATTATTAGAAATTGTGGAATACAAAAATATGCCGAAAGTATTTTCTTTCTTATTTAATAATACCTTGACCCGATCTTCTATATCTTAGAGTTCCGTATTATTCATTGCAAAAGAAAAGTCAAAAGTCCAGAATTATTTTGGGCGCTTTTATTAGACTAGCGCTGTCTTTAAGATGGACGGTTTAGTTTAGTTTTTCAGGCCGGTTTCAGGCTTAGTCCTAATTATTGGACCATTATGCGTGTCTAAAAAATATTCTCGTTTACTCCAGCCAGTCTATATTGGTCCAGAAGGAAAACAGCCTAGACTGCTGTTAGCTTCCGGACACGATCCTGGCGACTGGAGAAGTCGTGCCCGTTGGTCGGCCACGTTCCTGCATTCCATGATGACATGCTGTGGCGTTTCTTCTGCCTCCATGCATCCTCTGCATAGGGGGCTGTCTGTTACTCCTATTATATATAGGTGTTTGTGTAGGGGACAATGACCAGTCAGTTTTCCTATAATCCTGCGAAGTTTGTCCCTATTTAGTCTGGTAAGGGCAAAACTTTTATTTGCCACTTTTAAGATGGACGGACGGACGGACTTATTATTGACAAGTGAGCGGCAACCAAACAAAAATGTTATGTTAGAATACATTCACGCCGCTAAATTTGTTATGGAAATAATAGTGAGAGAAAAGAAAGACCTACTTACGTAATTGCGAAAATATAACTTGATAATAGGGGTTGAAAATTTGTATGGAAAATCTACACATTCGAAATGAGTGAGGGCGTATCCAATGTTTTCTATATCTTTGTATCGCAGCCGTTGGTAATAAAACCTAATAGATCGTGTTTAATATAAGTTACGATACATTTGAACTAGTTGTTACAATACTCGTATCTTTTCTGCTACGGAAATCCCCACTGTTGGTGTGAGATGCCTGACGCCAAGATTTTTTATTAACAAAGTTAATTGCAACCGTACTTGCTGTTTTAGGATAGGTTTAGTTTTAAAGGATTTGAGGCTGTTTTGTAGAATTTCATTGAGATATAGATATTATAATGTGGACAGTTGATTCAATTGTGGTCCATCGATGCTAAATTTGCCACCCAGATAATATAAAAATTACTGGCCAAGTCCGAGTCGGACTTGCGCACTGAGGGTTCCGTACAAACTCAATTTAATACCTCTACGCGTTCATGAGAAAAGAGGTAGTAACTTTAAAATTTTCAAGAATATTTTTTATTATAATATGATGTAACGAAAAATTTACGGTTTTTGCAATTTTTCCTTTATTTGTACTATAAGACGTTACTTCGTACCAAATTTCAAGATTCTAAGTTCACGGGAAGTACCCTGTAGGTTTTGATTCACGTGCAAGTTTCGAAAATTTGCAGAATTTTCCGGCATTAACGGCTGTATCTTTTGATTTCTATGGCTTAAAAGTTTTGATTTTTTCACAACTCCAAGGAACATCATAGGGCGGGAGAGATAGTAAATTTTGGTAACTTACTTAATTCTAAGATAAGATGTCTGCTAACATCCAATCCTGCTGCAGGAGAGACCACAACTGCCATCTTCATAGCATTTGTGAAGAGGTTGAAAAACACGCTCTGAAGCACGAGTCTCGAGATCTATATCACAAAATTCGTCTTATTACCAAATCTCTACCGGCTAGAACCTGGGCCATTGAGAACGACAGAAATGAAGTGGTAACAGAGCTCAAACAAATCTCCGAAACGTGGAAGAACTACTGTCAGTCATAATTCCGAGACCCGCAGTCTCGACAGTTTGCAAGTACAGACCCAGAACGGGAGAATTTGGAACCAGACATTCTACTGTCCGAAGTAAGAGCTGCCATAAAAAAATGAAAAGTAAAAAAGCAACTGGTAGAGATGCAATTCCGATAGAGACAATTAAAGCCTAAGGAGATCGTGGCGACCAGATGTTTCATCTTATTTGCAACAAGGTATGGCAGACAGGAGTTTGGCCTACTGAATGGACACACACCGTTTTCACACCCTTGCACAAAAAAGGTTCGACAAAGAAATGTAACCATTACCGCCTCATTGCTCTAATATCACACGCTAGCAAAATAATGTTGCGTATTCTCAACGAGCGACTGAAAACCTACCTTTCTAAGGAGATCGCTCCGGAACAAGCCGGATTTGTGAAGGGGAAAGGCACTCGGGAACAAATTTTCATCGTACGTCAGATCATCGAGAAGTCGAGAGAATTCAATAAGCCCTTATTCATTTGCTTTGTTGATTTCTCCAAAGCATTCGATTCGGTGAAATAGCCGGTATTATGAAAGACCTTGCTAGATATGGGCACACCAAAACATCTTGTTCACCTTTTAAGACGCCTATATGAAGAAGGCACAGCCTCAGTGCGCACAGATGATGTCCTATCAGGTGATTTCCATCCTAGTGCCGGAGTACGTCAGGGATACATAATATCCCCGCTCTTATTCAACGCCTACACATACATAGCTGATAATGCGCATCACTTTGGAGCACTGGACGGACGGAGTAACAATTGGTGGATACAAGATTGCAAACTTGCGTTACGCGGATGACACCACCTTATTTGCAACCAGTTCACAACACTTGCGATGAGCTACTGTCAAAGATGGAGCGAGTGAGCCGTGAGTTTGGTCTTAAAATTAATCGCAGCAAAACCAAGGTAATGATTGTTGACCGTGCCAGAAATAATTCGCCTGAAGTGACACAAGTCGCGAATTGCACTGTAGTCCAATCTTATATTATCTTGGGGCTCTGATTTCAATCAATGGCGGATGCATCGATGAGATCAAACGACGTATGGGCATCACAAGAACAGCGATGGACAAGATGCGGAAAATATGGAGGAATAGAAACATTACTAAAGCCACAAAGACCAAGCTTGTGAGGACACTTATATTCCCCATATTTCTTTATGCGGCTGAGACGTGGACTTTGCGAGATGTGGAAAGGCAGAAAGTGGACGCTTTGGAAATGTGGTGCTGGAGAAGAATGCTTGGGGTTTCGTGGACCGAGTTTCGCACGAACGTCTCGATACTTCAAGAACTCGGTATCAGGCAGCGTCTATTTTCGACAGTACAATCTCGCATCCTAACATTCTTCGGACACGTTTCTCGGCGTAACAACCTATCCATAGAACGCCTTGTCGTCCAAGGAAAGGTGGAAGGTACTAGACCGCGCGGAAGGTCTCCCACGCGATGGACTGACCAGATCAAGTCAGTATATTTAGCAGGATGACCTCTAGCAGGCAGCAATGGCGAAACATAGTGAAGCGCACTACATCTGCCCCCTCCAATAATACTACAAGTGCATAGTGATCACGACCGCTCTGTCAAGAGCGTACCGGCTAAGAAGAAGACTTAATTCTAAATGCCGTAGTAGGACACATTACAACGAACTTCGTGATACGAGTACATCGAAAATCAATTTTAAGATTACCTTGCTATTTTTCGCACTGACAGCCGGGTTCAAATTTGATATACGCGACATTTCATCCAGCAGTGCGTCGAGAGATTTCAGTAGAATGGCGGCGCGAGTGCATTCGCGACTCGGCGGGGCTTGGAGAGGCTGGTAACCATCTACAGGGAACCTGCATATGTAAGTAGAATTATAAGTTGAAAAACTTATTTAATTGAAACGAACTACGAGAACGCGAATAAAGTAAAACCATAATATACAAACAGGGTCAATATAAGCAGCTGATAAAGGTAATTTACAAATCGTAAAGGTATTGTAAAATACTATACAGGCAGCAGAGGGCCAAGAAGAAAGTCAAACAATGCAAAACCGTACATTTTCTTCAATTAGCATTTAGCTCTACGCATTGATTATCAATTTTTGCAATGGCTGGTCTTCAAAGCCTAAAAATTGTTATCTCGAGCTCCTCTCAGCTTCGCAAGGCACGTTAAGCCGTTAGTTCCGACTCCATCTGCAGACGTGAGCACCCATCAATTCGCTCAGTTGATATGTCAAGGCCCATTCTCCTTATTCCGTCCATAGGGAGCATCTCAGCAGGAGCGAGAATTGTAGCAATATAATTTTATAATATTAAGTTGTAGAAATATTACTAATCAAAGCGCCATCTATCACCATACGTATTCATCATCGAATAATATAATTGGTTTTAAAGAAGCACAGAATATATTATGAAAGAAAAAAAATATGATAGTTGTATTTGAATGATGAGATAGATGGAGTTGTATTTAATAGTGTTAAATAAAATTACACGCATTGATTGCATTTGCATTGCATTGAATATACCAGCTAGCTTTACCAAAACACCAATACTTGAAAAATCTAAAATGAATTTGGCATCTTCATTTGCACTCATAAATGTTGATTTTAAGGAGGTTCGATCCGTGCTTATGAATTTAAAGTCCGAAAGTGCTCCTGGGTGGGATAAAATACCTACAAACTTCCTAAAGCTAGCATGCAATGAGGTAGTGCCAGATAGGCACTGACTAACCAGTGTTTTGAACACGGAATCTTCCCGGAGGTCTTGAAGCAAACAATTATCACTCCAGTACATAAAAGTGGTAAAAAAACAGATCCATCGAACTTTAGGCCCATATCAGTAATATCAGTGTTAGCAAAGATTTTAGAAAAGTTAATAAACGTCCGCCTAGAAAATTTCTTTGCTAAATATAATGTCCTTTCTCCATCCCAATACGGCTTTCGTAAGGGCCTTTCCACTGAGGATGCGGTCTTGGCTTTGACGTCCTCTATTGTGGAAAATGTTGACAAAGGTGAAAAGTGTTTAGCGGTTTTCCTAGACTTAAAAAAAGCTTTTGACACGGTGTCAATACCAATTTTGATAGACAGTCTTCAAAAAGCAGGCATTAGAGGAACACCGCTCAAACTATTGGAAAGTTACCTTACTCACCGTGTTTCGCGGGTTGGCGTGGGGTTGACATTAAGCTCTGGGTGCACTGTTAATTATGGCGTGCCACAGGGCAGCGTGCTAGGTCCCACTTTATTCCTCGTGTACATAAATAATCTGTGTAATATGCGAATTGAGGGAGGACGTATTTTTTCGTACGCTGATGATACTGCCATCGTATTTTCAGCTAACGAATGGGCACAACTAAAAATACAGACGGAAAAAGGCTTAGACAAGATTGCTACTTGGTTGAATGACCACTTGTTATCACTAAATATACAAAAAAGTAACTACATCTGTTTTACCAAGTATAATAGTAGTCAACCGTCGCTAGACTTTAAATTAGTTATCCACAAGTGTGATAGGCATCATATGGATACCTGTTCATGTGTTGAATTAAAAAAAGTTGCTAATACAAAGTACCTAGGTATTATGCTCGATCAGCGTTTGTCATGGCATAGTCATATTGAACTTATTATGAACCGAACAAGAAAGCTCATCTGGACATTTAAGACGTTACGCCACGTAGCCTCTGAGCATCTGTTGCGACTAACATACATTTCTCTCGCTCAATCAGTTTTAACTTACTGTTTGACTGTATGGGGTGGAGCAAATAAAACAAATTTCCTTTACGTGGAAAGAGCTCAGAGAGCTTTATTAAAAGTGATGTATTTCAAGCCCCGTGATTTCTCAACAGAAATACTTTACAATTTTACTGGACTTCTATCGGTGAGAAAGCTCTATATCTTGAACACAGTACTAAGAATACACAAATCCCTCTCATACAAAACAAGCTCTAAGAAAACTAGAAAGAAACACGATATTGTTACACATACTCAAGTCAAATCAATATTTGCACAAAGGCAATTTGCATGGAAATCTACTTTATTATATAATAAAATGAATAAAGAACTCAATATTTACCCTCTAACTTACAAAAGATGCAAAACTACATTAACAGAATGGCTAAAAACTAAAAGTTATACAGAAGTTGAATTATTTATTTAGTGGGGTTATAGGTATGTAAAATGTAAACTCTCGATACGAAATGTCGTGGGATATAAAATACAATAGTAACTCGTTAAAACCTCTCTACACACATAGGTACTACACACTATACATGTATACACACACACTTATACACACACGCACACTCACAACACACGTTCTCAGCCTAATATGCTTGTACCCAAGAAATTTATAAACTATTAATTATATAAGAAAAAAAAAAATGTTTGTACCCTCAAAAAAAAAAACGGAGTCTGTAATCTTTGTTGGTTTATTTTTATTGTTTTGAAATCCTTTTGAAAAATAAAAGATATTTAAACTATATAATAATATAAATACATATATGGCGGATTGTTAATTGGCCTATTGTAACCAAGCTATGGAAGAGCGGTGCATCCTAACACAAGCAATTTTACTGCTTAAAAGGATGTACCATACTCATACATTGTAATAGGCTAAGTTACTGAAATAAAGTAATTTTGTATTTTGTATTTGTATTTTGATTGCGTGATTAGCTATTGTTCAGGAAGCAGTTTCTTGGTGGGAGATGGGCGGAGCCGTACTAACCGGTCCTGTCGTTTCCTCGCACCAAATATGGTGATTTGAGAGAAATTTGCTGGGACGCCGTTCACGTGATCCTATGCCACTATAAATAGCTTTGCGCAGACGGTTTCATTCTCTTTTGTCTGCGAACCGAACACTTGAACATCTAGTAAATTGCACAGTGACTGGAAATTATAGTCAGTGCATAATTAATTAATATATTTTCCCAGGATTAACGGGTAAGTCCAATATATCTAACTGGTTAGGCTGTAGGTCAAGTTAGGTTTTTTATTGAACTATAGAAAAATGTGTAATTGTTTCTAGGTCCTTTGAAGTGGCTAATTAAAAACAGTATACGATAATTACAATTACTTAATCCTGCTTGGGATTTCTTTGGATATACATATATAAAGAAGTACGCTATGTATATATATAAATGAGCCTGTGAATGCAATCTTGATCGAAAAAGAGCACATGTGATGACAGCAGATTCTGTTACAACCCACGTGGATACCTGAATCGCTTGATGGTACCAAGATCTTGAAAGCTAAGTAAACTCTCAACCTATTTAATCTTTAAGCAGTGCATTCTCCGAAGTACGAAGTTTCAGATTGTTAGAACTTAATAAAAGATTTATTGTTGTAAACTGTAGATTCATTAACGAAAGTAGCTTCATATTTGCCAAACGAATTGTTTCTTTAGAATCTTAATATAAATAAATTTGTATGTACGATACTTGCTAAAACAAAATGTTTCCTTAGAATATTAACATTAATATAACTGTATGTACACCTGTTTTGACTGTATGTTCGTCACTGATTCTCTATACCTAAATTTATAAAAGCCATCTTCAAAGATATTAATTTATAATGTTAAGTGTGTTAATATATGTTGAAAATTGAACTGAATATTAACAATACATATATCTGTTCACTGCGGTTATTGATTTTTTATTTTATCTCCCTCAAATAACAGTAATACGGCGCCCTGATTATAGATTAATTAATTTCGAGTCTCATGTAAAAGCCCTGAAATAGTCGGTGATAACAAAAATTGTTACAGAATAATGAAATGATGATGATGTCTGTATTCTATTGTTATGTATTGCGTAATTGTTGATTTCTTACACGAACGGCACATGTCCGAAGTTGGCGTAGAGATGTTCCTGCATTGCTAGCGACACCGACGGGAAGTACGCTAGGCCAGCACCGTGGGACACTTTGTCGAACGCCACACCTAGCGACACTCCGTTCCTTGAAAGAAACATATAAAAAATTAGGGGTCGGTGTACAAGGGTGAATATATAGGGTTACAAGTATATTTTTATGCTAATTTGTAAAAAAAAATGTCCAAAATATATCTGGAGAGGGCCACCCTTATCACCTTAGAGTATAAAAATAATACTTACGACCTATTCTCTGACTTACCAAATAAACACGTATTAAGAGAGTACCCTACGTACAGCGGAAGTTCTGTTCGAATTAGAACGCCCGTCTGGGTAAGCAACCTCCACCTTATCTGGCCAGAGTAAAGTAACACTACCTTTTGGTGGTGTTGTATTTCTGCTGTTGAGTTTCAGAGCTCCACGGGGGTAGGGTATTGAGTTCAGGCCAGCAAGGTGAGGACGACTGGGGTGGCACACTTTCTTCCGCATCATCTATCTTCGCGACTGATTTCCACTTACACTTCATGTCAGCTGTGATGGGGTAATTTATTGCGCCTCGTATAAAAAAACCATAAATTTCATAAAAATGGATGGAACCGTTACGGATGAGAGGAGTTTCATAACAAACATTATGTCACGAAATTTTTATATAGATTCACAATACAAATAGTATAGGTTCCGCTCAGTCTGCTAGGACTGCCCCATTCGAATCTGTGACCCTTTATCGCCAGTTGACATGGTGGCTGTTGAAATCACCGCAGTAAACATTCGGGTGGCAAAGATTTGGAAGGACATCGAGCGGCCAGGTCGTTTGGGGAGGTTTGTGGATGTTCATAATCCGTAAAATTTGCACCTGTATGGTGGCAATGTATATCTTATCTTTAATCCCTCTGTAATGTCTGGACTTCTTGCAGATATTTTTTTGCGTAGGTAGCTATTCCATACTTAGGATGATGAAGCGCCGCCACGATGGCATAACCCGGAATACAACCTCTCTATTGGCCAAATCTAAATCGTCTTTGGTGTGCGTTTTCTAAAGGCAGACTGTGTTAATTTTCTGTTCAGTCAGGATTCTATGTCAGAAGTTACATTTAGTGCGGCTTATACTATATATGTATATTGTATATTTAATTGGCAGATGCAAACAGAAGCCTCGACATCTTTTGTCTGTTGGCTCTGAAATGAGGCGATTGGAGATTGTTTGTGCGACCGCCATTCAATTTCACGAGAGTACATTTGGACGTGATATTATTTAATTTATATGGATTTCAATTAGCTTCCTACAGATGCCGTGGTTATTGCTGCTCGTTAAGCACTACCCAGGGGACACGTGGCCTGGATACCACGTGGACAGGTTTCTGACAGACTGACAGCAACGTTCATTAGATTACTTATATGCAATATCTGTACTGTAAGAAAGAATATTATAGTTATGTAATAGGTATTATGAGATAAGATAAAAACTCTTTATTGCCCAACACAATAACAAAGCAAGTAGATACAAAACAAGTAGAAAAACACAACATTGCACAAAGGGCGGTCTTATCGCTAATGAGCGATTTCTTCCAGACAACCCAATGAGCTGGAAATAAATTATTTTACCTTATGGTAAGCGAGTAATAAGATCCGATAACCGTTGGGGTAGACGAGTTCTGGAGTGGAGACCGCGTCTAGGCAAACGTAGTGTAGGACGTCCTCAGGCACGATGGAGTGACGATTTGCGCAAGGTGGCTGGCAGGAGCTGGATGCGAGTAGCCCAAGATCGATCTGAGTGGCGTGCGTTTGGAGAGGCCTATGTCCAGCAGTGGACTATGATAGGCTGTTGATGATGATGATGATGATGAAGCGAGTAAGGGAGGTTGTGCGGAACACAAGGCAAATTTTTTCCTGATAATTAGATAAGAAGAAGAGAAAAAGGAAAAAAAAGAAAAAAGAAAAAACAATACAATAAGATAAAAATTTTAATATATATAGGCACACATAAAAATACTCAGTATTATACTTAAGGAATATTGTTATTATCGTTTAAATAATAAAAAGATCTCCTTTCTCATTTCGTAATCAAATTAAATATGGCCCAGAAATGAATCAGGATATATGTATATATAAACAATGTATCAGGTATATTTTTCTAGTGAAACTTTTTTTAGATATGTAAATTCTGCTGTATTTCAATGCTTCATTTGAATTCCTAAAATGTTTGCATTCTTGAAATATACAAGATTCGCGAGAAACAGTTTAGAAACCGCATTTAAGCTGACTTGAAGGTAATATTAAATATTCAAATTCCTTGGGAACATCATGCTTAGTTTGTGGCTTACAAATTACTCGTAAATGTATGAGTAGAGATTCATTAATATGTAACTAGCTATTTCCTGCGATTGCGTACGCGTGAAATTCAATTCGATTTGAGAATATTGAGAATCTCGTCTTTATGAAAGGCTAGCACTGCATTATTCGTAAAGAAACCCAAACATTAATGTTGAAACACCAATCAATCAGTATTTTGATCTGAGTTTTTCCGAGAATAAGAATTCCCTACTTAAAATATCTATTTCGATAAAGTAAAATTGTTATATCACTTTTAGAAAACTACTAATCTTGGCATAAAACCTTTTACCTCATCTTCTATATTATAAAAATGAATCGCTGAATGTTAAGCGCAAATCTCGAGAACAGCTGAACCGATTTCGATAATTCTCTTTTTAAGAATATTCCTTGAAGTACGAGGTGGTTCTTACGCAGAGAAATATTAAAAAAAATGTCCAAAAACAACACTTTTCTATACTCCCATACAAACGATTTGTAATAAAACTTAACAGTCAATTTGAACTTTAATACCATAAATGTTAGTGGAGAGATTCTGGGAAGGCAAAAAAATTGAGTGACGTGATGTCAATAGATGTTTGGAAAAGGAAAATATACCACTTTTAGTTTTTTTATAATTAGATAGATGAAGAGTCATTTAAATCCACACTACAGCTCTACACCGAAGCGAAGCGAGGGTGGGCCCCTAGTCTGCAATAAAACTTACAGAATTTATAATCAATGGTATCTGTAATTACAGCATTAGACAATAAATTATGGTCTGAAATTGAATAGCCAAGTTTACCTGTAATATTCCAAAGTTCCCTTGTCCAGGTCGATGCAGGTGCCGATAACGTCACCAGGCAGCCACGCTTGGCCGTAAGGTGAAGTGGCCACGTTCCACTTACGGACCCTACCGCCGTCGTAAGCATATGAGTGCGCAGTGTCTCCGACCCCAGTGTCCATGGAGAATACGCAAGATGCGGTACACCAACCAATCTGGATGGCGGTCGATAATTTTAAAAGTGCTTATGTTATTTTTTTTATATGTGAATGGATTTCTACTCCTCTATTATACATTGCGTTAAGAACGGTTTTAACAGTTGCGGATCAAGTCCAACAGCTTGTCATCTCAATTATGGAGTTGTTGACTTTTTAAAGCTGCTTATACATCCGAGGTTGTAAACCGTACAAGAGCATTATAATAAATAAATAATATAAATATTTCCAACACTCACACCAATTAGCCTAGCCGCAAAGTAAGCACCGTATGCTTGCGTAATGGGATACTAAGGTAATAGATAGAATACATATACTGATACGTATATAAATATATTTGAACAGAAATATATTTTAAAGATCCATGACTGGAGTACAAATACTCGAATTCATCATACAAACATTTGCCCCCACCGGGATTCGAACCCGGGACCTCTCGAGTCGGCGACACCATAAAACCCGGCGTAAAAACCACTCGAACACGGAGGTCGTCATAATGCAAAAACCTCTGTGATCACACGTGAGAACGAATGCTTCATAAAGTGATTTTTTTTTATATTTAATTTTCGTTAGATAGTTTTGTATTGCCGTTTGCCGTGTCTAGGCAAACGTAGTGTTGGACGTCCTCAGGCACGATGGAGTGACGATTTGCGCAAGGTGGCTGGCAGGAGCTGGATGCGAGTGGCCCAGGTTCGATCTCAGTGGCGTGCATTTGGGGAGACCTATGTCCATCAGTGGACTATAATGGGCTGTTGATGATGATGATGAGTTTTGTATTTCAAGGTATGTCAGACAAATGGTTTTCTAATATGGCATTGCATACTTCAGTGGTCATTATGAAGCTAGTAATCTCTTACTTAATTTGTACTGCACCTGCATTATTCCCTTAGTGCCAAGCTGCACTTCATACATCCATTTGCTGGCGAATGCGCAGGCCGTGGCCCTAATCGTGGCGAAGCTAGACAACCCTTGAACGCTGACTCTCTCGTCCCCCACCAACACGAGGCGACCAGTTCCTAGCCCACATAAACATACCCTTATTTCCCTGTTCTATGCAATAGTTCTGTCGATAGTACTAATCCTACTTTCCTATCTTAACCTAACCTAACCTAACCCACTATCTTATCTTACTAATGTTATAAATGTGAAAGTTTGTATGTGTTTTACTCAATCACGCAAAACGGCTAAATGGATTTGAATGAAATTTTACACACAGACAGCTTTTAACCTAGAAAGAGACATAGGATAGTTTTTTTCCGAAAAAATGTTAGGTTCCAGTGGAATTCTCAAAAAACTAAAGTTAACGCGGACGAAGTCGCGGCCGGCCGCTAGTAAGATATATTTGACTTGCTTGACTGATAAATATATTATGTAGCTGATATAAGTCCTCGTAATATGTCAATTTTAAGTTTATAGGTAGCATTCATTGCAGAGTTCTTCCGCTTGTCGCTTCTAGTACTAGTAGGCGCTAATTATGTACACACTATTGCAATGTGAGATTAAGGAATAGTTAAAGTTTTTACGGAGAGAAGAATTGCAGTAATAGACAAATTATTTTGGCTGTACTACTACTACCTAAGTACATTGTTATATTTAAGTATTTCAAATTTTACAAATACCAGTAGAAGCGTCAAACACAACGATTTTAGGTCCTACGCGCCCGGGTCTGTCGTCAGTCGGCTCCGAAGTAGCCTGCCAACAATCGGAAAACTTTTAAAAGGTATCCGAACGCCGAACCACAATATGGATAGCACAGAAGGATAAGTAAGGTCATTCTTCTCTTTTCTTACGCTCGGCGGTCGCGCTAGAAATGTCAAATTGGGCTTGTGCACAAATTATTCGTGACACTCGTACGTATCTAGTTGTTTTTTTATTGTAGCTAATGAAACAAATGAAACAATCGAGTGATGACTTATGGGACTGAGACGTGGTCTCTGAATGTCCGCCTCATAACAAAACTCAGACTCGCGCAGCGTGCTATAGAGAGGGCTATGCTCGGTGTTTCCCTACGTGATAAGATCCGAAATACGGAGATCCGTAGAAGAATCGGTGTGTACGACATAGCCCGAAGAGTTAGCACGCTGAAGTGGCAATGGGCAGGCCACATCGCTCGAGGATCTGACAACCGTTGGGTAAGAAAGGTCCTCGAGTGGCGACCACGTACCGGATGACGCAGCGTGGGGCGGCCCCCAACAAGGTGGACTGACGATATCGTCAAATGTGCTGGGAGCCGCTGGATGCGGATAGCGCAGGACCGCGCATTGTGGCGTTCTATGGGGGAGGCCTATGTCCAGCAGTGGACGGAGAAAGGCTGATGGATGGATGGATGGAATGAAACAGGAAGAATGGAAATATAAACCAAAAATAACTAAAGTAATTCAATTTTAATGTTACCTTAGGCGCAAATAAAAAAACTGTAATTTAAGTTTAAAGTTGAATTGTTATAATAACTGTTTTTGTTGCTCCATTTTTGCATAAAAAAGTTCACAGACACGCTCTCAAGCGGATGGAACTCGCGCTTGTATTGGTCCCAAGCGATCCGAGATACCGTTACCGTGAGCGGTTTCTATGTGTGCGATGCTCCTTTGTGTGTAGCTTACCTTCTGTACTATATCTATTTTGTGGCCAAACACTCAATTCTTTCGCTAGCTTCGACAAAGCTGAAATTCAACGGTCTGGTGCACAACGCGTCGTGATATTTGCTTTGAAAAATAAAAATATACAAACATAACTGAGAGTTCACAGAGCAAACAAAGTCCAGTCCCATATGTCGACACTTCAAATAGTAGTGAAGACGGAATACCTTTGTGTTCTTGGTGAATTATTTTTACTAGATTTATATTTGTATTAAGTATCGTATTTTTGCCTGTGCACCTACTATGGATAGTAAAGTAACTGTTTTCTCGCAGGTCTTTTTATATTCGTTTTCTTCGTCTTACCTCTTCTATAACGGGGCCGTGTTTCTTGGCAGGTTTCGATTTGTGATTTGGTTGATTTATTTTAGCATCAAGAATTTTAGAGAGGTTTTCTTTTATATGACTTATGTATTTGTTTCTCCTGAAATCATTTAGTTATTTAAAATCTTAAATATACAATAGGTCATTTATATTTCCCTTGGTCACCCTGTAACTTGAGAACGACTATACATCATCATCCAACTTTTTTTAAGATTTTTAATACGTAATTTTCAGAATACTTTCTTAAAACTTTCTACTTTCTTTCTACTACTACTTTCTACAGTATAGATATTCTATCCGTTACTCTAGTATCCGTTACTAACTATAAAGTTGCGAAGAATGTTAGAAATTTAAGGAAAGTGCATTCTGTATGATCTTATGGGTGATGCTGCGGGCTTTTGAGTAGGGGAAAACCGGAAGACTTGCCCAAGTGCGATAATTGAACTATCTTTTCTAGAGCAAACAAAATGTGAATTTGTTCATTGGCCAGGCACATGCGAGACCATTTTGTTGCATGTGACCAATGACCGAATTGAAGTTATGTTTGCGCTAAATTTGAATACAATTTTGAAAGATGGTTCAACTCTCTCGCCTAGACAAGTTGTTTTCCCCTATCATATTTTTATCGGGCAGGACAACGTCTGTCGGGTTCGTTAATTTTTCATTGTTAAATAAAAAAAAGGCTCACTGATACTGTCGATCTGTGTTGTCCTTCATGATCATCTCGTTACCAAATATCCTTCTGATTGTATCGTGGACTTCCCCCTTCTCAGCTGAACTGCTGCACACGCCAAACATTGAACGGAATACGTTCATCATCACGATTCTGGTCTGAAAGAACGAGACATTAGTTAGTAGAGTACTATTGTCATAGAAATTTGCCTTTATATTTCCCAATACGCAATTCCAGCGGATACCTATACTTTGTCTTACGATGACGGGGAGATAGATGGTCGCAGACTGTTCATAGAACTCGCTTCGGCGAGAACTCGCTTCACTAGTTTGTCGCTGAGCGAAAAGCTATCTAGCTAGCTAATACTCGCTTAGCGATCCTCTCTTGGCCGCAAAAACGTGTGCGCGTACATTTTTGCTCAGGACTGTCACTACGAGCTTGTGGCGTGAGTGATCGCCCGTCATACTCTCACAGTCGCTTATAGTCGAGCTATCGGAACTACACACTTGCTTCCTGCCGATCTTCAACTCGTTTCTAGTTTCTAGCTCTACTCGCTTCTCGTTCATCGTCGGCGGTGGGACAAGTCATAGAAAATTTGGGCTTTCTTTCCCAATACACAATTCCAGCGGATATCTGCACTTTGTCTTCAGATGACGAGGAGAAATTATGCATTATGTTCATGACAAATTGTCATGCACTGCAAGAAATTTACGAGCAAGCTGCGAACTATGTATGGTACGAGGCTATAAATACACCAGTTAATAAAGTTGCTTAACGACAAACTGCAGATAGGCATATTAGTTTAAAAATAAATTGTAACTACATTTTAAATGACAGAAGACTTCAAATACTTATTAAATTAATGTTTTAAAAAAGGAACCTCTTATCTTTGAATTCACCTAAAATGTTACTCATACTAAGTGCATTTGACAGCACGGTGTATTAGACAGGAGAACACTGGATCGACCGCAGGCGCAAAGGGAATCGGCGGAACGCCTACCACCTACGCTTGACCTTTTGAATATTGGGCTTCTCCGGATCACCTTGTTACTAGGATATACCTCCCCTCCGCAACGACAAGACTAACTAAAGGTAAGGCCAGGGTCTTAGCGAGACCTCTAGTTGCACCAAAGGTCATAGCCCACTTACGCGATCCTACTCCAAGTATAAGGCTGTATACTAAGGCGACTGCTCGCAGTCCACGGCGTGGACTCCACACGACGCCAGCACCCTGCTGTCTACGAGCCGGAAGCTAGCTGTCAGTCAATTGCTTGGTAGATAATGCGAGAATGGCTTACAAGCAGTCAGCGCGTGGACATCGCGCAGGTCGTTTACTTGCAAATAAGTCGCGGCACGAAACTCTAGCGTTGACCGTTATTGTGCAGAAGTAAAAATTAAGATGTCTTGGGGGGAAACGAGGTGCGCGGGTGGTCGTGCGTTGCGCCGATTGGCTCTCTAGTCTTCTCCACGTTTTGTTCAGCGCTAGAGTTACGTGCCGCGACCTGTAAGCGAGGTGTCAACCTAGGACCAAGAATCTCGCTACACGAGTCAAGTCAACTAACGAGTAGTCTAACGGCGCGGCGCGGCGGTAGGCTTGCTGACAGCGAGCTGTCTGCTTGTTTCCAATGTAAAATATATCTTAAGACCAATTCTTAAAGCCCACAGTAATTGAATTATATTATTTTTGTCAGGTGGGAGCGACTTCATATAAGTGGGCCCTAGTGACTCTCAGGGTCGAGTGGCAGTGACTCTACGGTAGAGCGGAGACTCCCCCCGGGGGAGATGCCCTTTGCTTTATACAATTGTTTCCAATGCATACCTGTCAATGGTGTTGTTCGTTCACACGGTTCTTTAAATAGAAATACACAATAGATAATAATAAGACCAGATAACCAGATAACTAGGTGAAGCGAAATCTTGTTTGTGTGCAAAATAGCTATTGTAAGAATTGAATATAAAACTCACATTTCTGTCCCCACAAATAACAAGAAAGCTTTATCTAAAAACAAAGTCAAAGCACAAAAGTAACATAAAAACCATTGCGTAAACTAATTTCTAAATCAAACGAAATCACTAAAAATGGCGCGTCATGTCAATTGTACACTTAACGTCATTATTTTTTAATTTATGGACCTTGGATTGTGAAGAAAGAAGGTTGCTGAGTGCACGGAACTTTTTAGACTTCAATGAGGCTTTACATTTTATAACATGGACCTAGAAATAAAAGCATTTTCAACGGGTTGCAATCATAACCATTGGTTTAAACTGTGTTGTTAATGCTTTTATACATTTTCCGAAGTTTAAGATCCTTTAGAGACTCCGTTTTCACGTTTTTGTCGTGAAAGCGGAGCCTGCGTCAATAGCGAGATAATTCGTCCAAGTGTCAACTATTCGTTCAACACTATAATCATAGGTCTTAACTGTGTTTTGTAATACTTTTATAAATTTCCCGAAGTTTCGGCTCCTTTAGACTCTGTTTTCATGAGAATATCATGAAAGCGGAACCTGCGTCAATAGCAAGATTATTTGTACCAGAGCGTGGCTATTCCTAGTAATATTACTTTTCTCTATGGGCTATTCTTTAAAATGTCAACATGTCAAGTTAATCTTCTCTATTGCAAATCCCTCAAATATTTCAAATAACCCGGAGAAATAACCGGTCTTCCGTAGATAAGGGCTTGCTGCTGTTCGAAGAAAATTAAGTAATACAGTGGTGATACAGTGACGAATTTATAAAGTTTGTGATGTGAAAGTGGATAGTGAAAGAACGAATGGTATGAAGAATTCTGCTCAACCGAAACCGAAAGAGGTGGAAGACAAGACTGGGCAGTGGTATTTAAAAATGATATTTTACAACTATAGATCTTTGATTATTTAGTAAGTAGTTACTTGGTAAAATATTACTTCCTGTGCCCAAGAATTGACACTTCAATATTTTTTGGTGAAAAGGTCTCTGATACTGAAGTCTCTATGCAAAGACTTTGCACCAGCGCACTGATAGTTTTTACCGGTTACTTAGCAATGATACCGTCCATGAAGGTGCTGTGGTAGATGCAGGAGCAGAAGTGTGGTACAGCAGTTTAAGAGAGATAGGGCATTGTACATTTTCCACCTTACAGATCACAGTAAAATAACACTTCCTTTTGGTGGTGTTGTGTTTTTATCTGTTAGTAAGATTTCAGGGTTCCACCGGGTAAGGCATTTGGTTGTAGGCAACGGTGCGAGTGATATTGTTGGTATCGCAACCATCTATAGGCTATGGTGACCGCTTACCAGAAAGAAAGAAATAAATTTTATTGACCACAAACAGTATTGTTAACATAAATAAAAACAATAAAAAAAAATTGGCCAACTAGGTCCTTGCCTCAGCTTGATACTACAGCAACACCAGGGCTGCTGCAGCGCTGATATTTCTGGCAGGGCCTAAAGTTGATGACACAGATTGTTATTTTTAAACAATACTAGCAAACCCGGCGAACTCCGTTTCTCCACCAGATGGCTTCGTTTTATGTAACATTTCGTTTGGTGATTAAAAGAAGTCTTTTTTTTTAATTTTTCCTGAATTTTCTTTGCTATAAACCTCACGGAGCCCGAGACCTTTCCAACGAATGCAAAACCGTGGAAATCGATTCGTGCGTTCTGGAGTTATAGCGTCAGGAAGGAAAACCCGACTTATTTTTATATAGTAGATTAAAATTAACAACCATCATAAATATCAAATAATAAACATCAGGCGGGCCATACGTTTGTTCGCTACCCTTTTACCAAAAAAAAAAGCAGTAAGTACATGGACAGGTTCTGGAGAGCAGGCAGCGGTAGAAGGAACGGTGATAGCAGGACAGCAGATGTAGCGAGGGATATGCCGATGAAATATTTAGACAAGTAGGCAGAATTTATGGTAGATATTCTGTAGCTGGTAGGTGATCCTTGTAGGTTCCATACGAATCACTGTGAGGACGGTGTTTGGTCTTCACCCTGACTACATCAACGTACTCCGGTAAGCACCACATAAAGCGTATCGTGCATTATGATAAAAAAATCTCAACGAGCTCTGGAAAATGATGCTTCATATACTGGGGTAATAAGAAAAAAAAGTCTCCTTTCCATGAATGGGACCATGTATAATAATTTAATTTAATTTTTAACTACATATTCAGCCTTGGGCAAGCATTCTTCATAAAATACCGAAATTATAGTTCTGTAACTCACTCCGTTTACGATTTAAAAGTCTACATACCCGTGACATACGGACGGACAAACAGGCGACAGATTGATAACCCTAAAAAGCTTCCTTCTCGTAAGGTTTGCTCTTGAATGCGATATTAAGAAGAAGAGAGAAACGAAATTGGAAACAACGTCAATACTAATTCCGCCTAAAAGGAAAAACCATTTATGAAAAAGTTATCGTTATTTACAGTAGGGCGAAGTGATTTATGAATTATAGGCAGGTTGGTAATATCAGTGTGCTATTATTTAATTTATGTTATTTTCCCTCGATACCAATTAATTCTCACAAATAAGTATAATATTGAGCGTCGAAACAGTTATTTTTTTTCACACGAATAACAGCGGCGGTCAAGGCCAGTACTATTGCGACTGTCTTCGTTATTTATTAAAGGTCGTGTTTCGAATGTGATATTCGCTATGTTGTAGGTATGACACCGACAATCCGTAAAATTCAGATATTTTAAACATTGCCATGGCAATGCATACCTTTTTTTTCGATGGCGGGGTGAAAAAATGCATTATATCCACGGCAATGACCAACGCCGCGTTGGTTTGCTGTTAACAAACCCTCGCGACGCAGGTAATTGCGTGATACATTCGGCTAGCGGCGAGCAGCCCAAGGGCCACCAGTTGGTGCAGGTATACTTTGACGTGCACTCACGCAAGCGTGGCATACGTCAAACCAACCCCCCTCCGACCGACAGCTCGGCCCGCACCGGCTTCAACCGATCCTGGGCTTCTCCGTTCACAGCGTCACCTGACTAGTCTCGCAGACCGCTGTCCGAGCGGCTAGCCAGCCGACCTGCTCCCGTACCTACCAGGTAAACCAACTCCCCGATTTACCCCTCACCCTTCAAGCGTAACTGCGGGGTCCAGTTATGAGTATCCGCTTGTTACGCCTGAGTTCCTACCCCCTCGCGATGGTGCCGCGGTGCACCCCCTCCCTGGCAGCCGCAGAAGGTATAATACCTGAGGCGTCTAGGCTATGAAACATTATAAATATTATTTTCTATTTTATACTTTGCCTAGTTAATCCATACAATACGTAGGGATAGATGGACCACCGGCAATCTGTAAAATAAACAGATTTAGCATTTAAGTGCTTATCCTAACCAAATCTAATCTGGCCTACCCAGTTGGGTATAAAATGACGGTCGGATTTATAATTCTCACCGAATCAACAATTAACACACCAATGAACGTATGATCAACTCACAGTGGGTTAGGTTAAGTTAGTGTTGTGACATAAACTTAGCTCGGTGGGTTAACTACATGCGAAGAGATGGCGCTGCCTTGCAGCACAAGCATATTAGAGAAAATTCGACACGGCCATTAGGGCCGCAGTAGGATAATGGTCGGTGCATCCGCCCAGATCTGTTAGATCTGAGCTGTTTGGTCCGCGTGGATTTTTTCTTCTAACATTTTCTTTAGATTTAAGCATCTATCAGTAAACGAAATGCTTAGAAAAAAAATAACGTTGAAGTTTTTCACCACTAATAAAAAGGGTTCAAATATAAAAGGAAAAATGAAAGTGTCTGCTCTCATTTGCGAGTCTTTGGCAGATATAATCATAAGTTAGGCAGTAACAGTTAGCTTCCTTCCAAACAATTTTATCGCTCTAGTGTTTGCCGGGGTAGATATTATTACTGTTTGCTACACACTTCGGAATGTTATTTCTTTGTTTATATCGTATTCTTTGGGAGTTTTCTTAATTCTAGGTCAAGGTGACCTTGAATTAATTATAACAAGTTTATCTATGTAGGTTTTTGGCATAAAATAATTAGAATGATTTATATTTTTGTTATTGTGTTTTTTTGTTGTTTCCTCCCAGGCGAGAAATCTTAATGGATACCCTACAGCTGGCTGAATTGGTTATGTCAGTCTCTTACTGACTAAAAAACACCCGTTAATCATGCTATTGGCCAGAAGGGCCTTACAAGCTTCATCTGAAGCGATCATCCCCTGAGAGGGGGATGATGCAGGGTTATTGTAAAGCCATCATCGTATTAATACACTGGTCAGAAAATAAATCACTCACGATCTCACGTGTGTGAGGGAGGGATTTCATTTTTTCAAAAAATATAAAACTTTTAACTTTCAAAGTTATACCCTCAGAAAGTGCGTTTCATGATGACTTTTTGTGTCGCCGCACACGGGCCACACGCCACAGCCACAAACGCCGCCACGAGAAGCTAGAAGCGGCTACTAAAGTGGCTGAAGCGTGCGACAGTGGCCGACTAAGGCAAGGGAGAGAGGGGTGGGGAATAGCGCGAGTGACGTGTGTCGGCGTTTTGTATCGGCGCATTAAGTGGCCGCTGCGGGCCACAAGAAGCGAGCAACGACGATTTGTAGCGTGTGGCGGCCACCGGCGTACCGTGTGTGGCGAATCCATATAAAATGTATGAAAACTACAAGAAATATGCCGGTGGCGGCGTTTTGTGGTTGTGGTGTGGCCCGTGTGCGGCGACACTTAGAGGTACTACTTTAGAACTCTGCTTCGATTTTCATTTGATTAAAACATTTTGTCGTTTAGTTTAATACAAAGGTAAAAAGGTTTCAATAACGACATCTCCTGAAAAGGTACACAGCTCAAATAGTTTTGTTTTTGAAGAGAAACTTCTTTACACACGCTTGACTTGGGGGGTAAACTGGCGAATGCGTTACGCGTTACGAAATGTGTGTTCGGGCGAGGCAAACGGGAGTTGAGTGGGGGATATAAGCAAGAGAAAGCGGTGTGCGCGCACGTTTTCTTTCTCTCTTTCTCTTATAGCTAGTAAATGAAATATGTATTTGCACATACATGTACATGTTGTACACACATCACTACATAGTATTAAGCAAAGTTATCGTTGTCTGTCCCTATGTCCCTA